GTCTCCTAAAGAATTCGGAGAGCACAAGTACATAACCGTCAACGGCGTCAAGATCCATTACGTCGAGAAGGGTGAAGGGCCCCTAGTTCTCCTACTTCACGGGTTTCCAGATTGGTATGTACAGCAACTCGTACCACAACTGTAAGAAATCTAATTCTGTCCGCTCATTTTTTCTTATTGATGGCCTTATCAGCTGGTATTCTTGGCGTCATCAGCTGAACGAGGTGTCAGCACATGGCTACAAGGTCGTTGCTATCGACATGCGGGGCTACAACTTGTCAGACCACCCCAAAAACGTTAAAGATTATACCTGTGATGCGATAATGCCAGACATCAAAGGCATTATCGACGAGCTTGGTGGTGGTAAGGCCCTCCTCTGTGCTCATGATTGGGTGTGTATCTGTAAGCAACGACGGTTGCGCAGGAGCTGACAAATACATACTTTGCACAGGGAGGATTGGTATCTTGGGAATACGCACTCCGCTATCCCGAAACGCTTTATGGCCTCCTTCTCTGTAATATCGTCGGGCCAGCCCACTTTAGGGCAAACATGACGCCAAAACAGTTTAAAAAGTCGTCTTACATGTTCTTCTTCCAGAACAGCTGGTTACCCGGTATGTTCGTTCGTTCCATAATCAGTAATGTTTTTGAACGACTTCCATGTTTGTTCGTTCATAATCAGTATTGTTTTTTGAACGACATTGGAAAACCAAACTAACACATTGCATCCTTAGAATTCATGTTCTCCCTGGACAACTCGGCTTGGATTCTCGGATTGGAGCAATCATCCGAATACAAACGCATCGCGTTCCGATACAACAAGTCATCTACTGGAATGCTCAACTATTACCGTAACCTATTCAATGGTGGGTGGGGCAACATTGGTGACAAGCCAGTCCCTCAGAGAGTTCGAACTGTTATCTGTTGGGTGAGTTGCTGCAGAAAACCGCGGATAAAAAGTGTCCGATTTAACTTTTTCTCTAAATTTGGTAGGGAGAGAAAGATCAAGCGCTAGATATGCGAACTTGTCTTGGTGACGTAGACAAGCTCTTCCCAGCAAAAGGGCAATTGAGCGTCATTACTTTCCCTAACTGCTCACACTGGTCGCTGGAAGAGAAGCACGCTGAGGTCTCATCAGCTATAGTAAAACTCGCAAAGGAGTTGAATATTAAAGTTTGATTTTGTTTTACGTCTTTTGCTTTTTGAGGTCCACTTACTGTTAAACGAACGATCAGACTTCTTCAAATAAACGTTATTTCTTTTTTGAATTTTTACTTGCACTGTGTTTAATCTGCTACTTGTTTATACACTATCTTGTCTATATGCTATGTAGTACAACAATGCGTTCTTTATATGCTGTTTATAAATCCCCCCATAACGACAATCGACCTCCCAGCTTCAGGCGCACTCCTCAAAGCCGTAAACCAATTATGCTTCAACTTTTCCACATCTTTACCACTCAATTCGCCCAACCCCGTCTTGCTATAGTCCGTCTGCAAAAACTTCATTATATGGTGACACGCAATAGTAAACAAGAATGGCTGCGTATCTGAATCCAGTCCCTTCTCAACCAGTGCTCGCATATAGACCGAGAGGACTCCCACATTGGTTTCAGGAGGATGCAAATAAGCATCCATGCATGAGATTGCCAAGTGTTCTTCCAGTGTGATTCGAGACAGGGTGTCAAAGAGCTCAGACCAAAATAGGATTCTGTATGAGGACTGGAAGTGCATTTGTAGTGGTATTGCTATACACCGTGTAAACAGCTGGTCTCCACGAGCTGTAGCACCATATTGACGGAGCAGTGTTTGATAAAAGTCGTAAAATGGTGGAGAGGTGGATGCGTATTTGATGGCTTGAGTGGTGAAGGCACTATTTATGACATTATTGAGTGCGGCTTTTACTTGTTTATCAGAGGTAGCTAGATGGCCATGTGAATCTTCAATCATAAAGATTTCCAATACTCCTTTTACTATGACGTGAGGATCCACGACACCAGATTGGACTATATTCAATACGGATACGATTACTTCCCAGTATTCGGATTCTGCCATATCACTTCGTTCAATCGTTAATATCGGTTTAAAGACCCATTCTGCAGGCGCTGGTAGCGTCTTACTGGCTTTTAGACACAAGGATGATAATCCAGTTGATATTTGGCCATACAAGCACTGTGACTCCCAGCCTTTTACATCATCCAGTAAGATATGTTTATATGCTAATTCTACAGTCTCGGGCCATTTCGAGACGGACGACATTACATCCAAGCTGCTAGATACAATGCATTCGTCACCAGGTATAGCATGGGATATCAATTGAGTGGCGGCTGCTAGTGATGGTTGAATAGCAAGTGCTGAGTTACAAGCCCGTACAATACCCTGTCCAAATACCATTGTCCAAAATTCATAGTTCACGCTAGTCGGGTTTATGTTTATGCTGGAAGGCAGTGAGATAGTCGCGTTGATCTTGGATTTCAAGGTACGCAGCAAGTCAATCATGGATGATACATTATCAAAGTATATAGTGGACGTGACCAAATCAGATGCTCGAGATACATCTTGTACTCGATCAAGTCCCATACTCCATGACAAGTGACCAACACCACCGTCATCTGGTCGGATTAAGAATCCATTTGTATCATTCAAAGCATTCTCGATATCTGCTGCATCCCACCATCTAACTGTCATGTCAGACATCATTTCCGTAAAAGCTTCCAGACGATTGGGAAGCTTTTCTATATACGCAGCCACGAAATCTGCTAGAGAGGACTTGAGACACAGCAATACTCGCTCATATGCTACATCCTTGTCCTGAGAAGCGGCTGCAATACGATTGTTCAGGCCTTCTAGATTTGATAAGGCCAGTTCGACATATTCCATCAAAGCATCATCGGGTGCACCCAATGTCAGATGCGATGCAAAACAAGTAGCAAGCGGTGTCATCATTCGTAGCATTGCTACAGTTCGTCTACTATTTGCATTCGTGACTTTACTGCTAGTATTACTATTATTGTCGTCAACTTCCAGTGACTTTACAAGAATGTCCCGAATGATTTCTCGATACTCGTCGAATATGAATCCACCTAATTGATACTTCCATACAATGCCAAACATGGTGAATATTTCGGTATGGAGATTTAGTAGATACGAGACATCATTGTCTTCACTCGAAAGGTCACCGAGGAAGCGAGCCATGAGTGGCACTACACCTAATCTCAAAACTACTCGGGCTGTATCCTGGCTGGATTGACATAGCACTCTAAACAACTTTACAGCTAAAATTTGTGCCTTGTATGTTTGATTCGGAGATGGTGATGGATGCGGTATACCAACGACTTTATCTCTGACAAGCTCCAATAATCGAGTCGTGCTGCATAGTCGAGATACAGCATCACTAGAATATCGAGCAAGCCGTATCAACAGCATCAATATAGGTTGCGTGACATGAGATATTCCATCATGTATCAAATCTCGACACCTATCAAATGTATTCATACTGAGTAGCGACTCAACGAATTGATCCATATCTCTAGAATGGGTGCCCGAGATTTGTGAATTGAAGGATTCAATCTCACGAGCAGATATTGGGAAGATTCTATATCCAGATCGAGTCATGAGAAGATCATCCCACACACCTTCTTCTTCATCTAGTCCTAGCATGACCAGCAAACATTCGAGAGCAGATACAATGATGGTCTGATTGCTCTCTTCCATTGCAGTTCTCACAACCAACGTAAATCGACTTTCATGTAATGTTTGGGTGACGGATGCTATAATATCAGAATCTATAATGACTCCACGACGTATATTAGATAATATGATGGCAATAGTGTTAAGACTGAGAGCACGTTGTGACGGGTATGTGCTCTTCGCTAGATGGACGAGTTCCGATACAGTGTACCCAGCTCGATCTGCATCGTCACCGTGATGATGTAGGCCAGCATGCACAGGTACATCTTCGGTTGTTATAATACATCCTTTCAAGTCATATCGAGTGTTTGTGTGTTTTATAGTTTTGGCATGTGCGTGTGCAAGCAGTGTTGAGTCAACAGTGGCTGAGGATGTCCATGCCAGTTTATCGAGCTCTGATTTCTCTGTTGGAAGATATTCATACATCTCAGGATCAGGTGCTACTAGTGTTGGTACTGCTGATGCTCCTCCACTAGAGCTACTGCCCTTGTTTGACGTCTTTCCGTGTACATTCAAACGACGATACTTGTCCTCCCCTCTCTTCTGCAGCAGATTCAAATATGAATCATCAAATCGTTCACGGATTTCGTCTATAGCTTCAGCCATCTCTTCAGGAGACATGGAAGCTAGTTTCGACATATTCTCACGATGAATAGCTAGGTCTTCTGCTTCTTCTACAGACGATGAAGAGCCCGGAATTGGTGATATATCTTCTGTTTGAGTGCGTTCAGGTGGATCTACGTCTCGTCTAGATGGAGCAGGGAATCCAGTCATGGTTGGGACTGAGGGAGCAGATGGAATGTCATTGATCTCCTTTTCGACAATGTTTCCTACTAGACCTGTAAAGGCCATGTCGGCAGCGACACTCATGGATGCAGACAGTGTTGTCTTCTTCTTGAATTGACGTTCTTTTGTTGGAGCTTTTCTAGGAACATTGCTTTGTTGCTCATCCTCACTTGCAGTCCTGTAGAGATTTGACTTGGAAATGAGAAAATACTGCAAAGCTTCGATTCGCAACATGACTTACATTCTTACTGCTCGCTATACGCTTCTTCTTGAATCGACCGCTATGTAATGCGTGCAATTTCTCTAACTTTGTGAACAACATTGAGTCATGTCATCGAGTCAACATCTCGGCTTTGATGCAAGAGATGATACTCGATAAGAACTTAAATACAATAAGCATTCACTGTTGTCGCGTCACCAGAACTGTTGTCGTGTCACCAGAACTAAGTGAACTTGAAGAACTACGTCTACTACCAAAGAAACTACTACAACGTGTATTCTATGTTCTACTCTATAGTATCAGCTCTAGACTCCAATCATAGCCTTGAAGTATTGGCCGAGGTAAGTAATAAATGTATCAGAGACAGCTTCTTTACGGAAGTGAGCCTATAATTGCAATGTATATTAGGACCAGTCGTAGTTCTCTTTCGGTCGAGACATACCTTTGGTACAGGCCATTCCATAGCTCCAAAGTTTGGATCACTTTTAACGAGCTTTGGAAAGTCGTGGTGAATAATTGAGGCTCGGCCCATGACCACAAAATCGTATTTGTACTCTTCTAGCACCCGTCGACATTCAGCAGCAGTATACAGTTTTCCAGCAGCCCCCAAACGACATCCGTTCCTTTCAATATCAGCAAACCAAGCAATGAGGGGTTTCTGAGCGTACTCCTTTTCAGCTGGGGGTGTGAAGCAGCTCCATAGAGACAACTCCAAGTAGTCCAATTTGCCAGTTGCCATCACGGTTTTAACGAGTTCAATTTGTTCTGCCATTTTGAGGCCAAATCGTTCTGGAGATAGACGGAGACCCAATTGGAAGTCTGGACGACACCTTTCGCGGATTCCATCCATGATATCGAGGAGGAGCTTGGCTCGATTCATTAGACTGCCACCATATGCATCGGTTCTTTGATTGTACTCAGACGACAAGAAGGCACAGATGATATAACCTAGGAAATGGGGAACCAGAGTTAGGAATGGCTTGATACAGACTTGGTTCGGGCGATTCGTGAACGTGTCGCACCATGAGCGCCGTGAATTTCCACGCCGTCGAAACCTATCGGCCACAGGATTGGTCAGTGATATTTTCAAACTCTTCCAAAATTTGACCAGATGCACTAACCGGCTTTCTCAGCACGAACTGCAGCAACAATAAAGTCTTCCTTGAGCTGTTCTACTTCTTCAAGAGTCAAGGCTCGAGACTTGAACTCTTCAGTTGCAGATGGACCGACTGGTGTTTCTCCAATGAGGTCTGCAGGCGACCGGATACCAGCGTGATGAAGTTGAACGGAAGATACAGCCCCAAACTTGCGAATTCCATCTATATTTATACAAGTTAGCTTTGCTCTGTCCGTCCGTATATTGAACCCCATTTGTCAAAATAATGTAGAACTAACCAGCAAGGCGAGTGAGTCCATCAATGTGATGATCACTCCAGATACCAAGCTGACCGGGGAATCCCTAAATATATGGAAATATGTATAAATATACATGTCACATCATATAACAATAGGAAACAGGATAAACAATAAATACGAATCGCATACCTGCCCAACTTTCTGAACATGAGCAGCACAGGTCATAACGAGGCCATGACCACCTTCAGCACGCTTTACCAACCAATTGTATTCGTCATCCGAAAGAACTCCATCAGGATGAGATTCTACAAAGGTGAAAATGTTAGTACAAACAATGCTTAATGCACAAATGTTAGGACACTTTGCACTAGAAGCAAGCGTACGTGTGTTGGTAAGTGGAGCCAGCATAAAACGATTCTTCCAATTTGGGCCTCGAGAGAAAGTTATTGGAGCAAACAAGTCTGCAGTAGCAGCGAGGTGGGATGACGTAGCCATAATACGAGCAGCAGCCATATATTGGTGGGGATCGTTTAGAAGAATGTGCTTGCAAAAAGATTGCCTGGTTGTGGTGAGCGTTGAGTGCAGAAAGCTTGTTTGGGGGGGTTTGTGAGGCAAAGTAAAAAAGTGAATGGATTTCAAAGCAGCAAATTTTACAGCATTGTCGAGGGCTCGAGGTGGTATTGGTGATCATATCCTCGAGAATAGCCACATTATTAATTGCGACAGATTATATCGGAGATCTATTCCACCTTTCCATATTTTCGCACTTCCAAGTGTTTTGCACGGAGGTGTAGGATCACGTAATAACTCTGTCTTGTCCAAGGCAGATGACAGGAGAAATTGAATATTTTGACTTGAACAAACGCGGAAAGAGCATCAGTTATGTAGTTTGCGCCCGGCGATGAGTCTCGTCCACTTTGACTTTGCTTCTTCAACGACACATAAGATGTCTTGGTACGAGTAAGGGAGTGGTCCTGGATAACAAAGCTGGCAAGTATTGAATGTAGACAAATCATCGGTCATGACGAACTGCCAGCAAATTAACTGGATCTGTTTCTTAGTCTTTAGAAAATGGAAAGGCGTAGTTCTGCAAGATTATCATCCTCAACAAGGACAAATCGTCATTCTGACTATTTATACTATGACGACAAGCCATCCTTCAACGGCAATCACGCTCCTTCCCTATCGGCATCATCACCGTCAGCACCATCATCATCACAATCTGATGTTCAACTTCCGTCCAGCAGTGTTGGTGCTGATCGAGTACGAAAGACGAAATACAACAAATCGAGACTAGCAGTCGACTCGGACTCCGAAAATAATAGTCCAGTAAAACGGACCAAACAGACTCATAAATTTGACGCAACTACACCTCTATTCCCAACTTCATCTTCACCATTCAAGTTTAGTGACAAGGAGAACATACGATGGCCTTTATTCAACAGGGAAAATATACAGGTAGTCAACAAGGAAAACTTACAATCAAAACCACTTGATGATGAGGGTCACAAGGAACATATAGAGGTGGTCAACAAGGAAAACCTACTACCAAAACCACTTCATGACGATGATGGTCTAGTCTCTCCACCTCTGTCAAGCCCAAAAGTCACCGATCAAGAAAAGAACGAGAGGAGAGCTGCTAGGTAAATCCCATGCTCTTTGTCTTGCCAGTCTTTTGATCTAACCGTGTGCTGATTCAAAACAGACGCTCATATTTGAAAATGATTCACGCTGAATGGATGGACAACAAACCCATGGATGCACCAAGTCTATTGGAATTCATGACGCTACCAACTGTACATACATATATAGAAACTTGGCAAGATGGTTTACCACCAGTAGACAACTATCTGACATTCGATGCACTGCATTTGTTGCTTGACCTATCAAAACCTCATACTACCAGTCAAGCCGACCAACGACTGGAGAGATTTAAAGCTATAGGTATAACGACAAATTCCGAAGCGAACGTATTCGCATTCTCTTGTAAACGGTGTCCGTATGTCAGTGATCTGGTGCAAATGGTCAGTCATGTAAAGGAGGTCCATTATGTGTCGACAAGTGCTGTCTATGTGAGTGATCAAGAGAGGCATGCTGCAGTTGTCGATCTATATTCCACTCGATTCATGGGTTTAACAAGATTTTTCGCATTTAAACAAACAGAGCACGATTGATGTTGACTTATCACGACCAGGATCATGCATGTGTCCTCACCCAGCACCAAAGATTGTACCACACGTATTTGATAGAAGACAAGCACTCCTAGTAGGCAGCACACAATACCGCACATTTCAACAAGATGAAGTAGCCATGTTCCCCTTCTTCTACGAAACCGTCCCTGTACACCTCGCTCTACATCACGATGGAAATGCTCCACCCGATGATGACGGGGAAGCATGGTGTCGTCTCTCCACAACTCTAATAGCAGACTTTAAAGCAGAGTTTGCTCGAGTACACGAGTCTCTTATGGCTCGACTGGTTATAGATAGTATTGAAGTGAGGGACGATCTGGCATATTCGTGCCAAGCTTGTAAAACTGCAGACCCAACCTACGAGTCTATCACGTGGAATAAGGTCATATCACACTTGTTCGAAAAGCATTATACGAGAACCTGTGCTATTGATGTAAGTGATATTCAAATGTATTGGTGTTGTTTTATCATTCCAATCTCGACGGAATCTTTCTTTTTATAGGACACAGTGATATCTCTACCACCCGGTAGACCGCTAAAGGAATCCTTGATTGAAGAAAGATTGTTCACGATCAATCAGATGGTTGATGCAGCAGATGTAGCACAACAAACATTTGAATCCAGTCCAGTAAAACAACTCGCCATGCGAGAATATCAGTCTGTCTTACTCCGTCAACGAGCATCATCGTCCGAAATCCCATTTCCAACAGAAGTTCACCAGTTGAACGATCTTATAACCCAAACCATTGATAAAGTTAAAAAAGACATCACACGAATCTGTAATGAATTAGCAAACTCCCCGAATGTACGTATCAGTAATTTAGACACTGACCCACGGCACTTTGGGTGTATGTCTTTGGGGATGTGCCCGAGACTCACAGGTGAAGGAACCCAAGGACTATTGCTACACCTGCTAGTGCATCACTCGGCCATTCACCAAGATATCTCCGAGCTAGTGAGAACCACTGAGCCATCGCAACGAGCTAGGGTGCTTACAATATTAGAGACGGGGAGCATTGGCGGGTTTAGATCAGACTTGCTATTTGAATGTAAAATCTGTAATTTGAGGTGGAAGGGGTGGGTAAAGAGGTTTAAGCTGAACGGCTTTATAGCTCATTATCGGACAGCTCATAGCACAGAGTGGTATCGTAATAATATGAGGGTTGATGTTCAGCATATCGTCTTTCCGGCTGGACTATGAGGTTGTATAAAAATTGAATAGTATGTAGAATGCAGTTACGTAACAAAATAACCAAGACTGAGTCAATTGTTGAATAAGTTTGTAACAGCACTTGTGGTTTATGAAACTTGAAAGCGACAATATTGTATACAAATGGAGTTTATATCCTCGAACTAACTTTTAACACCAACAGCAACCAAATGGTCTTAATAAAATTCACGATCGGCTAATACGAGAGGTGCAATGACTGTCCAGGCATATAATATCAAAGTGACCCAAGACGAGACAATCTTGACCCACACGGCACCCATACTCTTTCCAACGATTGCATTGTCGTCCGAGAGCATTTCGAATGTGTTCCACTAAAGAATATCAGGGCGAACCAAAAAAGTTGTTATCACGATAGAGACTTACTGATGCAAAAGCATCAAACAACCAACAACAACCGCTTACATTCGTCAATAGCATTGCAACATACATGGCAGCCTGTGCAAATACAATATGAAAGTACGAGTAACTGTATTGCACTCCATCAGCCTCATCATCACTTGGTCCCCTGTTGTTGAAAGTAGTCAACAATCGCGAATGCAGTCTTACTTTTTTGTCTCGAGCACGACCGAAACATTTCACGATGACAACACTTACTTGGCATCATCATCATCACCACCAATAAGCGGAGCCTCCTCATCACCACTTCCCATAGTGCCCACACTAGATGCCGAATATGCCAAAGCTATAAACGTGAAGACAACACCAAAAGCAGTCATGGTTGTCGTTGATTTGCCTGGCTCGTTCGAGAAATTACACGTGTAGTCACCGTCGGGCGTTGGCACACTTGTTAGAGCTGATGCGACAAGGTATGTGGCGTATATGGTGACCATTGCTGCTTGAGCTAGACCGGATTTCGGGTTTGCTTCTTGGATTGCTGGTGTTATGGATAGGAGGGTAACCAGGAAGCATAGGATCCAGGATAATGATATGTAGAATCTGATGTGTGTGAGAGAGAGAGAGTAAGAGAGAATGAGGAGGGATGAAAGGAGAAAAAAGTCTAATGATGCGAAGAAAAATATTTAAGTCATTGGTGAACTACTCACTGGTTGAGTTTACAAGGCGGCTGCCCCCACCACAAGTACATCAAGATGATGGCCACCAAGGCTGTTATGAATGCGGCAGCTGTTATTGTGACTAGGACTCCAAGATATCTATACAGAAAGGTTAGGTTTTAGCAAAATACAGATTTGACCTATCGTTGCTCACAAACTCTACCTCTTGTCATCAGTATTCTCGTAAGCCTCTAGAAAAATCAATATAAAAATGCCGAGTTAGCATACGCATGCCAAAAAGGCTCCATCACGATCGGACAATAGTTGTCGAACTCACCAACAAGACTCTCACTAGTCGTATACGCGAAATCAATCAACAAGATAATCTGAATCAATATAAAGATGGCAGCACCAGGCATATCAATATACGTCCTCCATCCAACAAAGAATCCATTTGGTATAAAAAAGGCAGCAAAGACCAATCCAATCCATGCAATCAATTTAAAACCCCAAAATCCGTTTTGCACTGATGCTCTCCAGTCTTTTGAGGTTGTTACGTTTATCATTAGAAGGGATAGGAGGAGATGCTATAGTGGATGAAGCGTTAAGCACATATTGGTAGATAGCACAAATTTTTGGTTGAGGCGTACAAAAAGTGAAGTAGCAAAACAAATCCTTGTCACAGCCAAGACTCCATAACACTTCCCCTCAGGACATGTTAGATGAAGGTATCCGCCACCTGGTATCATGCCTTCCAGCTTTTTGATTGCCCAATCGGTCAAGAACAACTAGGAAGCATATGTCGTTGGCTGTGAGGTGGCAATCAACACATTTAGTCGCTTTAAGGTAGTTTTTTTTACCCATGATAACATTGAACTGAGCAAAAACATGAGAGCATATCTGTTACAAACAGAGTGATTCAGTCAGCGGAAAGACAGCTTTTCATAGGCGGCAAATGGACTTTTGGAAAATGTTTGATGCACAATTGATTTGAGAGCGATCTCTTGATTTTACTGTATAAAAGACACGTACCCAACTCTAGTAGCAGTACTACTACGATTTCCACAAATATTTCCAATACAGTGACATGTTGCTTTCCCAAAACCTGACGTGTGAAAAGCAAGTGTGATTAAAATGTTGAATAAAAGGAAAAGAGATACGGCAATCGTAGCAAGGAATATAGATTGACTTACAACAGACGGCCTCTGTTGCTAGACAAGAGGCTATTCCACCCATCTTGAAAGTTTGCTGTCGTTGAAAGAAGTTGAACACGATGTGCAGACCATGAAGTCTATGAACAAGGGTGGGAGGACTACCCTACGTACGATCTAGGCGACGCGATATACACGTATTCTCAAATTGAAAGTTGAAAGATTAAAATTTAGCGATTATTTCTTACTAATACAAAGTTTTTGTTTAAGTCGTTCTACGGTTCAACATGCCTCTTCAACAAACCTAGAGGCACGTCATCGTCATTCACAAGACTTTTACTCTTGCTACCTCTCAACGAATGATCTCGTTGTGGCTGTTGTTGCATCTTCACTCCAATTTGGAATGCTCCCTCATCAAACCCAGACTCATTGTTCTCATATGATGGTGTCCGTTGCCAATATAAAGCTGTTGATGATCCCGTTGTCGGTATAGATGTACATACAGAGGTATAATCTTTTATAGCTGATAGATGCTTTAAATCACGTTCAGTAGACGATGATACTGACCATGACGATGATGCTGATGAAGTTATAGATGTGGTTAAGAGATTATCAAACGACCATGGTGACGTATTGTATTGAGGCCAACATGGTCTTTGTTGTGATGGTGTTGATGTTCGTGTCTCGTTGTCACTAGAGGTATAATTATCTAGAGACGACATACTAGCATTCCACCATGCAGATTCAGGTTCTAATACAGGCGTCCACACCGATTCTAGCGACTTTGAATTGCCTCGTGTTGATGATACAGATTGTGATGCTACTGATGTTAATGCAGTTGTTGTAGCAGCTGATGATGCCAATGAAGCACAAAACGAGGGCGAAGGACTACGGCTTCTCCTCCTCGTATGTTTCCTCTTCTTCTTGTCTGGCTTGTTTGACGGTGGAGCAGAGTCCATCAGCCTGTCATGTACACTACCATACATTCCATCATCATCTAGTAATCCACCATGTATAGCTAATATACTCAACATTAAATTAGATAGTAATACTTGTTGGCGTAGCGGTCTTCGTGGTTGGGCTAGTTTATAATGCGAGTCACGGTATATGGATTGCTCGACTTCTATGGGGTATCGGGACGGACAACTCATGGGAGTTTTTGCTATTATCGGCTCTTGTTGTTGGTCAATTATAGCCGTTACTGCTGTGGATATTGCGTCAGGAGTTGATGGTGGTGATGGTGTCACATTAGACACAATCTGTGGTGATGATCCGTTCAATAACAGCGACGAGGATAGGCTGTTCATGTTATTGCTACTATTACTACCACTACTAAAGGCATCCCGAACAAGTCCCAACCACGACTTGTTCTTTTTGAGAGCTAAATGAGGGTCCGGGTACTCGGATTCAGACAGCTCTACACCATTTCTCGATTCTGCTTGTCGAGTAGTTACGGGCTCTTCAGTCTCGGGCAGAGCCGGCAATGATGGGGGTCTACCACTACTAGTGCTGTTGTTGGTGCTACTATTCATGTTGATACTCTTATCAATAATATCATGATCAGTCCGATCACGCGACCGCGACGGTTTCCTGGCAGATATTTTACGAGGAGTCACAGTCTCTCCACCTTCCACAGGTGGTTCAGGCGTTCTACCTCTCTCACTCGATCCATCATTGTTTTCAGCACGTGCACTACCTAGTATTGGTGATCTTGTGGGAGTAGTTGGTCGTTTCTTTTGTATATTCTGAGTTCTTTTCAATGGTGGTTGATTCGGTCCTCTCTTTGACATTGCTGCTGATGATGATGAGGTATTAGTACCGTTCGAGGTACTGGACATGGTCGAGTTGGATCGGGTACTTTTTTGAATGGCATCCCGAGCCAAGAATGCATCGATGGTATCAGCAGTTACTATGACTTGTTCATTCATTAACGAGTTTTGTCGTCGTAATGACCTGGCGTTGCCAAATAGACCTGGCTCTTTTCTTCCTGTATGTTGGGCAACCCATTTCTTGAATTGGTTTGGATGCACTTCCGGATGTAAATGAGCTATAATAGAAGAAGAGAATATTTTAGATCTAATATTTCATGGTGTAATAGTGATCAGGGCGATCCAGAGCGTAAGACTAACCAGGTACCCAGAACAAGTGACTCGGATTGTCAGTCAAGATGTTTATACCAGCAATGGATACGACTTTTTCTTCCTTCTTCACCGGCACTGTATTTATAGAAGACCGAGCTACTGAAGGCTTCATAATAGCAATGGGTTCCGGCGGTGAGGGCGAGTTCTGTACAGATCCGTTAGAGTTTGTTGGTGAAGGTGGAGGCGATGTAACAACAACAGGCGACGTCATCCCTTTATCCTGTTCATTCAAAGCAGTTACTATAGGCTTGATCATCTGAGGAGCTACTTGATTATTACTATTACTGTTGCCAACCATAAGCTTTGCCCTTACAATTGACTCATCCAACGTTCCCAGCTTAGATATTAAATGATTAAGTCGCTGACTTGACTCGACTCTAGGTGGTGGTTGTGATGGGAGAGCCATATTTTGTTTACTGAGCGATTTCTTCAGAAGCTGAAGATTTTCGATTTCGATGCTCGATGTCGACAGCGAGTCCGGATTTGGCTGGGTAAACAGTGGATCATTCAGATCAGATATAGATAACTCTGGGACAGATATCGTTCTCTTCCTTGCTTCCAAAGGTTTGCTAGATGTTGACAAGTTTGAGCCTGCGAAGAATCCAACAGCGAGCGAGGAATCCGATACGCTACGTGGTAGCATTACAGGATCGGCCATCTAACTACCAGCAGCACATTTTCAGATTCAAATAATCACCATTCACCAAATTTTCCTACTCAGATTACAACTCACAAAGAAAAAGGTATTCCAGCCGATGTTTGTTGGGAGACAGATGTTGGAATTGTGGAGGATACAAGCCTATAAATGTCTTAGCTAGTGGCTGCCCAGATACCAGACCGCTCCAAATGCACGTCTCCAAGCGCTCAAATCAGAGTTATCGTGCTAAGCGACTTCTTTTACATCCAGGTCGGAGTAGAACTGTAGCCCTTGCAACAAAAGGAGCCACCGAAAGGAGAAAGACCGTTTTTGTGGTCACGCCGCATATCGTCACGACTTGGATTGCAAGCAAAAATTTCCACGGACGGCAAAATATCACTGTCTACGACGAAACACATCCAAATACTACCATAGCAGCAAATTTTGAGGTTCCAGAACGATTCGGAATGCTCGAAATATGTACTGCATTTGCCCAGAGTCAGCAGATGTGACCGACCGCTATATCAAATTTTCGAAAACAACACCAACAACAATTCGCCATGAAACAACATGTAGCCACGCGTTAGATCTCAAGACCAGACATTTTCTTGGATTGATCTACCATCGGTCGAGCTATTCGCCACTCTGTGCCAAGCGCAAAAATGTGATGAGCGCAGCAACTACCCCTCTCCTTATACCAATCGAAAAAAACTTGAAGTTGAACCTTGCTTGCTCCCTTCAAAACACAGCAGTGTCTCGCTCTTTTAGGCTGAAAAAGCAACACGAGAGACAATCATGTCCGATAATACTACCACCGTCATCGATGAATGCTCGGCGGCAACAGGACCATCATTTGATCCCTCATCACCAGATTTTCTGTTGGTTAGTCAGATGTGGTTGGTGACTGTTATATTTTCGATCCTGTCTACTCTGCTGTCGTTTTATTTAGTGGTAAGTTACTTGAATATTAAACTTGAAATTTGCGAGATGATGTTCGCTTACACGTCGATTTCTACTAGTATCGCCACTTCCAATATTATTTCAAACCGAATTATCAGAGACATATTGTCAGAATTCTGCTGTAGGTTTCCCTTACTTGGATACGTATTTTGTCGCCTCAATATTAACTAGACGAACATATCTAGGATGGTACCGATATACACAATCTGCTCATGTCTCTCATTCAGATTCTTCAACAACTCCATCTGGTTTGATATCGTGAGGGATGGGTATGAAGCCTTTGTCATTTACAGGTACGTGCAGTTTATAATTTTTTGGGGAACAAAAGTGTTTGACACAATTGAAACAGCTTCTTCCACCTGCTGATGGACTACCTGGGCCCAGACTTTGAAACAAGACATCAACGATTAATAAACAAGCCTTCAAGGACGTGTTTGTTTCCATTCATATGTTTCAAGTATAGTCCAAGAGGACATGCCTTCTTGATCAACTGTCGAGTGTTGGTGTTGCAGTACGTTGTAGTCAGGTAACGTGTGATAGCATGCATGATTAAAGTTGCGGAGTTTCATTCTATGCAATGTTGTCTGTGAATTTATTGTTTTTTGCTCTTAGACCATGCATGACAGTGCTAGCGTTGATCTTACAATCATTCGAAGTCTTGTGCCCAAACTCAAGTTCCCCACTTCATGGAGAGTTTTGGATTTCATGGATTAATATGTTTTCAGTAACTATTGCCATGGTACAAAAAAGACAACCGTTACCAAACGTCTATGACAATCACATCTAACACACACTAAATATAGTACGGCCTCCTCGAATTCTACCTAGTAATCCACCACGACATTGCCGAACACAAACCCTTTTACAAGATCGTGGCCGTAAAACTTGTCGTCTTCTTCTCATTCTGGCAATCCATCGTCCTCTCCCTCCTCCAATCAACAGGAGTTCTCTCATCAACAGCTCTATCCGCCGACTCATTCTCCGACTTGATCCAATCGTTTCTCGTATGCGCTGAAATGGTAATCGCAGCATTCCTGCACATCCGTGCGTTCTCTCATCACGAATTCGTGCCCAGCCCGGCACAAAAGACTCCCATATGGGCTGGCATGAAGGATGCTTTATGGCCAAAGGATATCGTGTCTGATTTGAGAGCTGCGCCGATTGATGTGAGACAGCAGGCTAGGAGAAGGAGGGAGAAGAGGGCCACGAGGAAGCTGGCAGCTATGAATGCTGATGATTTTGCAGATGATATTTCGTTGAATAACATCGATGTTGAGTACGGACGTACGGGTGATGATAGTGATGATGATAGTGATGCTGCATCTGTTAAAGTTGGCAGTGTCAAGAGCCCAACAAGAGCTCAAAGCCCAATGAAGACATCGAGACTAGCTACTGGACCCGTCGTGGAAAACGGATTGTTTGGAGGCACTGCCGGTCAATCACCTCTAGCTGTTCAACCTCCCATCGTGGCTCCTGCCTCACCAGCCGACATGCAAACCTTCTTATTTGACAATACAGCAGAAGACGAAGGAGACGATAATGAAGAAGACGAAGACGACCATAAACAGTAAAACAGTCCCCAAACATAGTAGAAATATTATTTTCTTTATCCCTCCTTCCACTACATACAAGTTTTTCCCTAGTCGTTCTTGCCAGCGTGAATATGTTATAAATGGTGCGGGTGTGCTTTCTAGTATCGATTTGGCCGATTTATTGCAATCCACTTTTCCAAATCTTGCCAGAAATCATTCACAATGTGCGGATCTGTGTGTCTCGTTGTCCGATGAACCTATGATTGTATAGAAGAATTAGAAAACGGGTCTGAATCTTGCAACATCGAAGTATCCATACTCTCAGGAATTTGACATTCCAGTCCTTCAATGGAGGCACCAGAGGGTCATTATGATACAGGACAGAGAACCCACGATCTAATGGAAGCAAAATAGTTAGATCTTGAAGACCTCAGGTCATAGGCGAAACTGAAACTGTCCCTTTTTGTTTATGCTCTTTCCAGTCACTGCTAGTACTCACGTTTGGTAAATATCTCGACAATCTCCTTGTTACGCCCCTCCTTGTCGCGCCAATTTGTGAACTGCCATGCCTTTCCATCTGTAAATATAGCCACCACTCGCTTCCTATAGAGGGAGACGATGAAGGGAACTGTGAGAAACTGCTAGAGCAAGTTTAATTGTGGCACAAAACCTTACCAATCATCACTCGTCACGAGTTTGTCTGGGGAATCCATAATCAAATATTTTTGTGGAGCACCTGGGCTTGCGTGCTTGTTGATGATTGTTATGTTTGTTGGCTTGCCTTGGGTGAATTGTGGTCGAGCTTCGTCTACAGTCATGTAGCTGTGGAATAAAAACCGAGTTAAAACGTCGATTCATTACAGATCGGATGAACTGTTTCTTGAGCACCGGACTTACGTGCCATCCTGTAAGAAACTGGCAACATTGTACATATTGAGCATGCTGACTGACGCAGCTGGCACAAGAATAATCGGCGGTTTGGTATCTATAGAGAGATAACCCCGATGAGCAAAAAAATACTGTGTTTAAACCACTTATGCGAATGTCCAGTGTCGCTTCGTTTACACACCTTTCTTAGGAGGCCTAGACGAGCTTGATCCTGAGCTTGGCCGAGGCTTTTGTTGATCCCGACTTGACGATGGGGCTGAAGGTTTGGGCACTGAAGATGAGCTTGCAACCGGCTTTGTATCTAATGTACCATTTGTTGCAGTTGCATCAGTAGTGGTAGTAGCAGGAGCCTTCCCAAGTGCAGCTCGTTCACGATCAGCTCTTTCACGATCTTCTCGTTCTTTAACCTTTTCAGGCATCCAGATCTTTTCACCAATACGGCGAATTCGGTCAAAGTTTTTCACTGTGTTGTCATTGTATGTGCGTAAAGCCATGATTGTTTTACGATCGTTCGTTGTTTTTTCGTATGAAAACTATATAGATTGACGGTGAGAAACGTCTGGTTTGAGAGCAAAAAACACCCTTCACTAGAAGTCTAACTGGCTTGACTACACTCAAAGACCTGATCCACCATCACCCCAGCACTTACATCATGTTTAGCCCGTTTCGAGGAAGCTTCCATGGCATCACCAGCTCTTTTCTTTGTAGCATCAACCAAATGAATACTAGTCTCCTGGCCTCCCTTCAGGTATTCCGACAAGTCTCTCCTATCTACATACGATATTGGCTCGATACGTCTCGGCTTTTCCACATTGCCACTTCCCGAAGCAGCGGCAGCGTTACGATCATGTTCCAGGATCTTTTGGTTTAGGGCAAATGTATCACGTAAATGGTCTTGATGTTGAGTATCAGGTTGCCATAAGGAGACGGTTACGAAGTTGACGAGGTCCAGGAGAGTGTATTCCTTGTATCCGGATGGCTGTATTATTGGGAATATGACTGGATTCTGCTGCACGCCATTGATGTCTGTTGTGGTGAAAGCAACATGAAGGGCAGTGACCAAGTCTGGGTTTGCGAGTGGTTGTTGGTCGGCACCTAGTAGTGCGATCGAGTTAGAGCCTGAGTTGACTATGGTGGCCCGCAGGTACTCGACTGGGAGATTCATTTCATATGCTGGAATGCTCGAATGTGGATTTTGCAAATGTTGAGACTTATTCAGGGAGTAACTGGGCACTTGCGACGCGTCGAGACCTCATATGGTGAGTTTTGAATATAACTTCATCTATTTTTTGTATGAAATCGCGTTCTCTGTTCCTCATACCATCGTAATCTATTCGTTCAGCAATCTAAAAATGCAATCACAATCATTGGAGAGGAAAAAGGTAACTTTTGCTATTCAAGCACGTGAGATTACACTATTTGAAGATGAAGGTACGTGATTCTGACTGTATTGTTTGATCATGTTTTGAAGCACATCGCAGTTATGCTACTAGAGGAGCAACATTCAACGGTATTGACATTCACACATCATTGAACTAACTATACATCTTATAACCAAAATACATAGCTCTTGGTATAGCAGGGAAGGTCTGGGGCTCGGCAGAGCTACTCTCCTCCTACTTTTCCTGGAGATTCAACAAATCAGAAGACACAACGATCAATGCTTTGGAGCTAGGTTCCGGCACGGGTTTATCTGGAATCTATCTAGGAAGTCTGCTAAACGAAAAGAGCACAGTCCTTATAACGGATTTGCCGGAAGCTGTGCCTCTTCTGGAGGACAATATAGGGCTGAACCCAACACGTAGTAAAGTCATCGCGACTGCTCTATCGTGGGGTAATACGGAAGAAGGAGAGCTCGCGTTAGCTACTCTGGCACGTCCTCCAGATATCATATTCGCTAGTGATGTGGTATACTACAAGCACCTGCAACAGCCACTGATATCAACACTGGTTCAAATAAGTCAACCACAGACTGAGGTCTTGATTGCATACAAAGAGAGGGAAGCAGTAAAAGAGTATCCATTCTGGTTACGTGTTGGAAAGTACTTTGAGATGGAAATGGTGGCTGAATGGCCTGATTTGTACAGTAACAAGTTTAGTGGGCAGGGGTTTTGGCTGTTAAGGTTGACGAAACGGATACAGCCTCTAGAGTCGGATATAAGTGATGAGTTTGTGTCGCTGAAAATGCTTCAAGTTGAGTTTGAACCTGGCGAATAGTAAATTTTTGCACCTCTGTAACTTATAAATTGTAAATAGTAGCGTATAGCGTATACAATAATAACATATTCACGTAGAACTGGCTTTGCTCGCGTTGCCATTCCAACTGGTTCCATCGTCCAAAACCCAAAAACGAACGACTTGTGAACGAATTCATACAACAACCGTTCTACAGCAGATCTGTCTAGTTCCGACATAACTTACCATGCCATTGCCACCTATAAATAGCAGAGGAGCATCTCCTAAACGACCTTCGGCATCAAAGTCACCAACACGATCAATTCTCATACAAACAACTAGAGCATCTGCTTCCCTTATATCGCCCACATGCATCTCTTTACTCGGACTGGGATATTTGGATTCATATAAGGAGCTATTCGACTTAACCCATACTCGATCTCTGCAGCAGTCATCATCAAACAATGCATTTGTGGAAAAGTCGATTAGTGCGATATTTGGAGAGGGAGTGCCGGAGGGCAGTGTCAAGGAAATAATTGCATCACTGAAACAATTGTTGATTTCTGTGGAGGATTTGAGACGTGCAAGTAAGTGTTTGTGTGTGTTGAAGTGTTCGAGGTTGATCAAAACGAACCTGAAAGAATTGAGTGCAGAGGATTCGGTCTACGTTGAATTGTGCATCACTATACTCAGTCTTGCCCAACACTCCTTGAAAACCTTTGCTGAACAATCCTAACAAACGTTGTCCGTTTAGGCGACACGGAAGCTCTAATCGCATCACACACCAAATTGGGTGCATTATACTCTACGACCCTCTCAAAGAATGATTTCGCTGAACGCCACTATCGAGAAGCTCTATCATTGTCACAGGGACATGCAGCTCTACACGTCGAGTCAGCCAGAAACCTCTCTAGTATATTACAGGCTTGTGGCAAACCTCAAGAAGCATTAATTGTCTTAGAAGGTGCTCGTGCATCAGATGGGCCAGAGAACACGGTTACTGGTGCCATGATTTCGATTCTGTTGGGTATGAGCGATGAGGTAATGGTTGTTGGCAATTTGCCAAGTTTGAATAGCTGCTCGAAGTTGTTTTTTTGCTAGGCATCTGCTACCGGAAGCCACACGGACGCTGCTTCTTACCTGACAAAAGCATGGAGTCTTGCATCAGCATCCAATTTGAACGAGTCGGCTATCGCCAAACTGTTATATAGGCGAGGAGAAGTTGCTCTGGTTCTTGGTCAAACCGATGAAGCTCAACACCTATTAGAAGAGTATGCTGCAAAAGTGGTTGCTATGAATGACTTTGGTGGAGAAGCCAAGGCGTGGTCTGCTCTTGCTAGAGTCTTTGAACAGTACGTATAATTTTGTACTGTGTCCAACGAAAACAAGCCTTATACTATTCATCTGTATTCAGGAAGGGTGATCTCGGCACAGCTGCCTCTCAGATGGAAAAGTATCTTGAACTTACGAAGACACAACCGGAATTAGCATCAGAGGAACCGGAAGCAAGTCGAAAGCTTGGATTCATCTTTTCAAAAATGGGCAAGTTTGAAGAGGTATGCACATTTGCATGTTTTGACATAGCAGACTTACGGGAATCGTCATTCCGTCGGAACTCTATCCTGAAAGCTACTTGAATTAACCAACCTGCATTTCGTAGTCTGCCAAATTCTTTGAATCGTCGATATCTCAGTCAACGCAAGATCAGAACGCTACTCCACAGGCAGCTCCAGATGCGCGAGCATGTATACAAGTAGGAATAGCACGTGGTAGTGCGTTAATGTCGCGTCTGGTTGATCTAGTTAAAGAGGACAACGTTGCAGCACTACTCAAATGGAAGACAAATAGAGAGTTGCCGGAGGTTGTCGTTGCACCTGCTGCCACCATTTGACCGTAATAACAACGTATAATGTTCCTTTTTGTTTATATAATTACTTATGGAGAAACGTGATGTAAATGAACTCAGTTGGATTGGAAGAAACGTCGCTCCAGGCCAAAGGTCTCACGTCTTCTAAGAAAATTACGCGTAATCCGTTGGGGTTTCGATACAAATAGTAGCGCAGTGTTAATTCTGCTGGTAAGTGGCCAAAAAGCAACCTTTGTATGAAGTGACAGTCTTCATGAGCTCCACGCGTTTTAAAAGGTATTTGATGCTTATTTACGCTTTGAAATCGTGTCTATCACCTCTCTTATTACCAGCTTTTTGAAGTCTCTGTCTAAAGTGGTCAAAAGTAAGTAGATTTTCAAACATTTTGTTGGCAACGTTCTTCAGGCATATAAGAGCTAACAAGCTAAAAAAAAGTCATCAATTAACTTGAAAAAGGAAATTCAAAGTAATTTCGCAGTACATGACATCCAATTTTAAGCTTTGAACGGCATTTGTATGTTTTGCTCACACTACAATTTTGAATATGAACTTGGACACCAGCCATAGTCTCAAGTGACTATAAAAGGGACTCTGTACTAGCATTCATACTTATTACTCCCTACAATCTCCTTTCGGTAAGCATCTCACTTGAAGCGAACGGCATTTTTTCCGCATCATTGCTTTTGACATGTGTTGAACCCCCACACAAAAGCTTCAATGAAAAGTCCTTTATTGGTCTGTACGTCAGCTAAACTATATAGCCATATATATAGCCTTCATATACATGGTCATGAGGGAAGCAAACAGAACCATCATTATTGATGACCAAAAAGAAGAGGACACTGACTTTGGCATAACCCATTACGGGTATGTTACAGCAGCATCATCTTCATCACCAGCAAAAGAAGCTTCAACGAATACACCCTCAACAACGAACACAAGGAAAATTATATTCCCAACACCGCCTAGTACGTCTGCTGGTGATAACGGCATGGATGAAGATGACGATGACAAAGACGAAAAAGGCGAACGTCAAAAGGACGAACAACAACAAGCCTCCACATACGTACCTTATCGTCAACAACCCAAACCAACGCCCAACAATAAAAAACGAAAGACAGAAGCACCAACCCAAGAAGACTATCAGTGGCTTCAAGCCACAATCATTGGTGACTATTGTCCAACACTTCTTGCCATGATTGCCAACACGAAATTCTCTGAAGTCCGTGTTGTCCTCGCTACGAGGTCTGGTGTCCTTGATAAAGGGTGCTCGTATTCTGAAGATATCTTTGTACGTCGTGGTCGAAGTCTCTTGCAGAGTCACAAGGACAAGTTTACTGGGTTGCTTGGTGACCATGTTACTGCAGTGCAAGTTAATAAGGTATGTGTGCCAAAAGAGGTAAGCATTTGGTACATGCGATCGGACTGACTATGTTTTGGCAGGCTCTGGATGCTATGCAAACATATGACAAGGTTATGATCAAGCATTTTTTTGCATATTTTGGGATGCTCGATAGCAGGCACGACATTTCTGATGTATTCTATCGTCAAAATGGTGCGCCATGTATGAGTCGTCATCCAGGTGCGCAAAGTGAAATCAAGATATATTCAAGTCTCGAAAGTTTATGGTCTATGACATCCTTGGATGGTCAGTCACTTTTTTTTCGGCAAAATAGCACTATTGAAACTCCCTGGACGTACCAAAGCTTTCAACGAGTACCAAAGGTATTGGGTTGACTGGTGCGAAAATGACAAGCCTAGCAAAAGCAAGAAGAAGACATCATCCTCATTTTCACCTAGTGGTGGTAAAAACAAAAGCAAGAAAAAGAATGGTGCAAAGTGAATGGAACATGTCGAAACGATTTTATCAAGATGGTTTTGCACCCAAAAGCAAGTTATAGTGGTTAAGAGCAAGTATAATGAAAAAACGAGCAAGTTTATTTATATCCTTCTATATGAGCACAGGGCCTCCTTTATATATATGTATAGCACGATCGTATTAGTGCTGAAAAACACAACAACAAGTTTTGATTCAAATGCCTAGTTGTTCGTGAGGACCGAAGTCAACATATATCAGTAATCCTCGGAAATCTTCTTCTATGATTTGTTGAGGTGCGACTGTAGTTGTTGCCCTTGAAACTGACACCGATGGTTTGATCTCCTGGTGGACGACTTTGTAGGCGCCCATTGGAGCTGTCTTCCAATCGTTCTCCTGGTATGCTTTAGCGAGGATGCACGTTTGTTGAATATCTTGTCGATTATACGTGCGTCTGTGATGCCTTACAGCTCCATTTTACTGGTATGTAGCACTGGCACATACGGTCATCTTCACCAATCTTGAGTTTTTCTTTCATCAATACATCCACCATACTATCTTCTGCAACTCGGACTACGATACAGCCATCAGGCAAGAAAGCACCCTCTTTGATGTAGCTCGTTGGATCTTCAAACCAGAATTTCGTGTTGAGGTTCTTGAGCCTTTCTGGCGAGAATACGGATGCGTGTTGACCGGCCTTGAAGTTGGCTGCAAAGACTTCGTTGTATCCGTTTTTGCGAGCAAAGTACCACATATGGATGACCTGTCGAGAAGATTAGAGGTGAGTGGTTGATGTTGACGAATACCAGAAACGGGAGACGAAAAAAAGTCGAAACTTGGAAAAGATACAAATACCTCTTGGACGATATCTATAGTAGCATCGTAACCAAACATCTTGCCATTGTTCACATACTCGTAGTACCTTTGATTCTCAAACAAGCTGAAAGTATTCGGGAAAGCGCTATCATCACAAAATGCAACTTATGAATCTCAAAGTCACCAAATACTGAATCAACGTCAACGCGTCTTATGCCGTACAAATCTGCATCAGCCTCGCGCAGTGCGCGAAAGACCTTCCTCTTGGCAAACCTTTGAGCAGAAATAGCGTTTTCAAGGATTCCATTCAGGTATCGAATAATATTTTTCTAAAACGGGTTATAGTCATAGTCATTGCAAAGGAAATGTACCACCCATTTCACACACCATCCAGACAGTTTTGAATTACTTCATCAAAACGTCTCGTCTTTGTCCTGCAGTTTCTGCGGATTTATCTTCAGCAAACTCCAAAAAAGCTTCGGGATCCACATCTTCGTCCTCATCGTGCAACTCTTGTACAAAAGCTTCTGCCATGATCATCTCGTCGTCAAACACGATATCATAGTATGGCATCAAGGCATTCTCAAGGGAATCAGAGAGACGAGGCATAAGAATTGACTTTGGTCAAGATTGCATATTGCTCGGAGTACCAAGCCCACTATTTCGGTTCATCGTTTTCTGCTAATACAAGAGCCCTTGCCCTCCTTGCAGCTTGTACATCCGATTGCAAAAAGTATTTTGCATTTGCTACCGAGTGGCTGTTTGGAATGGTGATGGATTTTGCTGATTGGCACGATGTGTATAATTTTTTCAGCTCGTTTGCCAAAGTTTATGATGTGCGAGTGGATCTTGATTTTGTCCTTAGCACAAAAGCTGTAGAGACGTATTCTGAAAATAAATATTTCTTGACCAAGAGCACCACACATGTCACAGCCTAGAAGGGACATAGCTGTCAATGGCTTGCGACCGAGAAGGCAACGAAAAAGAGAAGGATGCAACGTGAATCGTACCATTATTCAAGCAAAGCTGGAAAGCACGCTTGATATCAATACCACAAGGCTCGAATCCATGGACATAAAGATGATGAATCTCCTTCCAGAGCGTGAATTCCTTGACTATAGCCGAGAATCGACTTGAAGCAAGTTCAACACAGATCAAATCATATCGATCTTTGATTTTACCAAAGGGGGTGAAACCTGTGAATATATCCCAATTTCTCCACACGAGCTAGCACCAAGAATTCGCGTCCAAAACGACAATTATAACCATTTCAATATCAATTATGAATTCTGTTATACACAAACGTCCATTTCCTTATATAAAAGTACATAATCATATCACATCATGCAAATATCTACTTGTTCTCCACCGTATCTTGGCTGCTAGTACGACGACTTCCCATACAAAAGTGTTCAGCTACCGTCTTCTCGATCTTCCTTCTCTGCTCACGTTCACTTTTGAGTTGTTCTTCCAGCATATCAGCCTTACGTTTCTCAGATTGATATTTAATTTCGGTTTCATTTGTCTTTTGTATGGATTTAGTTACCGCATCAATCAATTGTTGTCGTAATGTGTCAATGAGTGACTCCGTTGCAGACCATTTCCTGTTGAGTAGGTGGGTGTTAGAAACTCGATTACCTCCAAAACCACGCAAAAAAAGCACTGTCAAATCAACTAGGAATACTTACTGTGAATCTTCCTCCATCTTTTGAGTAAGTTCATGAACATTCTCTTGATGCAGGGATTGACTCTTCATATACTGGTGTCGCCATGCTTCACCTCGGAATCGAAGCATATTGTTTTGTTTGTTCAATTCCTTGACTTCGACCAGAATACGATCTAGTGGCATTTCTGTCTGAACCCCAATACTGTTTCCATCAGTTTGCTCGGAGATTGCAGTATGCAAACGCTCCATTAACTAGCATGGCAATGAAGCTGTCAGTAACGAAGAGACACTGACGCGAAATTCCAACATATGATGCTACTGGCAACTAGTCTTTTGCTCAAAAAACCCCACACTCACCATTTCATTTTCTGTAATAGTAGCCCGCAAACCATCTTGAAGTTGCTTCACTTGCTCTCCATATTCACAATGAGCTCGATCCAATTGTACTTGAGCAGTCAATAACTCCCCTTCCAGCTCGTCTATTCGAATCTCATTTGCCGATTTACAATCCTCTAGCTCCTTGATTTGAGATTCTAGCGCTTCAATGACTTCATATGCATCGGATACTTCTTGTTGTATATCTGCTAGTTGCGTTTGGTATTCGGTACTACTATTACTCTGACTATGTATATCATCGTTGACGAGATCATTGGTATCGGTGGATTTTACAGGTTTGATAATGGTGGTATTAGCACTACTAGCTCGACGATCATCAAGACAAGCTCGTAGTTCCACTATTTGCAAGTCTCGTTGAGCAACAGCGGCACTCCATTCCGTCCTGTTTGCTTCTACATCGCGTAATTGGCCAGTCACTGCGTGTACATCAGTCTGAGCCTCCCACAGGTCGTGCTGTAGACGTGTGACTTGATCAGCATGCAAATCATTAGTTTCTAATAAGCGAGATTCTAGAGTAGCAATACGAGCCTCTAATTCAGACAACACTCCTCTCAACCCATCTTCTTCATCTTCTTGCAAAGCCATCATTTGACGATGTCGATTGTCCCGTTCTGATAATGTCTTTTCTAGTTCGTGTACTCGTTGCTGCCATTGCCTAGTCAAGTCTTCCTTTTGGGATTGTAGTAGAGCAGTGTGTTCTCGTTCAGCTTCTAGTTGGAGTTGTAGAGCTTTTACTTCTGACGGTGTTGTATACGGCGAGAGTGTTGATAGATGTGTTTTGATTGATCTAGTTGGAGTTGTGGGACGTGCATCCGAGTCCAGAGATTTACCTATTATCGCTTCAATCTCATCCATCAAATCTAGTGACCGAGTGGACTGGTTTAGCAAGTCAACAGTTCTGCCTCCCTGTTTATGGCCATTGCCGTCCTAATAATATTTAATATCAGTAATTAAAATATACAGAAGCATCAGAATTGCGGATATAATACGAAAATGACCACTCACAGTGAGCATTGAAACTGGAGTATTGTGAGGAGGCACAATTCCAGACTTGTGAGGAGACTTGTAGACCTTGATCTTTCGAGTGGAGACATTGCTGAGAAAGCTGGCAGCGGCAGATGGAGTCGGATCTGCGATAGGTGCTGACTGCTAATACCAAATACATAGAAGTGAGTTTTCCAAAAGAAGGCCGTCATCTAATAACAACGCCAATTTACCTTGTCAACGGTAGTAGTTAGTACATTTCTCCTTCCATTCGTAGTCACTTCAGATAATGCGTTCTTTGGACCCAGTGGTTTCCCCAATGTCTTGTTCTGTTGAAAGCAAGTGTTAAATGTTGGCTGTTAATGAGACCCAAAAACGACTGAAAGTGTATGAAAGGAGATATCCACCTTGATGGCATCAGGTTTTCCTTGATCTGCTGCCTAGATTGGAGATATTGAACATTAGAAAACGCTCTCAAATCAAGCGAGAACTGGCGTGTTTATCAACTACACCTACTTTTTGGTTTTTCCAAATCGCCAATAATTCTTTCCTGCTAACTCTCTGCGTGTTCTGTGCATTCTCTTGCTGCACTGACGATGCGTGGTCCATTACTCTGCGAGGTCCACCTTGTCCTTCGCAACTGAGTTTGGAGAAACGACTTTTGGCACCAGTGCCAAAAACCAAAGCAATAACATTCGCCACGAAAACATTTTGATATATGTGCAATGCAAAGTTTACTAACTAAAGAAGAGAATTCTACACTTAAACTTGATAGATGTCATCGTTACCGTAACTAAAAACAAAAGCTAGTCAGTCAGAATCCTCAAACTCCTACAAATCAGCTATCAGATACCCACCTGGAGTTGGTCTTGAGAGCTGTATCGTGCATTTGATAGCCAAGAGTGATATCACTATCTACACCCATAATCTGCTTGAATTGCTTGCCAATACGTTCTTGGACATCCTGGATTGCTCCTGTCTTGGTCCACAACGAGATACGGTCATAGGACCTCCTGGCACTGACGACTGCTCCCATGATTTCTGCACCGTCTTCAAAGGCTTCGCCAATCATTCCCATCAACTAGAGTGTGTGGCAAAAGATGATGGTGAGAGGTGCTCAGGTTGATCTTTGGCTGGTTCATCCACACGAAACGCCATTCTCAGGAGATGGAGTTATCAGACAGTAATAATAACGACTTGCTCGACATAGTTTTTTTAGACAGCAGTTGGACATATCGTTTTACTTTCATCCCTTAACCAACCATTCTCTGTCTGGATCGTCCAAACTAAAAGGGTGACGAATACCAAACTTACAGTATTCAGCCACCAAGTATCCATTTGACCTCGATGCTTCTTAGTAATCGACACAACCCACTTTCCACCCTTCTTGTTTTGTGGGTCTTCCCACATTGGCTGTATGCCCTCTTTGAATACGTGATAGTTAGATCCAGCAGGTAGAGCTGATGCCTTCATGATGTGATTCATAATGCTATTTGTTTGAATATGTAGTTCTTCAGGGTTGGTGTTTTTTGAGCTCGTCCACAAAAGCAGCACTCATACCCCCAAAAGTCTTCAACAGAGTCAAATGTCACCAAGTTCTAAGATCATAAATGATGATATAGTTAGGAAACAACCAGCTTTGCGCAATCTTCTATGCGAATGCCGTACCTTCAAGTTGTCCATCCAATTTTTTTGATTTTGCTTTCCTTGAGCAGAATCAAACCACACACACCATCTAATGATCACAGAATATCATTGTGATTGTTAGAAACATAAATACCATCGAAGAGCTTGATGTTCTTCACATGAAACATATAACAAAAGGACATTTTTGAAAACTCACTTGTGTTGTAACGGATGCTTGTGTGTAAAGTTGATTGGGTCATCGAATACAGTGATGATATCAGTAGCAGGACTTTCAGTTGTCGTCTCTGCTGTTTTCTCTTCTGCAGGTGCCATCTTGTTGCTCCCTGCCCGTCTCGTTCGACCTAGTTTCTCCTGCGAGCTGAACAAGTAATATCGAACGGGTGCAGAAGGAACCAGAGAGAAGTAATAGCGCATTCGTGACGCGTAAGCTCGCGACTAATCATCCCGAGTAACGAGTATTGCCCTCATCAAACAGGAAAGGGAAAGAATGCCAACAATATGTATATATAAGCTACTCAGAACTCCCAAGTTTTCAGCTCCCCTTGCTCCCCACCCGTCATAATAACACGATCATTCCATTCAAGGGCAAACAGCTTCATGCTCTTGTCTTGTGAACCGGCCAACGTGTATAAAGGAGTAGTGGATCTCACATCCCACACTTTGACAGTAGAATCATATGATGTAGAAGCCAACATGTGCGAAGAAGATGGCGACCACGATACCGAAGATACCCATCCCTTGTGTGATTTCAGTTTCAGTTTGACTGCAACACCATCTAATAGTTTGAAAGCACGGTGAGTTTGAATAAGCAGATACTGATGAGAAAGCATGCGGCTCTGCAGTCCAAATGTACCTTGAGATCTAGGATCCCATAATCTTACAAGACTATCAGAGTGACCTGTAGCAATCAACCCTGAATTGGCAGAGTGTGCTAAAGCGGAGACTACACTTTCACACGACTAAACGTAAAGAATGTGAGCAGCGAAGTAAAAAGCAAACGGCAGTGATGGGGTATACCATAGAAAGAGTGTTTGATCTACCAACTAGATCCCACACACGAACAGAATGATCCCAACCACCTGAATACAAGATATTTTCTTCACTCCCTTGACGGAATGCAACTGCCGAGACACATCCGATATGTCCCTCTAATGTCAAGAGCGGTGTTTTTATAGGAGCTGGACGTGATGTTGGCGGTTGTTTTCTCTTTTGGCCGGATTTGGTATTTTCTGCTTCGTCTTCTTCGTCATCTTCATCTGTTGGACGTTCCGTCGTCCAGTATAGTATTTTGCCGTCCCATGATGATGAAGCGAACTGGGTAGAAAGTGTGAAAGGTGTTAGATAGGTCGGGCAAAATAAAAATGGCTAGGATTGAATTATGTCTTACATGACTGTGAGAAGGCGATACGTCCAGCGACTCTATAGCACCGCGATGACCAATTGCGTCGTATAGCTTGGTGGCAGTCTGACCAGATATCTGTAGTTGGATCATTCAGGAAAGATGGTCAAAAAACACAATAGTAAGGTTTTACGATAGAATCGTTTCCCGTCTTACCTGCCATGCACCAATTTTCTCACCATCAACACCACCAGCTAACGCAACCAACCCTTCCTTCCTCTTGACAAAACCAACAGCTTTAATCCCCTTCCCAGGCTTCCCACAATCAAGTATCGCCAAACTATTCCCACTATAATCCCACAACCTCGCCTTCCCATCAAAACATCCCGTCAACACCAGATCATCTGTAGATCGTATCGAAGCAATCCAATCTGGATGTGGATACGAGTGGGATGGTGATGGTGGTGATTGGACTGGCAAATACTCGATTTCGAGAATGCTTTCCGTAGATTTGGCATTTGCATCAAGGTATTCGGACAATGATGTTCGTAGAAACTTGTTTTCGATTAGAAAGTCGAATGGGATTGTTTTTTCTGTTGGTTCTGGATTGTCTTTTTGTGGGAAAAAAAAAAATGTAAGCTTGATGAAACATAGTAGATCAAGTGTTAAAAACGTAGTGTCGAAGCTGAGATCATCCTAAATATAGTATTTCAAACGAGTTTGATTATCGTTCATACCTGAATTCAGCAGCTGGTTTACAATGCTTGATAGTCCGATTCTCTTGACGCCAATTGGAACAAGAATGGGAGCTGTTGTGACAGAGTACCTAGACTCTCTACTTCTGAATCGCACCTGCACTTTCTGCTGTTGCTCGTTCTCATTGTCTGTCGTCATCTTTGGGCTGTGAGCGTCTTCTGAGGGTTTGTGAAGGTTGAACATTGGCGAGTTTTCAAAAGCAATGTTTTGGTAAGATAACGGCGCGGTTTCGCTCATGCGTATTCCAAATCACATATTTGACTTTATTGTAGAGCGATCTCTTATGCAACATGGGTTCGAAACGCCAAGCGTGACAAAGACAAAAGAAATGATCAAAGTGAACTTTAAACACATCTTTGATTACATGCAAAGATTTATACATTGCTATAAGCGCTATATGCACACATAGCGCCATCTCCTGCCACCGGATGCGTGACGTTCTCGCATACAGCAGCATTAGAGTGGCAGTGAGGACCAGCAAATGCCTGTGTCTGGGGCCTCTGTCATGGTCAATCCAGTTTCTAGGCAAGAGCTGTCGATACGGCTCTCTGTTCTCTAAAATAATTTTGGTGTGAGGAAGTGAAAATGTTTAGTTGGAAACATTTCGTATCATTTATGCTATAGTTGGAAATCACGAATGAAACATCATCGGGCAACAATCTCTTATAGAACACAGGCTCGGAACAAGAAACGAGCAGGCAGGCGGCGTAAAAGAAAGATCAAAGTCGACTTTGATTACTGTTTAAAGTGTAATTTACTATTATGCAGAATCTATGGAAAAGCGCCTTTACACCAGCACCATCTCCTGCCACGAATGCCGACACCCCCACACAGCTTCACAAACACCACCTCACTCTTACAAGACAGCAGGCAGATGCATCTTCATACTCTGACCAACCAGAGCATCTCTAATCCAACGAGGCCCGTCGACTGCAGTGACGACTTGGTTGAGATCAAGTCCGGATCTCAACAAAGTGCCTATCGTCGACAAGGCGTTATGCTCTATAGCACTAAATAGTAGCTGTCCATTCCCGCTCAGAGCATTATCTCCTTGCTTGAGAGTGAATCCTGATATGGTAATGTTACCAGCCGGCGTTGGCACGTCAGGCTTATACAAGGCCAATTGCATGTCACCAATCTTCATACTTGTGGTTGATGGATTGTATATGCTGACACCAACATGGAATGGGATGGCTTGTAAAGATTTCGGTATTAACGGCAGTATGCTTTTAAACGTTACATTATTCAATCCATTGGTGCCCGGTAGCGATATAGTCTTTTCCATCGTAATCGGCACCTTTATAAAGTTAAAAAGAGTCACGGTAGCAGGTCCCCTAAACGTCAGATCGACGCTCGGGCTGCTTATAAGCTGCTTCACAAAGTTACTCCAAGATCTAGAGTCCTTCAATACTATCGTCTGATCGAGACGGATTACGTTGGGAGCTTCTTTAGCAATATCCATTTCGGGGATTGTGACTTCGAATTGATTCGTATCGCCATATGCCACATTCATAGCTCCAAATGATATGTGGACGCTCATAGGTGGTGGCGATACGAATCGTTGTTGTTGTTGAATTCGGAAACCTGTGTCTGTAGCTTCTGTTATAGTTGTTGCTCCGGTGTCTAGCTGCGAGCTGCCAACAATGCTCTCTGCAGAAGCGGTTGAGGGAAGAGAGATTTGCTTAGTTACGACTATGGTGTGCATGTCATCGGAACAAACAAGATGCACCATTTACCGATAACCAATCGAAGAATCACAAAATACGTAAAAGGAATCATGATAATTATTAGAAGCACCAATACTAGACAGGATATACATCTTGGTCTGCGATGCCATGGCTTCTTAACACCATCGTCCTGAGTGTTTGAAGCACCAACATCCTGACGATTATGTCTGATAAAGCCACTAAATGGGTTACCAAAACGGCCTTGACGAGCATTTGCTTCACTAAGTTCTTCGGGTTGATTCCGTTTAGGCAGTTTTAAGATTCCCTTCAATCGTTCGGTAAAGCGAGCCCTCGAATTAGAACGACTAGCTTCCTGCTCTGCTTCTTGATAGGCAGCGGAAGGAACGCCTCTTGTGAGAAACCTCAAATAGTCCATTTCCTCGTGCGAAGGGATGCAGGGAGATGTTGACGCAAAGTCCAAACACTTGGAGGTGTGCAGATGGTCTCTGAAGCAGATACCCAAAACTGAAATCTAACACGTAAATCAAACCCGCAGCTTTAAAGAAACGCCCTTCTATAATCTGGTTTTGGACTTTCTGAACTACGAATGCAAAGTTACAACATGGTAGATTTTTCGAGCCTTCGGGTTCACAATGGTTATATGATATATCAGAGTCAACACTCTGTCTAGTAGACAATACGGACCCAGATGGATTCAGGCACCTTGTTTATATCCGAGTAGAGTTTTTGCATCTCATCGTGTGTTAAATCAGCGGTGATGTCGGCCATGAAGTAAGCAATTGGACCCTAAAAAGACGATGAAATGCATGATGAGACGAGGGTTACCATGCAAGCGTTGATAAAGCTCATACCTTGCTATCACAGATTTGCTTCTCAATGTTGAATTCAGAGAGAATCTTGGTCATTTGCTAAACGACGAGGAGCGAAATCAGTCAGGTCGAAAATAATACGATGCAAGTCGTTTGTTTTTTGTTCAACACTGACAAACAACACCACAAAACACAACTTACTCTCAAGACACCAGGAACGTTTTGATGACAGTTAACCACTCTCACAGTGTGAGAATCAGCGAATGGTACACGCAAGTCGACTTCAGGGAAGTTGACTGCTCCCAAACTAGTGCCACTGTTTACATATCTGATCAATGCATTGGCGACTTCTACACCAATAGCCGATTGTGCTTCTTCAGTAGATCCACCAATATGTGGAGTCAAGATAGTGTTGGGACATCCTTGTAGTTCAGTGACAAAGCCTTTACCGTTTGCGAAAGGTTCTGTTGGATATACATCTACAGCAGCACCACCCAAATGACCTGATTTGAGAGCAGAAGCTAGAGCCTGGATATCTACTACGGTACCACGAGAAGCATTTATCAAGTAGCTTCCCTTCTTCATGATTGCTAATTCCCTGGATGAAATCATGTTTGCAGTGTCGGGAGTTTCGGGTACATGGAGAGTGATAAAGTCGGCTTGTTTGAGCAAGTCGTCTAGTGACGCTTGTGGACGAGCCGTACCCAATGGCATCATTTGCATGACGTCAAAGAAGATGACTGACATTCCGAATGCGTCTGCTAACACAGATAGTTGGGAGCCGATATGACCATAACCGACAATACCCAAGGTCTTGCCACGGATTTCATAGCAGTTGGCAGAGACCTTGTTCCAGTTTCCTTGGTGCATTTCATTATTTCTGTCGCCCAATTGTCGGGACAATGCGATGACTTCAGACAAGACCATTTCAGCTACATGGAGGGTGAGTGAGGTAAGATACAAGCAAGTGTCAAGTAATTCCTTTATTAAGTGACGAGCAAGCGAAGAGCAAAAAACGATGACAGTATAGTCGTTGCACGTATTTAACATACCAACACTACGAGAGTTACTGAACGGAGAGTTGAAGACAGCAATCTAATAGTGTGCCACATGTCAATTCAATATCAACTTTTGCACGAGCTGTCCACCCTCATCACTTACACCGGCTTTTGCAGCATATTCCAAATCTACTTGGTTGGTACCAATGCAGAAACATCCAATAACACGTAATCGTTTGGCTTCCTTTAGGATTTCAGCAGTCAAATTTGTCTTGCTACGAATACCAATGACGTGGACATCTCGAATCTTTTCCTTTAATAATTCAGGAGACAATGATTTTGTGTGGAATTCGACCTAAAGGACGTGAAGATTGTGAGCTGTGAGGTGAGCTGCACTTCAACGGAATGAACATCTTCGAAAGCTTGACGCGAAGTGAGGGGTGCGAAACAACAAGGAGTCATGAAGCCATCTCAAAGCACTGGAATCGAGCTGAATGTTTGCCCTCTAAAGCCATTAAGACAAAACTTTTTCGCCAACACACACACACGTACCTGGTATCCTTGAGCTTTGAGCAAGTCTACAGCAGTTTCATTGACGTTTTCCAAGAGCAAGATCTTGAAGTCTGTAGTAGCGAATGGGCGTAATACTTTGGCAGGAGTACGATTGAACTGGGCCGGGCTTCCAGCGTAGGACTTTGAAAATGAGTGAGCAACAAAGGAAGAAGGTACAACAGAGGAAGTTGGGGATGTTGATTCATCGGCATATCCATTTGAGCGTGCGCCTCCGATAGGAATAGGTTGTGCCATTCTGTTTGATATCCAAGTGAGAGCGGGGTGAGCGAAAACTGTTATCGGTTGAGCTTGAAAACGGTTTTTTGAATGCGATGCAGTAGGGATTAAGGAGAGGAGACTTGCCTGATGATGATTGATAACCTTAATGCACGTGGAAGCAGCTGTTTGGTCTCTTCCTGTTGTCTTGTCTAAGATTTCAAATTGCGAACGAGCTGAAAGAAATTGGTTTTCAGGTGCTGTCAGCCCAAATTCCACATTTTCACGTGCGGCACAGATCAGAGCAGAACGAGTCATCTTGGGAATCCTGTACATCGTACATCGCGTCGAGCACAAAGTAAAGTGAAGTCTTGACGTGGTGACGGATCGTGCTCGACACGAAAGTCACGAAAGATGTTCAAGTTTTCAATTTACCAGGTAGCAGGGCTAACTCTCATGGAACGATGCTGAATCCACGGTGACTGATTGCGCATTCAGTACTGAAAACAAGGTACGTGTCTTACTTCATGTCAAGGTTCGTATCCGTCACAGCATACCACCAGGTTTCGCATTCATCGCAAAATAAAGGACAATAACAAAAGCCAGCCCGTCTTGCTTCTTACAACGTCGGATCTAGAATTTCCTATATAAATTCTTTTCCTCCTCATACATACCTATAATGTCAGCGCCAGAGTCAACCCAACCAATTGTAGTATTCGACAATTTGTCCAAGTTAAGATTGCTCAACCCGACAATACTAGAGGTAGACCATATCAGATCAATCTTCAATTCATTTGCTTAATCCTGAATTATCTTTGATCTATCAGGCTTCAGAGAAACTACGAGATGAATGCACCGACTTTACATCCAGTACGAGCACAATTTGATGATTTAGATCTCGAGTAGATTCACCATCAGCACACAATTCACACCTACCTTTCATCTATTCATGATAGAAATATCGACATTTCATAAAACAGTTGGTGAATTCCACGACATATTACAACAACGTGCTGCACAAGTTGAAGCAGAGAAACTAAAAGTATGGATAATCATATGTCAATCACATATATCTATGTATGATCCAGTGCTCTGATACTCTACTTCTACGACTAGGCTATTGGAAGGAGGAATCGACTAGAAACTGAACTGGAACTTCGAAAGAGGAAGAGATTACAACTAATGTCTCTAGTTCGCGAGGGACAGACTGAGCTTGAACGGTACCGGAATTTTATGATATTGCTATTGTGCATGTAAGGATATGCTAACTGTGACACTATTAGATTGGTTGCTCAAACTGATTCGTTGCAGCGTGTGCTTCAAGAGCAACAAACGATGATTGATGAGCTGAGTAGCAAATGATCAAAATGCATTTTTGAATCTACCAGGATGACAAGATGTCGAACTCGATGGAATATGTTTCCAAGTGGAAATAAACGCAATCAGCAGCAAAATTGGAGCTCATGTGTAGCATTTAGATTGTCCTTCTGCCCACAAATGTGATATTCATTCTGCAGTGATAGACGAGGTCATTTGAGCTCGAAAGTGTAAGGATTGGTGGTTGGTACGTGTGATCTCCGATATTGGCTCAAATTACTGAATGAGCTTGTGCTGCACCTGATGACAGTGGTGAAAGGATGGATTCAGTCCTCATATCTGTGGTTCTTTCAAAGTTTATAGCGTGTCGTAGGTTTGAAACACGTTGCAGCATATCCCCAAAATATATCCTTCCTTTCGAACAGACAGGTTAGATGTGGAATTCGACAGATTGCATATCCACCTCATCCTTTGAACACGTATTTCACCGGAAACGGCACGTTCCTGTGAAGGATCGTCTTATTTTCGTCCATTCTCCAACAAAACATCGCATACACTTATGGCTGTAATATATGGATGTTGATGCAGACCTTACGTACTATGGAATTTGTCGGAGCGGATCCACAGATGCAGGGAATTATCAAAGAGATGATCAATCTGTTAGAGTTCTGCCCTGACGACCCTCCCGTCTTTCTGACAGAACCCTCGCTTTCATAAACTGAGCCGTATATAATAAATCTAAATACATTCTACGACAAATCCCAGATCTCGTATTTGAGGATGTCCCGAGATGGAATTGAAGGCATCCAACACCAGAATTGAAGCTCAACTTGGAGTGCCATCTGGAATCTCTCTGCCCACATGATATAGATTTCACAACGGTGGATGAGTTCCCGTCGAAAACCAAAGTATATGGGATTTGGTAGGTGTGTTCTGCACTTTGTTGTAAGTGGTGTTTGCCGAGGTATTGCAAACATCATATACTGTTTGTGCTTTTGAATCAAGATAGAATGGAATTGCTGAAACCACAAGTCTTCCATCATTCTACATGTCCGTCCAACTTGAGGTTCATCCGCGTGATGAGTGAAAACAGCTTGGCAAAAAATGCAGGTTGATGTGAATGCCAAAACATCCATCACAGCGATCAGACACGTTCTGCGAGAATCGATATCTGTTCTTTGCGTATGTACAATCAAATTTAGGCTCGTCATAGTATCCTATTCTTGCTCCGAGTTGGCACTCCAACTGCTCACGCACTCCAACTACTCACTGCTCCTCAAAGTTCAATTCTATATCTATACAGTACCGTTGTAGGGAAAGAGTGCCGTAGATCGGACTTGTAGCATCAGTCCCTAGGATATAGAGCTTGCCCTTGTGTTATTGGACTTGCTTGTTAGTCTAGGTTTGTGACGTTTAATAGCCTGCATAGCTCACAGACTCTACGTCTTCAATAGTCTTCAATCAGGAGACATGGATTCAAATTCGGAAGATCATGTTGGAATCAACAACTTGCCAAACGAACTTCTTCTTACAATCATCACATATTCCTCCCCGTCGCCTCAAAATCTGTCAAAAACATCTCGTCGTTTTCTAGAACTTTGTCGAGATCCTTGTACTCGAGCATCATGGTTGATCCGTCAGTACGGCAAGGATGCATTTGAAGCCGCGTTCTCCTGGACATCTCTTTTCACTGATGTCGAGACTTTTGATCACCTCGTCAACATGCTTCCCCGAATTCCAAGGTGAGTGACGTGTCCATCATCAGATCTTATGATTTTATTTGATTTGTTGCTATCTAGTCAGGCTGGTAATAACATTTCTTTTCTTGTAGGTATGAATGAAGGGTTGTGGTCCGGTTTCAGCTCGGCTTGACACCCGGTAGTGGTAGTAATCATCTCTTTGTAGATATCAACTCCAACGAGCTGTGGTTAGGCTTCAGCTCAAAGACAAGTTGGATATCCTTGTACGTGTTTTGCAGTATGGCAAAGAGAAATATGGGAGATTGTCGCTGGACAAGCAGGATGCAGATACCTTTCGCCGTATCACCTCGCCTCATCAACATCACAATCAACAAATGGCTTTGGGAATCTTGCTTGGACAGCCAATAACCGCCACTCTTACAACCGATGAACAAACCTTGGAAACACTTCGAGTCCTAGTAGAAGATTACGATTTCAATGTAAACTATAGCAGGTTTAGCGTCACAACTGGTATTACTTCTCTCGACGTCAATGAAGGATATCGTGTCTTTCTGACTGCCATTCAAACCTCGAACGCTCGCTTGACAAAGGTATGCGCGAATGATGACCTAATCTTGCTGAAGATATCTGTGCTAATACCGGGGCAATCACTTCTTAGTCATTATTGGACTATGGTGCATCAACTCACATGGCCAAACCAATAAGTATCACCAATCAGCGACGTGGATTGTATGGAGCCGATATGAATGCCTTCTTCATGGATCGTGCTAGGTTGACCGATTTCCCAAACCCTATATCATATGTGAACTACTTTCCTGCTGACTTGCGACCATATCTACGTGACTCTGCTGATGCGCTGATCATGGCTGTGCATGTCAAGAATGTGGAGATTACTCTAGCGTTGCTAGAGCACGATTTGGAACGCTGGGATGATGCTGAAGGCGGGCTTGTGTTGAAACAGGCATTGCAGCTTGCTGTTGATGACAATTGGGCCGAGTACGTTCTACTACTTCTATTCGTTTAGTTGCTGGCCTCGTTATCTCACAACACTACTTTCTTAGTGGAATACCTATAATTAGAGGGTATATCAACGAGAAAGATCGTGAACAAAAGGTTAAAAAGTCACCGTCGGCACTCAAGAAGCTACTTGTAGACGCAGTAGCTACTGACAATCTCGAGGAGGTCAAGCGTCTGATCAAACAGGGCGCTCGCTTTGAAACTCCTGCTACAAGCGACATCTTTTACAGGTCGATTGATATCTTTGTGAGTTCCAGTGTCTCGTTTTGCCTGTCGAAAACCACTTCACTGACTCTTAATATGTACTACAAAACTAGAGGAGCATCGTGCGTGGTCGCAAAACAGACATCTTGGCGTATCTTATCAAGAGCAACTATCCCGGTCTGGATCAGTTTCGACTGGGAGAAATGCTGATTCAGGTAAATACGTAACTCTCAATGGCTGAAACATTTGGTCAGGTCGCAAACCTTCTGGGTTAAATTCTGAAACCTCTTTCTTTGTAGGCCGTCGAATCGTCCAACATGGATATAGTCAATTTGCTTTTGTCTCAAAAGACCCGCAGGCCTAAAATCTATGAGAAAACCATTCGTCGTGCAATGTATGTCGGAATCGAACCTTCTCACTGATGACTTTATTAACTTTCTAACTCCCTGTTTCCCCTTTCAATTTCACAGGATCAAGGGAAACTTTGAAGCTTTCTCCGCCCTTCTGAAACTTTTAAAGTATTATTAGCCCAATAGCGTCCGTATAGCTAAAGAGAGGATTTACTTTGAAATTATTTATTTTAGGGAGCAAGAACCCTTCAATGTCATTGCTGGTTGGAGGTCGCTTCTTCGTGTCGCTGAGAAACGAAAGTATGACAGGAAGTGAGTTTGTTCAAAACTCCCTCGTTACTCTCGTTTCTTTAGACGGAAGCGCGCAATCTCACCCTGATTTTACGTATCTAGGGACCCAGAAGGATTCTTTCTGTCGCGTCTTCAGAACTTGGAAAAGGAAATCATGGCCAATCGAGCCGATAGGATCAGCAAGGCTAGAAAAGGCGTCAAAATGGCCATCGTGTCTGATGATGAAGATCTTGCATCAGATGATGAAGAAGAATTTGTAGATGACGAGGAGCATATGGAAGACGAAGAATCAGAAGACGACGAAGCAGTATACACGCAGACACAACAAAAACAACATGCAATTGCGGCCGAGTCTGATGCAGAATCAGATTTCGAAGAATCCAATGCATCAGCATCCAAAACCTTGAAATACGCTGCACCGACTCGTGTCATATCGACACGACCGAAACGTAATGCCATCAAGAAATTCGAAACGCTAGATCTTGACTCGATGGCTGATGAAGATGATGAGGATGACGCAGACATGACGTCTATCCCACGTGTATCAGCTCAACATAGCGATGATGACGACGTACTGTCCGAAGTGGAGGAAGAGGAAGAAGACGATCATGAAGTAAAGAAACGTCGTAAAGCTAAAGGAAAGCAGCCAGCTGCTTCATCTAATCGTGCTTCATCTAGTAAACGTAGTAGGAGGGCTGTTGTTGAAGAGCATTATGACGATGAGGAGGAGGAAGAGGAAGTAGTGAAACGTAAACGTACAAGGAAGAGCAAATAGACATGGCGAGTTGACTCGCCACCAAGTAAAATATAAAGCATGAAAAGCAGAAGATGCAAATAAATAGAAAAGTTACCTCAGTTTCTCGCACTGCAGCACCGTCCGTTATTGTCAATGCAAATGTATTATAAAAACTTCGTTTTACAATGGAAACATGATAATATGCCTCAATCGACGATAAGGGAGCGCTTATACTGCTCAACAATACCCGATTGGTCACCAGTGCGACCTTCAAATCGTGTCATGGATCCTTTATCACAAATCCAGATTTCTGAACATACGGCGTCCAAGAAGCGTTGATCGTGCGATACTGTTTGGAACAGAGTAAGAGGATGTCAGTTGTGGCAAAAAACAACACTGCGAAGAACTGCATGAATCGCACCAATGATGATGCCTCCGTTGAATCTACGAAGAGCTGCGGCTAGAGCATCAATCTAAAGAAAAATCATATTCAGGTTTTGGTCCGAAAAAGAGAACTGGTTCGCGCTCTTAAACGCTTTTAAACCTACAGAACTCATATCCAAGTGATTTGTCTAGTTCACAAGCAAAAAAACGATGAGTCAGTCAGAAAATGTTGGTCAACACTTGATAGACAGCAGCTCAGTAATACAGCAATCATAGTTCACACATACCGGTTCATCCATAATCAACACGTGAGGATTCTGTAAAGCCATATGAGCAAACACCACTCGACTCTTTTGACCACCAGACAAGGTACCAATAGGCTGTAGAGCTGTAGTACCAGTCAAACCATATCGAGCCAATACTCGTCGATACTCCTCTTCGGTACGGCCAGGGAATCGTGATGACAGGAATGAGACAGAGGAACCGGCCAATTCAAGTTGATCCACATGATGTTGTGAGAACAGTGCCAAACGAAGACGACCGTGACGTTGAGTGAAGCCGCTTGAGGCCTCTATTTCGCCTGTAATGAGTCTTACGAGTGTTGTTTTTCCTAAGGTATTGTTGTGTGAGTAGAGGTGGCAATAATAAACAAACGGAATTGAAAACCCTATTTATGTCGAAGTACACATTCTCACCTGCTCCGTTTGGACCGACGATGGCAATCTTGGAATCCATTTGCAAATCCAACGACACCTTTTTCAGAATCAATCTGGACTTATCATAGCCGAAAGTGACTTCATTCATTTGCAGTATAGGAGGAGACAGCTTCTCAGCTTCAGGGAATCTAAAGTATATATTTTCTCCCGTAGTTTCATCAGTAGCAAAGCCTTCCATTTCATCTTTCGGCGGTGGTTCTAGAGGTGGTAACTTCTCTAGAATCTTGATTTTAGATTGTGCTTGGGCTGCTCTGTTGGCATTATATCTCCATCGATCAATAAAGGCTTGTAAATGAGCACGGTATGCGAGTTGGGATTCATATTCTCTGAGTTGATTTTTACGACGTTCGGTATGTGTAGACAGGAATTGGGAAAAGTTTCCACGGTAAGCATCCATTTGACCACTATGAAGATGGAGGACGTCCGTTGTGACTGCATCCAAGAAGGACCTGTCGTGAGAGACGACCAATAGGGTTGCATTCCAGTTTTGGAAGTATTGTTCGAGCCATACTACGGCTGGGAAACTATTGGGAACAACAAGCCGAATGGTTAGCAAAGGTTAAAATTGTTTTATCTGTAGTGCGAAGGAGTGCGAAAATCATGGTTGATACTTGCTCCAAGAAATTGGTTACTTCATCAGCAAGTAACAGGTCAGGCCGACAGAATAGAGCTCGAGCCAATGCCAGACGCTATGGGACGAGTCGCAGTCAATTTCTCGATGAAGAACCAAGCGTAATCCCCAAGCTTACCATTCGCCAACCTCCAGAAAATGTCCTGGTAGCAGCTCGTTGTTGTTCAACAGTGAAACCAAGACCAGCCAAAATAGAGGAAGCTCTGCTCTCTGCTCTATCTGAATCGATATCTTCCAATCTCTGGTACACTTCTTTGATTCGAGCAGATTTGACGAGATAGTCCTCATGAGGCAGGTCTTTTCGTTGTAGGTCTGCATTCAATTCCTTTTCTTCTTTCAGTAATGATTCTCGTTCTACGTCTGCTGCTAATACTGATGCGATTGCTTCCGTGTCATCACCAGCAATCTATATGTGTTTGTGAGTATGAGCAAAAAAGGCTAGAATGCTGGTACAAGTATAGGTATTGTGATGCACTACTCGGGCCAAACGCCTAAAAACCACACTCCAGCTACAACGTGATGAACTTACTTCTTGTTCAACGTGTAGAATACGCATATGAGGAGGAGTCTGAAGCTCTCCATGAGCAATAGCTCTCAGCAGTGTAGATTTACCCACACCGTTCTTTCCAACCAAACCATATCGTCTACCATACACCATACTGAGATCGGCATTCTGCAATATCTTTTTACCAGCATATTGAATATCAAAGTTCTCAATCTTGAGATCCTTTGACTGTGATTGACCACCAGTAGTGACGAGTTTACCCTGATTTACAATGATTGCGGGAGGAGCAGCAGGATTCCAAACAGGTATGAATTCTAGTAATCTGTCTTCTCCTCTCTTTTCCAGTTTGCGTCTACGTTGTTCTTCGGCAGCACGTAGTTTTCCTTGATCGACCGTTGATTTTGCTAATAGTTTGCCGTTTACCGAATGGTGGGATAGGTCGACACCTCCATTACTAGTGGATCCGCCAAACATGGCATTGTTTTCCTTGTTTTTGGCAGATACATCCTTCATGGAGACAGTGTTTTCTAGTTTGACTGCCTTGTCGCTGGTTCCGTTCTGTGATTCTAGGTAGCCAGACAGTTCCGATAGTTTACGACATAGTTGGGATACGCTGTCTTCCTGTGCTCCAGCTTCGGATAGGAGAGGAAACAAGAAGTCTATTAGAGCATCTTGCGACCTGTCTGATGTTGTGTCGTCGAAATAGGAAGTTGCATAGGAGAGGAGCTCTGGATCAAGACTTGGAGCAGTCTGCGTGATCTATTAAGTGATAAATTTGTCAGTGAGATTATGAATGGAGACGGAAGAAACAATGGTATGTTACGAGTGAGGAAATCTGCTCTGTTTTGCCCTTCATTAAAGTCAAGTTTGCTTTGGGATTCAATACGATGTATATTTGACTTGACGTATAGATTTTGACTAGAGCGTCGTCTTTTAAGTAGGGAAAGCTGTTTCAAGTAGAGCAGCTCGATGTGTTGGGAAAAAAATCAGAGTAAAAAACACGAGCAGGCTTCTGCGGCGGTCAAGACATCGTTTCAATAGTTGTTATAGATTGTTGCATTGATTAATACTTAAATTCATAATTTTGAACGTGATCTGTTGGTCTACACCACCAAAACTAGCCTCAACCAACAGTCGCATTTATATGATACTTGAAGCAGTGGTAATGGACTCTATAATTTAATTCTGCTTTACACGTGAGACCAAAGCAAAATGTCGCGTTAAGCGGTGTTGCTCCTGTCTCGAGCTCGCCATGCATACCAAACATTCAGAGTGCTGACGTTTGAGGTGTTGAGAGTGGCGTTTAGTTCAAAGAAGATCGGCTGGATTCAAATATACAATATGGCCGAATCGGATCACTTATTTGCTCATCTGGTATACCGATTGTATATCAAAAGCTTATCGAGATCTGCTCTTTCTAACCTCAACTCTGAAGCTCGAACTAGGTTTCACGTTAGAGCAAGCTCGGAATGCTATAAATGCCGGAAATGTCGACGCGAATTCGTCCGTCACTTGGTTGGTTGCTTCCTTCAGTTTGTGGTGCCCTTGCAAAGACATCTGACTCGGTGATCTCTCGCACTTGACCAGGATTATGAACCAGATGGATGAGGATCAAGACCAACTATATCGGCCGGATATTCGCCTCACAAATCCATACGCTGGTCCCATCCCACATCAGGACGATCAAGACATGATCCTGCCAGATGTCAATGACGTGGCTCCTGCTCATCCTTTCGTTGCTCCTCATGATCCTCCTACTCAGCCTGTAGATCTGCATCCTCGTGGTACTGATACTGATGAGATGGTGACTATTACGCCTCGGTCTGAAAATGTTGTTGGTCTTGATGAACCGACTCTGAGCATTACTCCATCTTCTGGTACGTTCTAAGCTTTGAGAGCTTAATTTACGAATGAGAATCGGATGTACATGTTATATCTCTCGCCTTGCACTTGATCTCGAACTGATGTGCAAGATTTCCTATTCGCCTCAAACTAACCTACGTGCGTCGGTCTTAGCACCTGATATACATGTGGAATCCCGATATAAAGAGCATCGTGGAGACTATACGGATCTTGTTAGGAAGAAGGCGGTCGAAGAAGAGAAGAAACTCAAGGTTCAAGATCGTGAGGTGAAAAAAAAATGCCATAGAGTATTGATTGTTAGGGACAAAACTAACAACTCATCAAATTAGGCCAAGAAGCGTATTTTGGCTCAGATTGAAGAAGACCGTCTTCAGAAAAGCAAGTCTAAAAAGGCTACGATGGCTGCCACACCTTCCACGTCATCGCAGACTCTGTCATCGCCTTCAGCACCAGCCGCTTCTTCTAGTACGATTCAAGTACGTCTGCCAGACGGCAGAATCATACGTAAAATTTTCAGCATAGAAGCCATAGTCAAGGACGTTTGTGACTTTGTTGTCGCAGAAGGTCGCATTCAGCCAATCGGTACCGCAGATGGATATCAGCTGATGCAGCCATTTCCTCGTCGAGTATACACTAAGGAGGACTCCCCTTCAAGCATAAAAGATGTCGGATGGGTACCTGGCGCTTCGTTATCTATTTTGAAACCTCAGTCAGCAGTAGTCCAACAACCAACACAACCAACATTACCTCAACCACAACGTCAGAGGCCAAATATGGTACCTCCGACACGAGCTCCAATACCTCCTCGACGAGAACTTCTCCCTGCTGAAAATGGTGATCCTGAAGATTCCGACCCTAATGATGGCGAGTACGATCCAACTCAAGATCAAAATCCGTCTGATGAAGACTCTGATGAAGAAATGGCACCACCGCCTCATATCCCTCATATACCTGCTCTTCCGCCAGCAGGCGACCGTCCTTTGGGTGATAATGTGCATGGATTTGATGCTCCACGTGGCGGTAGAGGTGGTACGCTGCCGTTTGCTGGACGAGGTCAATCTCTTGGAGGTCCACAAGAGAATGTGGCTGCTAATATTGCGCTAGCGGCCGTCGCAGCTCCTCCTCGTGAGTATCTTGAGTACTGTAGTCTTTTTGCTTGTATGCTCACATGAATCATACTTTTTCAAGTGTCACGACAAGATAGAGCTGCATTAATGGCTCAGGCTACTGCTCAAAGACCAACTCCTACTCCTGTTGTGTCATCATCTGGCTCAAAGCATGCTCGACAAGCAATCAAACCACTGAAAACAATCGCAATGAAAGCTGTAGCAGGTGAAGACGGGCCAGTTTTTTAGGTTGTCAACGATTAACATCGTTGGTCTGTAGCTATATTCTCGAATCCAAAAGTTCCAGAACACAAGTTTCTGGCTACTCGTAAAGTCGGTCCTGAATTGGGTCAGCAGATAGTCACTGAGTTGATGGCGGACAAGAAATTCGAACGATTTACACTCAAGAGATTACGAGCGTGGTAACTTGCAACTTTCTTCGTTGTTTACCGCATCATTCTGGATACTAAGTCATCGCCAACAAACAATTAGTTCTCTTAACAGCTTTACCTTGGATGGCTATGGTCTGGCAACAGACAGTCTGTTGGAGGCCATTGGCTTATTGACTTACAATTCGACTACACATGTGTCGTTGAGAAGCTGTGGTTATATTACCGACACTGGACTGTTATCTCTGTCTCCATTGAAGCACTTGCAGTACTTGGATGTTTCGTCTTGTAGAATCACAGATCTTGGAACCCCTGTCTTCAAATGTAATGATGGATTCGACCCGTTTGTTGTATGCTCTAGAACTGACTTTGGTGCATCTCCTAGCATTCCCAGATCTACGACACTTGAACATGTCACGGACCAAAATCACAAACTCTGGCTTGAAAGAGTTGGTTTCTGGGGTGAAGAATTCTCTGACTGAATTGCTACTGACTGGCTGTGAACGTGTTGGTGGTGATGAGGTGTTTGTTATCTTGCAAGGTATTTTGGGGCTTTCTAGGGGTTTGTTTGGCACACACAGACACATCAACTCTACTCTTTTGTTAGATTTGAGCCTCCTACAAATTCTTAACGTCTCGGATCTGACTCTAACTACTCAGAAACCACCAAGACCATCAACATTCGGAGACATGCGACATTTCATTACAGCACGGACTGGTTTGTCAGATGACGACTGTCGTCGTGTGATAGGAGGCTTTAAGAAAATGACTGAATTGGATCTCAGTGGTTGTAAATCTATTACCGCATCAGCCATGATTTGGATTGCTCGAAACTGTAAATTGTTGGAGAGTATAAAGTTTCCAGATCGTGATATGGATATGGAAGCTGTACTGCCAGCTTACTGCGGTAAGCATTATTTGGTCCTGTCTGCTTGTTTTTGTTTGGGTTCTGTTTGAATTGATGAACTGGTTGCTCAGTCATTGGCTTTAGGCTTGCCATTGGTATCTTTGGACATGAGTGGCTTCAAAATCACGGATCAAGACGTGACGCACTTGAAGGGATTGGCTGCTACTCTTCGAGTCCTTAATCTGAGTGCTACAAGGCTTTCGGATTTTCCTGCAGTGTCTTGTAAGTCTTCTTGTCTTGGTCGATGCAGTCCTTGAGAGCGCATCAGAAGATATACCAACAATATTGAACTAGCACTGTCGAAACTGACAGCACTGGACCTATCTCGAACCAGCATTGGGAACCAGACTCTGACCTATTTGAAGGGTCTACGACACTTGACTGAGCTGTCACTGTCAGAGACTCTCGTTATCAAAGGATGTATTGCTATACTCTCATCTTGTGACTTTGCAAAGTCATCTCTTAGAATGCTCAACCTGTCCCGCACCAACATTGACGACGATGATATCAAGCCACTCGAGGATGGTAGTTTGAGTAGTCTCACGAACTTGCAGATTGATTACACAGGTTGTACGGAGGCTAGCCTTCCTCATATTAGTGTTGGGTGTCCCTCATTGGTTGCATTGCCAAGGATTCGCCGTGTCGTGATTGCACCACCACCACCACCACAAAATGAAGAGGATGATGAGATGATGATGTTGTAAATAGGCATACCACTCGGACCGTAAAGTAGTAGAAATGATGTAAAGTCTGTAAAAGGATAATAAATGTAGTAAACCAACCACCTCTGAAATCTGTTTCTGAAGAAAGCGTTCATTGATGAGCTCCGTATAAGTTACGTTATTTGTACAAGCGGGCGACGACTTCTCGTTAAGCCTCATTTGGTTGAAGTTTTGCTAAAAAAAATAAGTCAGATCAGACTTCACTCCGCATACTGGCGAAGCAAAACACAATAGTGTCTCTCTAGCCGTACCTGAATTGCTTAAACACCACAACCTTCGTCTTATTCGCCTTCCTACTAATCGTCTTCTTCTTCCTATTCGACCCTTCAAAGATGCCAATATAATCAGGCCTTCCTTCAAGCAGAGGCCGTCCTTTAATCCTCTTGATATCCTGCTTGTGACTGATAATAGGCTTCTGCATAGGCTCTTCAATTTCCTCTTCTTCTACATCAACTTGCATCACTGGTGGCGGCGACGGTTTTCGTTCAGTACGTTGCTTTTTGGGCTGTTGAGGAGGTCGCTGAGCTGGTTTTATTATTCGGCCTTTGGCGGCTCGTATGGATTTCTCGGCCTTGGTGGGTCTGATGGTGAATTTGGCTGATTTGCCCATAGTGGTTGATGTTTTGTGTGAAAAGAAAAGATGTGACATGGACAACCTGGAGTTCTATGAGGTTAAAAGACGCGTGCAATGTAGAATGCACTATGTTCATTGGTAGACCGGGTGTTAAACGTGAGCGATCGCTTGATTCTAGCCATGAGACTTAGCGCTAAGTCACGAAATCATTAAGGTCTGAAATTAGATACAAATTACTAACTTTTTATAGGGTATACCTAAATTTGAACATTTGAGTAAGCGTCTGTTTTGGAGTATAACGTGACATGCGACGAAAGTACCTCCACAACGTCTTTTCATCAGACGTGTCCAATGTTCGATTCTTGCTCCTGAAACTGAGACGTGCAACGAGAGCGAAACACGCGCCCAGAAGCAGGATTCCTGCATTTATAGAATGCCCAATTACGTAGTGTGGCGCATCGGGCGATCTGTAAACTTGGCCTAAAACAACTCATCAGGATTGATTTTCTGATTCATAATGGCAGGTTTATCAAATATGTCGTACCTGCTAGTGCCCCGCCAATATTTCCCACACCATTGATGAATCCCATAGCAAATGCTTTCCTCATTGGACTGATTTGGTTGTTGGCGACCCAGCCGTGTACCAGAGAAACTAGGAAAACATTGAAGAGAAGGTAAAAAAGAGCGAGGAGCTGAAGAGGCCAAATACGATCTACCAGTAGGGTGTGCAAATCCCAATAAAAATATCATGGCATACGACAGCCCGGGTATAAACGTGGTTGCCATGATAATGTATCCGGTAGCAGCGATTAAGTGGTTGACTATGATGACGAGGGAACGGTCTTTTATTCTGTCAGATAGCGCAGATGTTCCCATGATTGTGAACGCTGGCCAGATTGCAGTGGGTACCGACATCCATCTACACACATACAGAGAAGTGAGAACACCCTTACTGATAATTTGCCGATCCAGTTGACTTACTGGGCTGCGACACCGCTGTAGCCTAAATAAGTTAACTAAAACAAAACGTGGTTTTAGGTAGACGTTCAACCGATTAGCACAATCAACAAACTCTTACAATGGTTGGCTGGAAGTACACAATGGAGTATGCTGGTATGGCACAACTGAAAAAAACTCCTAACTGGACCCATACTTCCCACTGTTTCAGCGTGGCCACGATTTCCTTGAAATCGATACGTCTGGTGTTATATTCCGGATTGTCGTATCGAAGCCGAGAGATTGCAATGTCCCGTTCTCGCTCGTTTAAGAATTTTGCGGTTTCAGGATAGTCGGGAATGGCGAATATCACAAAGATTCCGATAATGACAGAGGGTACTCCTTCAAGAATCTAGGCAGTTTTGACACGTCAGTCACGACTTTATCATGGATGTGGGCTGAGGGCTTACGAAAATCCAGCGCCAAGCAGCTAAATGAGCTGCTCCATCCATATAAAAGATAGCAGTGGCCAATAACCCCGAAAAGGCAGTAGCTAGTGCGGATCCACCATAAAAGAATGATATCCTTAAGGCGATTTCGTTTGGTTTGTACCATTGCGAAAGCCAAAAGGCGAGGCCAGGTAGCAATCCAGCTTCAGCTGCTCCAAGTAGCAGTCTTATTGTCAGCATTGAAGCAAATGAACTTGATGCAGCCATGCAAGCAGCCAGGATGCCCCAGGATATCATGATTCGGGAAAAGAAGTATCTAGAGAGACCCGAGAGAGGGTTAGAATATGCTTGATAATTGGTCCTTCCTTGGTATAGTTCACCTTGGAGGGACACGTAGCAAAATTAAGTTGGAGAATGGTTCCACAGCCGTGTATGTGATGAAAAACAACGAGAGTGCCAGATTGTAGTCACTTCCTTGCATTCCATTGTCTAATGAGACAGCCAAGTTAGCTCCAGAGAACAAAGTCTCGTTACTCCAAACAACCAAACCTCGTTCCATTTGCCCCAATCCTGTGACAACGTTAAGCCCATAAGCTCTTGCATTTCCAATGTTGACTCTGTCCAGATACGCGAAAACATACTACGTGACGTGCGTGAAATCCTTAGAGGCGATTGAAATTCAAAACAGAAAAAAACTAAAATGTTCTCTACCATCAAAAGAGCAACGGGAATCAGCCTGGAATCGAGTCTACGAACTACACGGTTAGCGAATGAAGGAAACCATCCGGATATCTTGACGTACTTTCGACGAAGTGCCGATTCCTCGCTGGTCGAGAAATCTGGTGTTCAAAGATCGGGAAAAAGTCAATCAATTGCAATCAAAACGCTACTTCACGAGAATCGCATGTTACCAGTGCTGGAAATGAGCTCCTTTGTGGCATCCTTTTCCATGTCTGCCATGTTTACTGTGTCGGATGTCACAAACCTTCAAAGTTAAGTTTCAAAAGCAAGATGACACGACGAGAGCACGTGCTGAATGTTTAGACAGGAGAGGCTGATATGAATGATCTAATGACGCTGAAGATAGAAAACACGTTCATCAAAACACTGCGCACGATGGTCTTTTTGCAGTTCCATATGTTGTTTTGCTCTGGAGCTTTAAACGCAATTGGAGGAGAGGCGAGCCCACTTCTGTACAGCATTGATACCAACAGGAAGGTCATTTATGGTGCTGTATCGCAGATTTAGGCTAAAAACGTACCGATCGGTACTCCTTCTTCAATCGTCCATTATAAGAAGCTCCGACATCACATACTCAGCTGGGCCCCGACTATTAAGAGTATTCTCCAAAAAATATGTAGTGTCATCATGAGCATAAATCATGCCGGAACCACTAAAGTAATGCTCTCAAAGACATTAGTCGGGACTTAACGCAGCAGTTCTTAAATTTCAGGCGATTCCGAATTTAACTCTTTGGGAACTGTGCAGCAAAGTTAGTATCAAACATGAACATGTTCTTCTTCGTAAAAATGGGTGTCGACGGCGGAAGCTCTGTTGACAATCTCAACACGCAAAACAAATTCATTTTATCTTTGTCCGACTCGTTCACAATGATCTACATCACAATGATCTATTAGAGAACACATGACCGGGAAGAACAAATAAATAGCCTGCTCGGATACATCCTATGACATTTACTTCGCTTCTCGGAGAAAATTCAGAGACCGATTTTCTTTGACCTTAACCTGGACAGGATATTTGGTCGCAAACCTTGAATGCGTGACGAACCAACGGGATTCCTAGATCTCCATACCGGAAAAGTTTATCTCTCCCATCAAGGTATCTATTAGTCGTTGCTATATAAGCGGTTTGAGAAGCCCGCCTGGCATCCCAATATCAAATTTTCGTTAACTTTGCTGTTTGCCACCACTCAAACTTTCGTGAGTTTGACATTTATGATCCAAGATCAAAAATGAGAAAAAATTTCATTGACTCTATTCAAACATATTTAGAGATATCTGATATCAGTGTTTCCATCATGGCTTCTACGGACTCGACGCCAGCTTTAAATAATACGGGATCAGAGCGACCGTCTCTACTCTTCAACCCACTTGAAACTTCCAACCCGCTGAATTTGAACTCGGCCACGTATATTACTCGCAATGATCTGCCATATGGCGCCCCGCAACAGCAATGGTTTCCTCAACCATCTCGAATGTCCGCGTCAAGTGACGGTCGCTCGAATACACTGACGAGAGATGGTCAAGGTTATATCGCATATCAAACGTTGCCTTCATATCAATTTGATGGTAAATCTTTTAACGGTATCAATGGCGTTGCATCAACAGTCATCATTCCAAATGGCGCAACACCCATAACACAGCAGCAACAACTTTCCTCTCAAGCCCGCAACGATGCCTATAACTGGAATGGCCTTACGAGACAAGATTCGAGACAGGATCTTCAAGCTGCTAATACCATGCCAAGACTTCCATATCTGAGTGATTCACGTCAAAAGACTGGCAACCACTCCTTAGAATCCTACAAGATCTCTGGGATACTACCTCCATACCCACCATATCATATTCCAGCTGTTGCTCCCGTTACCAACTTAACAAAGAACTCGTCACCAACTGCAGAACAGTCTTCAACATATTTGGAAGCATCCAATGCCACACCACATTCTCTAAACACCCCAACCGCTCTAGCTAGTGAGCCACCGCGTCGGCTAAGTGCAACTGCATATCCGACATCTAGTTCACCTCAACAGTCAAGTGAACAGGGACAATCGTTGCCACCAATGGTGCGAATGAATACGTGGTCTTCTATGGGGGAATCGAGTTCATGGATTGCATCTTCGTCTTCTTCATCAAACGATGGTTTCACATATGAGGTGGTCGTTAGACAGCAGCCCATGAGAGCTAGGATGTGTGGTTGTGGAGATAAGGACAGGCGAGCTATCGACCCTGTAAGTAAATTGCAACTCACTGTGTGGTATAGGAAAACTTCTAAATCTCTGTCCAATATGTAGCCACCAATTTTGGAGTTAACCGTCAAGGATGAAAATGGCACCATCAAGAACGAGTAAGTCTTTTGGTGCAGTTTGTAGAGATACTGCTCACCAATGCCAACCCTGCCATCAAATTAGCATTATGCAATCTCCCTTTCTAGTCATGCACGTCACTCTACGGACACCAGATGGCCTTACTCCCATGATGACGACGCCACGATTACCAGGCAAACTGCCGATATTGCTGGGAACTTTGGTCTCATCACCTAGTATCTTGCAAGATGGTGATGGAAAGCGTGGGTGCTATTTCATATTTCCAGATCTGAGTGTTCGGCTAGAGGGCACATTTACTCTGAACTTTACTTTGGTCAACTTGGAAGGGTATGTGAGATTCGAATATCAGTTCCTGCCATCATTTTATTTCTCTTTTGTCTATTATACAAACTCAACAATCTCTCATGAAACAATAGTGACCCACAACAGCTAGCAGGACAACCGTCAAGAGTGGCCGCAACCACCTTATCAGAAGTGTTCAAGGTGTATTCACCAAAAGCGTTTCCTGGCATGTCTGAGTCGTCAAAGCTTTCGAGAGCCTTTGCTCAGCAAGGCTATAGGATCCCAATACGAAAAGAACGGCTTCGATCAGAGAATGGACGACGTCGCAAACTGTTGGACTTGGATGACATGGACGCTATACATTCTCAAGTAATGTCACGGACCACTGATATGCCACAGGGTCGAGGAAGCAACCATGATCAGGAAGAACAACAGCATCAACAGGATTCATATGTGTGTGAGCAGCAGAGAGAACCAACTACTGGTGAAAAAAGAAAGGGGTCTCCAGAATGAGTTGAGCTTTTGAAACGTTGAAATGTGGACATTGAATAATTTAAGTAATACCGTTCCTACTACCTGATTCTATCCAAGGACGTATGAATCATCCCAAAACCTCGTAAATGTAAATGTAAATAAAGATGTGTGGTCTTTTCAAATTTAAAGATTTTGTTTTCGGATTCGTATCATCACCATCAGGTTCCTGAGCCAACGCCCACTCACCGTTGTTCAGGTGTTTGGTGTTGTCGCAAATTGGAAATGTACATTCATGACCCGTCAGATAACAGTGTTTGCGGGCGTATCATGATTCTTTATTGACGCATTCAACAGAAAACGCGCCAATATGCCAAGACAAGAATAAAGTTTCACATTCTCACCATCATGTGTTTGAGCATGATTTAAAACTGAAACACCAGCGAGATGAGTGAGGGACAAAGTCCCGACAGCAATGCACTGAATACGCTTATAGGCATATCTATATCGATTTTCTTTTCTTTTACATCAGCTTTGGGCACCTCTTTGCAGAGCAGAGGATTGGCGGTGTTGAGGGAGGCCAATGAAGAAGTGGTGAATATAGATGATGCTTCCTCAACAGAAGGAGAGATATCAGAATCCGATAACGATCTGGAAGCATCTGTTGATCTCCCAGAAGATTCAGCTGCTTCTCTCGTGGACTCCACGACTCCGACATTGAATTCAATGGAACGGCGACCGGCATCGACAAATGATACCCCACTTCTGTCGAACTATATGGCTATGAACGTGTCTGGGAACGATACGTCGCCTACGAGGAGACGGAATTCTCTGTCCATCTTACGAGGTATTGCTGGTGTATATCGAACGTCAAAACTCTATTTTGGAGGGGTTTTGAGTTAACGTGTTGTATGTTGTAGGTCGAGCCGATCTACCGAGAATACCACTAGACACGTATACAAGGAATACGGCGCCCGTTCAACCCAAGCAGCTCGTTAAGGGTATTCGAAGACAGAGACGTCGTGAGAACATGTGGGAGTTGTACTATGAGTATGAGTGGTATCTTGGATTTGGTGCATATGTGTTCTCTCAGCTGTTTGGATCAGTGTTTGGTAAGCGACAAGAAGGCCTTAAATCCGGTACAAATTCTCGATGGTTTAACAATTCCCGTTTCGAACAGCACTTGCGTTTATATCCCCAATGTTACTCGCCCCGTTGGGCTCAGTGGGACTCATTGCCAACATCGTGTTCTCGCGGTGGCTGCTACGTACACCAATAACCAGATGGAATATTTTTGGAACTATATTAATAGTAATAGGTTGTGCTATCGTATCAGCTTTTGGAGCCCGAAACCCCAGCACTAGGTTATCTATGGACGATCTCATATCATTATATACAAGACCTGCATTTGCAATATTTATGTCCCTGGAAGTCGCATTGGCTCTAGGTGTATTTATTGTAGTGGTATACCTCGAGAGGTTTAGATTGCCAGCCTCATCTCTCTCGCCTTTGACTCCATTGACACCTCCGGGCGAAACATCGCCGCTGCTGTCACGTAAAAATGGACGATCCTCTGTGACTCTTAGACGATTTTGGAAGCGGGTTAAAATAAGTAGAGTTATTGGAGCCTTGTACGCCGCTGTGGGTGGAACTGCTGCATCTGAGACATTATTAATTGGCAAGAGTGGTGTTGATTCGATCATATCATCGCTGATTCCGGCAAAGGCACAGCCTGATGGGAGTTCACATGTTGCATTCTCGCTACTGCTGTTGCTCTTCTTTGTGACGTCCGTCATTCTCCAGGCAAGTCGCATTCGTTGTTGGTCTACTGGTATCCTAGAGATCTAATCGTAACATTCCCTGCATAGCTATATTCACTAAATCGAGGCCTTCACTACTCACTACCGCTGGAAGTAGTCCCTGTCTTTTATACCTTCTTTACTGCACTGGCACTAGCCAACCAATCAGTCTTTTTGGGAGGAGCTTATAATGTAGCTGAAACGCTTCTCGTATTGCTCGGAATGACGATAATAATAGGTGGCGTTTGGATATTGGGGTGGTCTGATGCTCCATCGCTTCCAATGTCTCTATCAAGTCCTACAACACCACGTCGCTCGCATGAGTCGACTAGGAGGAGTCTGTTTGGTAGACGGCCACACGAATCAGTAGAAGATAATGGGGACGCTGATCGTTTAATGATTGAGGCAGAGCTTTTCCTGTCGCAGCCAGCTGGAATCAATCATGAAGATAATCTGTAACACACACAATTGTAAATATTTTCATATAACAAGTAAATGGTAGTAATGGGGAGCTGAAATAGATTCGTTCTTTGGGGGCTAAAACTCTTGGCTGTTTGGGTTTCATAAATGGGTCATGTTTCTCCAAAACTGTGTTATACAAGGCTATATAAATGCATCGTCTAAACTATTTTGATGGTGGTGGTGAAGTTACTGGTGGTCTAGCAGTAACTGCTGGCGAGGGCTTCAGCACCGACTTTAATGGAGAAGCTGAAGAAACTGGAGTCGCTCCACCGGCCTTTATCAATTGAGCAAGCATGGCCTCTATATTTGCTAATCGCAACTCCATTCCTTCAATCTTTTGCACCTTCTGTTCTAACGCTTCGAACCGTGCGACAAAGGCATCGTTACCCAGTACTTGAGCTCCAGACCTAGTTGCTGTAGGTGACTTCACGGCTGAAGCAGCCACTGTTGGTGACAAGGACGAGGCTCTAGATGGTATCGGTATAGCAGGGGAAGTCTTGTCAACGACTTTGGATGCTGCTGCACCTGCTAGGCCTCCAACAGCGACGGCGACAGGCACAGCTGCAGCTACAGCTTTTGCAACTGGTACCGCTGGTTTAGCGGGCACGGCTGCTTTAATGGGTACGGCTGATGCTGGTGTTGATACTATTGGTGCCAGAGATGCTGGTATTTGCATGTCCAACGCCGTGGCGATTTCTTTGGCCAATCCATCCATCGACTCTTCCCATTTTGCATCTGATGCTAATTGATCCTTACCAATATATGTGTCTACAAGGAGGAGTTTTAGCTTCAGGACGATTTGCAAGTGTTTGATGGGTTACGTACAGAGTAGACCAGCAGTGATCAATGCCGACCAGGTAAACGGCCCATCCTCAAGACGTACTGGAACTATCTTCTTTCCAGTTCTAGCTTGATCTGCGGCCTGTTATATCCAAAAAATTCAAACAAAGCAAAAAAAAAAGCAATTGGTAAAGCACTTAAATACGTACAAACCCCAATTCTCGCTTGCAGTTCGGTGAAGCCTCATACGCCAGCGTAAGACAAGGCACAACACAACGGGCTCCAAGCACTGCTTCAGCCATCTTTGTGTACACGTTTCCAGCCATTTGATCCAAATCCAACCATACTGTAAAGCCTCTCTTGGTGAGAGCTTGTTCGATACGAATAACAGTCTTTTGATTGTTCCAGCTAAACAAATTTGGAAAACATATTACTACAAAGCTTGTAATGGACACGAAATGTGGCGTGCTTACTTGTAACTGAGCATGACATCAAAGGTTTTGAGCGTTTCAGCATTTTTGCTACGCTCTTGCACAGCTTGCAATAGGGGATCGTCCGGGTCGAACCCGAGCTGCTTGAAGTTGGCGCCCATGGCGTCCATCTGTTCAGAGAGGGCCTTCAGTGATACACCATGTAGAGCATTCATTAACTCTGAGGCCCGATCTCGGACTCCAACAGACTGGTCAGAGTGCTCAATATTCTGAATAAACGCTTCGTGTGTTTTGAGGAGCTCAAAATTTGTGTGTTCTCCGATATTACGTAACTAAAACAAACAGAGACATGAGAACTACACGCTGACTATTGTACACATTGAAAGATACTCACTGCTCCAACTCCATAAACCATCAAGCCTTCACGCATCATCCCAACATTCCCATTTTGCACCAGCGCGATACAATTTACAATTGTCACCAACGACAGCTTGGATAATTCTGGTGTTTTCCAACCCAGAGAGCCTAGGGCTGTCATCAAATCCAAGGGGCTAGGAGCAGATTGCTTCATCTCTTCAGCAAACGCATTCCCAATGCCCTTGATGTATTTTTCAGTTGACAAGGCATCAGGAAACCTTTGTGCAATGTTTTTAATGATACCTGGTTGTCAACAATGTCGTTAAACAGAGGGATAATTCAACAGAAGGGTTTCAAACGTACCAGCACAGCACAATCGCTTCACATTGGTAGAATTGTGTCCGAATCCATTTAGGACATAGTCAATATGCGGAATATAGTAGTCAGGTGCAACCTCATATAGAGTCTGCACGAGCTGAAAGGCTGTAGCACCCATGCCAGTCTGATCTCCAGTAAGGGATAGGAGCCATAACGCATGAGGCTTGAATGCTTCTGGATTCTTTTTAGGCAGATCCTTGATTTGCATGAGGACCATCAGGTCGCCATGCTTTGCCTTTTGAATCATTCTAACCAGAAAAATATCAAATTTAATCATTTGGTGCAAAGTTCAATATAGCAAACACGGCACGTACTCTTCAGCTTGAGAAGCCATCTCATCAGGCATTGCGGCATTAACCAACGGAATGATATAAATCCCGAGCTTCTCGTGTTTCATATATGGTTGCCACTTTGTAGCAAGACGCAAAAGCCTCTCGGGCTCAGTATCATACAAGGAAATGAAGCGTGTGAATGATTGTGTTGCGAGAAGTGTCATCAGCATGTTTTGATCTAGCAACGATGTAAATCCGTTTGCGACTTGATCAGCAAATGCCTCGAGCGTATCTGATAGCCAGTAAGCATTCTCGGGGGAGGTCATCATGGACATCTTTTTGGTATACGTTTGATACAAATACCTATTTCGCGCGAGGTGAGAATCGGCGAAGTTTTTAACTCGGTTCTGAGACAATTTGAGCTCACATCATAAAGTCATCGGTATACCAAGGCAGCGCAGGGCTACGTGCCAGTTTTGGAGCATTTGCTACGATAGAGTCCCAATACCGTGCTTGCTCCTCAGGTGGAGCTTGGAAGGCTTTCAGCTTGAATCTATACATACAATCACCTCTAATCACTGGTGATAGAGACTCGTCGGCGGCGGCTGCAATGATATCAGAAGGCACTGGCTTAGGTAATATGACTGGCGCAGACGCGATCATAGCCGTGATTTCCGGTCCTAAACCACACTTGGTAGCAACAGACTTCCAGCGTGATGACACAAAGTCCAGAAAGCACTTTGAGTATTTCACCCAAGGATATATGACGTTCCTGACTACTTCGGCGGTGGGTTGATCTCCACATGCCTACAACATTATTTTGAGTTAGTTGGGTGGCAGTCTCACATCCGAGCGAGGACATACCACTTGAAACAGATTGGCAAGTGAGCCAGAGAATGAGTTTGATCGCGGAGACTCGGGCATGCCCCAGCTCACCAGCAAGTTCACACCTTCTTGGTCAACTCGCATTCGTAAGATCTAGCAAACACACAATTCAGCACAACGACAGTAACGATTGCAATTATAGCACATGAAGCCACTGAAAACATATAAATGCTTACATTGAGTATGTCAACTGCAATGGCTGAATCTTGGGGTGCAGGACTTTTGTTTTCGGGGAATGCATCGTACAGATTGTTGGCTACCCAGCCAAGATATGGGGACCGTACCAAAGCTCCTGCATGTGTACGTAGAGCTGTCCACTTTAAGGTATCTGAAAGAGCGCAGAAATCAGTCCAGGCCTGTAAGCGGGCTGAAGCGTGAACATTAGCTCCTCCGGTGAAGGTTTGCAGAGACATCCTCCGAGCTGTAGAGTTGCACTATACTTCAATACACAAGCTACACAATCGAAGAGTCTCCGAGCTCTTCTGTAACAAGATTGGGGCTGGTGGTTCGCAATGTGAAAAGTGAATACAAACAAATACGAGGCAGTGCTAAATTACGACGAAGGCTAATTGTACGTAAACTTAAAGTAGAAAATAGCATGTTCTGAGCATACTGAGGTCCAATCTCGCATGAAAACTTGGTTTGTTTCTTCCTAGCCGCAAACGATCGCTGTAATCCGAACATTCGAACTAGAGTCCAGTTCTTAAGTATGATGAGCTTAAATTACTTTTGCTGATGATAAACCTATGCTACACAAATTCTATGAAAATGAGCAAAGTGTCCCATTTCGACCATAATACCCCCTTCATCACAACACCACCCACCCACCCGCACATCAATTCCTACTAGTAACTAACCCATGATAGCCTTATCTCGTTGCGTTATAATAAAAGACTTGATCTTGTAGTGGACACCAATGCCCCGAGTAATATGATCGAAGCGGACAAGAATCCAGAAATCCTTGAGGATGCATTCGAAGACACAACATCCAAGTTGCTGCTCACATTACTGGTCACGGATGTAACAGTGTCCTTGGTACTTGCAGGAACATTTGACGTCTTGAATATGATTGTATTCACAAATGTGTTTGCCATAACAGGGCCTGCAAACCCTGTAGGAAGTGTTGAATGGCAACCAAGAGGCCTGGACTGTTGGATTCCCGGACCTCCCTGACATATCTTGCTAGACCACGTAGTATACTAAAAAAGCGATCATTGCGTTACAAACATATCATTGCAGAGCGACCAGATGTTTCACGCATGAATCCTTCATATTTCAACTGGAAAGACTCTTACCATCAAATTGCCAGCCGATACTCCCGCCATGGAGCTCGAATTCGTGAATCCAGATATATCAGGCACACAAATATTGAACTTTTGTATGATGTAGTTGTTTTCGAATCCATTAAAACAGGAATACGGGGTTGCAGGACTGTCCAGGTTTGGGAAGTACTAGAGAGGGAATGAAAATCAGCCTGATAATAAGCATAGAAAACAGATTTCACAAATTTCATACATCGATCGAGCCATAAAATATGGAATTGTTGGTTGCCTGAACAAGGTTCATTGGAGCGATCGGTGAGCAGAATGCACTATACGATATGCCAGCAATAGGTGCAGTTGGCGGCCGACATGATACAGGGATGTATGGCGATTTTGCACATGTTCGTCCGGCTATCAGGTGTGAAGCCTTGAGACTCAATATTCTTGAACTGTTGCATCCAGATCCTGCATATGTTACGGAATAGAAGTAGTCTGCATATACCACTTGTAGTAAAGCCAGAAAGATGATGAGGGCCTTCATCTGTTCCATTTCCCTGCAGATCTGTTTCTTGATGGAGGTTGGAAATTTCATTGATGAATTTTGCACCTGTTATGACGCACAAGCAAGAAAGGACAGCACGTAAAAACTACTACAAAACGAAGTGGTTGCTGTTCAAAGCACTTTCGACAGTTTCTATAAATACATAGTTGCTTTATTCAGACACGACGAGAAAGAGAATGTTTTTGGGATTATTTACTACTACCACTTAAAACCTCTAGTGCTCTTTTTTGTTTTTACAAACACGGGCTATCAAAATCTAGTTCCAGACGAGTTCTGCTGGTACTGAGCTCCACGTCGATGTTGTGAAGAAGAAGACGATTGCTCTTGTTGGTCCTTGTCCTCTTTATTGCTGCTACCTAACCATCTTCCGACCAATAAGCCACCTACAAGAGCACCTAAAAAGCAATCAGAATGTTAGCAGCTGAAGGAACGTGTCCTTATAGGACGATACAAACCATATGAATAGAAGCAAAAGGCCCATACCAACGGCGACGGTCAAAGCGACTCCCATTCCAACTAGATAGTAAAGATTGTGAGATTCTACGGTTCAAAACAAAAGCATATGACATTTCCTTACCTTCAGATGCAGAAACTTGCTCCTGTTGTTGTTGGTCTGCTGATGTCGTTGCTCGTTGCGATGCATGATAAACTTTATAGCTTGACGGCTTCGTTTTACTAGGCAAGTCCATACGACAGTACGGGCAGCTCTTGCTGAACTTCAGCAATTCCTCCAGACATGAGCTATGGAGTCCTCCACCGCAACATGGCAGGGAAGTAATGGAGAGTGTCTTGTTGCCGCCTGACATGACAAGAACCGTTTGATTGTTAGCACAAAGGAATCGCAGCAAACTGATCCTGATAATCTACATACCTCGAGCACTCAATTTGTCGTGGCAGATACAGCACTCTCCCTCCATATGTGGGTTTTGGTTTTCTGACAACGGTCAAGCTTAGTTTCGCAGGCTTTTGGACGATACGACCAACCGCACGTGTTAAGAAGTCTTTGTACGTGTAAATTAATTCTATGAGACTAAATACTAAATAATATAAAAATTTTGACAATCGAAAACCAATACAACAGACGATTACAGGTGGTTCTTCCTAGCCTGAACACGTAAATGTTGCAGTATGATTGGTTTGTAGTCATCCCATCCTGGAGCTTCAAAAGCGACGTCCTTGGCCTTATCATCGCAGAGCCGTATTACAACCTTAGCTTGATACCACGGATCTCCAGTGTATCAAACCGAATTCAGTTTCAAGGTACTTCAAATAACAGATCAAAGCAACTCCAAACCTTTCTCGAATTCAGCCAGCTGATCTTGGTTGTACGGTCCACCCTGGAAATAGAATGACGCTGAGAAACAACTGAGGAACAAGCCGATAACCAAAACACATACTTGAGCAATTAATGACGACTTTGATGCCGGACTTAGCCCGTCGAGATAAGCCTGGCTCTTGCCAGTAAGGTATCTTTTGGCCTCAACGTGACCAAGTACTAGAGCCACGACTCGTTCTAACGAAAATCAGTCAACACAAGTCCTTGTTGCCCGCTTCCCTCAACACACCCGAAAACCCCAGATATCTCAGGTAATTTGCTCCATAAACTTCATGCTGTGCATGTATATCACCAGTAACATCCACATCTCGAGGTGCAAAACTGTGGTCGATGAGATGTCCAACGTCGTGTAGCAATGCAGCGATGATCAATTCATGATCGTCCTCTATTCGAAACCAACAAGATGTCAGTTCAAAATGTCCCATACAGAAATTCCAAACGGTTGAATTACAAAGTTACTTGAATGGGATCTTGCATGAAAACCTGCTTGCAATGAATGTTGCAATTGCGTAACATCTTCTCCCGCATAACCAGCCTTGCGTGCGCCATCCATTACAGATTCAATCTCGTCTTGAGCTTCCTCAGGAGTGAATCTGGTTTTCAAAGACATCACAATTCCTCTGTACGTTGAGCGAAAGTTGTGTTTTGACGCTTGGTTCGATGACTACGAAAGTAGTGCAATTGTTAATGAAACGAAGCCAATTATACCGTTTTCATACATACAGTAGTTTGACAATTCTTACTTTCGTTCTGTGCCCTGTGGTTCTTGCTACAGGTCAAAGCGTCGTTTTCTGAAGAAACGGCACGAGTCACGACGATCGCGTCCAGAGTAAGTTAGAATGGCAAGTATATTATTATCTTGCACGTACACACTATGCGATTTCTTCGAATGCCACTTTATATAAATGGGTACTTTTCCAAGCCATCACCATCCACACTGTGATCACTATCACCTTCGTTCTCGCCTCCATCACCGCGATCAAGATCATCTTCTTCGTCTTCAAAAGTTTCTTCATCAGGCACTACCAAATCCAAATCTACGTCTATCAACTCTTGTTTCCAAAAGTTGTAGTCGCTGAAATCCGTGTCGACAGACTTCGTCAATGGTGGAAAGATTTGATCAACAAGATCATTCAATTTTACATATCTGTTCACGATGTTTGTTAGGCCGAGATGTACCACGCAGTCAAAAAAAGCATGCTTACGATGACTTGTAATGGACCATCAACTCCAACCTGATTTCTCCAGTTGGATCAATCGTAAAGATCCTACTTGGAGGCACATCGACAGATCGATACGACAATGCATCTGTGATGCGGTTTCCAAACCCAGCGTAAAAGGGAGTGATGCCTTCACCAAAGAGCCTTTTGATGTCACGTAAACAGGCAATCTTAAATTCTTCTGGTTTACGCATAATGACCTCTCTACGTGAGCAAAATACACAGTCAAAGATTTGCAATGATTTCACACAGAGAAAGAGATAGTCAATTGGCATACCTGTGTAAGGCCGTAAACAGTCGATCAGGTGACATTATGACCGGGCCAGGCGGTAACGTATACGATCCTTGGCTCACGGCCTTTAAATACTCTCTAGTATATGAGGCTTGTCCGATGGCGCGACTTGTCAAATACAGGATCTGATATCCATTGTTGCGGATATTGGTATACAGACCCGCCACGCCTGCATGAGTCCAATCCCTACCAACCACGGCAAACAAATGCCCTAAAGCATCTGATTTTGTAATCGTGCCATCAATATCGGATATGACAACTTTGTCATCGTAATTCCATAAAAATATTTGAGATGAGGTCGTGGCTTTGCCTTGAGTGACTGTAAACGTCACCGAGTTGGACCCAGGTTTCAAATCCAAAGCTTTCTGTTTTGGAATGATAGAATTAGAATTTTCACACCAACAAAAACAAGTTGAGCAGAGAGACAGTGGATGGCAACTTACCAGTTGCTCAGACGTCAATCTCAACGTCTTTGCATAATTATGTTCTATAGATTGTCTAGTTTCGGCTGCTTGTTTTGACTCTGGAACCTTTGATTCAGATGATGTTTTCGATTCAGTTCTTGCTCTGGCAACACCAGCTTCATGTGATACACTTTTTACATCATTTGCTGGTTTACCAAATTTGTGTTGATCTTCTTCTGGTATAGGCGACACAGGTTTGTTATCCAACTCTCCCTGCTGCTTGGCTGGTGTAGATGCTGGTGCAGGATTCGATGCTGTTAGAGGTGGTGGCATCGAACCACTAGTAAGTGTTGGTGTCGACCCTCGAGTCCACCATCGCGAAAAGCCTTGACTCAGACTATATCGCCTATTATCTGCTTCTTCTGGTACCACTTCTTTACCAGCTTGCTGAGACACTAGTTTTGCCAGCGTTTCTGGAGCCAATGATTCACCAAATGCCGACAAACTAACTATAAGTGGACCAGCTACTGCCCAATTGTAATATCTTCCGTTTATGCGAAATACAGTGAGTGGATCTGCTAGGAGTAACGGATTGGCCGAAAATGTCTGGAAGTCGACTTTATGAGTTTTGAAGATATCATCTGCAGCTTGCGGTGCAGCAGCAAGGATATTTTTCCATCCACACGTCGACACTTCTAAACGTGGAGGCGGAAGCATACTTGCTTGCATTACGGGACTGAGCGGTGGTGACGATGGTGGTTGAGTTGTTACTGGAACTGGTATTGTTGTCAGTGGTATTGTTTGAGGCATGCTTTCCGATCTCAATCCTAACGCTGTGCTTTCCATCAGAGCACGTGGAGGTGAGTTTGGTGGTGAGGTAACGGTACTAGATGCGTTATCATTATAATTATTGTATCTACCAGGCATTGCCACCTCATTACTAAAGTCAATAGCAGTCATTTCTGGCGAGATTGGTCGTGTTTGCTGTGCTTCAGGTAGAGCCGCTAGATAGTTGTTGACCTTCTCTGACAGTGACAGAGGATCTTTATCAAGGATTGTAAGCTCATCCGGTTTCATCACAGTAGGAGCAATTACTGTCGTCTCAGACTCGGTTTTTGTGGGTAAATCACCCCAATGCCAGGACCACTGGTGTGGCTCAGCAGTACTGGTATTCGTATACTAGAAGACATCCCGAAAAATGAGATCGGAAAAAAACGAAAACAGATAAACGCCGTATAACTCGATGGCTCGAAATACCTCCAAACCACCATCACTTAACGGTCCAGCTGGGGTGTGATTTCGCATACTAGCCATACTCGATTTGGGTAGACTCCTATTACAGGGATTTGCTTTCAGCGATGTTGTCACTTGACATACACCTCACTTGTGAGTGCCACACTCACCCAACTTCGAAAGAATCTAGATCTGAAGCATCTAAATCCTTGATGGATGCTTCAAGCATAGGACCAGAAAGAGTCCGTGTATGCCTTCTCTTCTCTTCAAGCGAATTCCTACCTTCCTCCATAGCTCGAGCTGACAGCGATGTCGGCGATTCCAAAGCTGGCAAATCATTACTACTAGCATTGCGTATTGCAGTAGACAATACAGACGTCTTTTCAACTACAATATCAGCATCCGACGGAAGACCATTTTCAGCGGCTGTGGCTTCATGTATAGATGCTCCTAGATCCAATGGCTCAACGCTATCATCGATTTCTGTTTGAGGATGCGGTATAGGTGATGTAGCATATTGCGATGGTGGTGGTTTCTAAGAAGCGTTCTCAGTAAAACGTATCTTGACTTGCAGCTAACTTCAAAGATCCACGCTCTACCTCTGTCTCTATCACGAAAAAGGCTTCACCAGCCTCTCCCAGCTTCATGGCAACATCGACTGGTTTGCCATTGACAGTGACTTCGACCTGTTTTGGTCCCAAAAATGCAGGTTTGTCGTGTCAGCTGGTGTCACACTTATAAACTATTTGGATAGGAACTGACCACTTTCTCTCTTGGCGTCAGTAGTTTCAGCTTTCCAAATCGTACATGGAATGGCGAGCAAGCAAACTCTCCATTCTTTTGCTTCACTACTACGACATCGATTGCTCCTGATAGTGTTGCCGGATTGATGTCCCGATAGAATTCGCTCACACTCGAGACAACCTGGATATAGAGAATATGGAGATCGTAAGCTTCTATTACAGTTCAAGAGATGGAGCGAATCTTACGGTCTGAGTAGCCTTGACCACATGTGAGGAAAACCCATACAAGTAACTCTATTGACGATTGTTCAGACAGAGGTGATTAGCAGCTGCCTCCAAACTTGTGGGACCATAAAGAGATGTGGAACATTGATAGCAACTCACCATTGTTATCCCTTGTGTGTACTTTCTAGGTGTAATGACAAAATTCGTTAGAGCTGAAGATCAAATCACGCTTCAACTATTTCAGCCTGTGAGGAACGTTCGCGTCGGAAGGTCGAAGTGCTTCGAAAGGTTGAAAAGTTACAAGGTTTGCAACTTCATCTTATGTCGTATTTGCATTCTGCTCGTACAAAGTTAATATACGAATATAACAACCTTTCTGGAGCTCATTAGAGTTTTAATCCATCATTTCGTCGTCGTCGTTGGGATGTTTCTCTTCCTCCTCCTCGTCTTCGTCGTCTTTACAGTTATACGCGGCTAGTATTGCAGGCAAACCAAGTGCCTTTGGTGTCAACCACTATTCGTCCTCCTCGTACTCCTCTATCAAAGCCATAGCTTGATCTTCATCATCTTCTATTTTCAGAAATGCGTCCACACGTTCTGGAAGCAGTTTTTCTGCAAGCAAACGAAGTCCATTCATATCCTCAACACTCTCAACACTTCCGTCCTGCTCTATAAGTTGCTTCACACGCACAGCCAAGACATCGTCGGCGATCTTTTGCATAATACTGGATTCACTATAGTCAACTCGAAGTCGATTGAAGCTGCTGGATTGTTCGGTTACTAGTCCAAAAAACATTTCCAGGTCGGATTGAGGTTGACGACTTTTAGCCTTCCTAATGTCCAAGACCTTTGGGTGTGCCTTTTCTATGCCTGAACTGCATATTCCATCATCTCAGAATATTCAGCGTCAATGGGGAGTTCCAAAGGCTCCTAAACTATACCCAGTATGTCAGCACCCAGGTAATAATGTTGTGAGATATAGTAAAATTATAGAAAGAGCGTACTCCAACATAATCGTGAATTCATGGCCATTTCCCCTTCCTATGGATATACAGGTACTGGCGCTATGCTTCCACCAACAGCATTGGAGGACCGACCATCAAATCCATTCGCTGAGCACGCGTCTGCGATGCTATAGTATACCTCAGTGCTTGCTTGTGCTTTCGTATGCCTTCAGCATCATCCTCCGTAATGGCAACCATATAGAATCCAAAGTGATTAAAGATTCGTGTCAAGTACTGCGAAGCTCCCTTCATGTGATATTCAACAAACTCTTCCACACGTCTTTCACTCCATTCCTGCTGAAACTTTTGGGCTACAGCCACTTATTTATAAGGTGTGAAGAAGGGCTCTCTAAATATTCTGAGAATGTCACTACTGTCCCCACTGCCGGTCATCATCTTAAACGTATATGTCAGCTTTTCCTTGGGATGGACATCGGCAAAGCGAAGCTTGACTGGACTACAGCTGAATACTAGATCAAAATGTTGTTCGCACAGTTCCAATGATTCAGGCCAACAGTGGAGTATTATCAAACAGTTAGGAAAGTCCGACAATAATCAGAAAATATACTGGCTTCAAAGCACTCTACGACATCAACACTGTTCTCTCCTCTCGTTCATACACTCTTCACAACGTACCAGTAGGGTTGGAAGACGTCAGCGAGATTGGCTCTATCAATGTCTTCATCTTCGTCGTCCGAATAGCAGGCATAGCAGGGATTTTCGTCGTCTCTGATTCGTATCTATCACACTGTGAGCTGCTCTGATGGATTACCTTACTTGTTTTCCAGAACTGACAACGATGGTGGGAACTACCGTCAACTCTCCAGAGCTAAGAGCGATAGGTACCAGGAACGCTGTAAATCATCAGTAAAAAGCAAATGTCGGTATAGAACTATGGAGATCTATCACGCTCATCGATAGAACCCGATTTGAAATGGCAGATTATCACGAATTGGTGAGTCCCAGTCCCACGTATTTTTTACTGACGAGGCCCCGGAACCTATGTGATAGTGAGTAGCGACTAGGAGTCCTTGTTGCTCCTCATAATCCACGTCGAGTGCTCTGAAAATCCACAAAAATCCGAGACAAGTCCTTTGAACTTGATGGTAGGTCCGTGTCAGGCCCACTGGGGAATGCTCAGAAATTCGGAATACCACAGGAATCTGTCAAGGTCAGATTTTGTTTTGTCAAAATGGACTGGGCTTGAGTTTCCTCATTGGTATAGATGGGATAATCAAATTCACGAGAAAACTTCGCACTCAATACATGGCTTATTGAACGTGTAATATCGATTCAGACAAGCGTTGGTACTGCTATTACTTCCTAATCGAGCACTCTGTCCCTCTGCAACAGATCAAAGAATACGAACAATATTTACTTTGCGTATATGGTTGGGTTTTGAAGGAAGACGATCTATCAACATAGACGGCAAAGCGCCCCCAGTAATCCATCATCGTGACATTGTATTTTGACCTTTGAGCAATAATTGTGACGAAAATTGTTCATATTCATCCACTTGAAAATCTTCACGCTCTTGTGAAACTCGCAAAATTGTCTTGCTGAGAAGTGATAACGTTAAAGACGTAGGTAAGTCGATGCATGCTTCTTTGCCAGCATTCATACATTCTTGAACCATTTATTCTCTTGCAAGGCTTGTTCAAAATCATCGTCCACGTACTATTACTGACACATTGACACATTTGCCCTATTCTTAGAGCGATGCCTCAAAGTACCAACATGGAGCACTCCAAAAGTGGAGAGGATTTCGACGTCACGAATACTGAAGATTTGGGCAGGTTTCGGAAGGTGCGTGATGCCTGTAAAACTCAAGCAATCACAATCACTAATCACGTTGCACATTAGAACCCACTCAGCTTTATGGTGAAGCTAACGGCATCAAGTGCTCGTTTCTATGAAGTATTATATGCTTTTATCTCCATCAAGTGCTTGCGTTTGGAAACCGTTGAACGTGGTTGTCCAATATTACGATATTGGTCAACCATTTTCAGTTCAACGGTTTCCAATATTACGACGTTGGAAACCCCTTTTAACAATGTCTTTCTGTATAGGGAACTGACTGGAGGTCGTACGACAAGTATATTGGCAGTAAGATCTTCTACCCACAATACACGCAAAATATCAAAACCGAATTATTGGCTGCTCCAACTATAAGAGCCATGTCAGACAGTATGGCCCGAAAGAACTTTTTAGCACAATCTGAAGAGGCCAGGAAGAAGAAGGGCAAACGTTTGGAGGACTTGCAAGCTGCACAGTGGAAGTATGTAAACAAGATTGTGGACAATATGACTGCTCAGATGGAATCAAAGAGCTTAATCAGATTCATGGCATTCATTATGAACAATCTCGTCGTACGTCTCTATAATCAAGGCGTACATATTCGGCAGGATGAGTTTGTTGCTCTTCGAGAAGCCGCTTTGAAAGCCCAAAAGGAGAATGTGTCGTTGATATTTCTGCCATGCCATAGAAGCCATATAGATTACCTGACAATATCATACATTCTATTTCGACTGGGTATCGGATTACCCGCAATAGCAGCAGGAGACAATTTAAACATACCGATTATTGGAAAGCTACTTCAGCAATGTGGTGCCTTTTATATACGAAGAACTTGGGGAGATGACGTTCTTTATACGACCATCATGAGAGAGTATATGGATACGCTTCTTCGACAAGGTCATAATATAGAGTTTTTCATAGAAGGAACTAGATCCAGAACTGGAAAGATGCTACAACCCAAGCTAGGCATGCTCAAGCTAATATTTGAGCCAATTTTGTTGGGCAGAGTCAAGGATGCGATTATCGTGCCGATGAGTATTGGTAAGTATTCAATCAAAGCCGAAGTCGTCTTGGACTCATCTTTCGTCCCCCCAAAAATCGTGGGACTGACGATACATTTATCCCTAGGTTATGACAAGGTGATTGAATCAGAATCTTATGTGAATGAGCTGCTTGGAACTCCGAAAGAAAAAGAATCACTCTTCCAGGTCATGAATTCAGCCTCTGTACTGGGGCTTCAATTTGGACGTATAGACATTAGATTTGCCAAGCCGTACTCCCTCAAAGAGTACATTCAAACACAAGTTGAGCGCCGTGGGTAAGACACAGTCATTTAAATCATTGAATTGATTACACAATCATTCATTTACAATGCGCTCACAATCATTAGGCCCTCATTCGATCCCATTACCATTCCTCAAAACCGAAATACTTTACTGCAAGCACTTGGATACCAGGTTTTATCTGACATAAACAGCGTCGGTGTCATAATGCCCACTGCTCTCGTAGGCACTGTCCTTCTGACGCTGAGAGGTCGTGGTGTTGGACGTGATGATGTAAGCATAGAAGAAGTCATAATGATGTCAAGCATTGCCGTTGCGCACCTCACACGCCATCCATTTTCGTAGTTGATTAGACGTGTTAACTGGCTGATAGCAGAGATTGAGAAGAGAGGAGGCAACGTAGCGGACTTTGATGGCAAGAGTACAGGGCAGATCGTCGATCGAACTATTCCTCAACTCAAGGACCTCATAGGCCAAAGGACAGATCTGATAGAGCCGGTCTTTTTTGCTGTCCGTAGATTCGAACTCTCCCTTTATCGAAACCAAGTGATTCACTTGTTTATCGGAGAATGTAAGTGACTTTCTTTGAAATGTTACATACTCGTCTCAAAAGCTAACCGACATTCCTTAGGCATTCTTGCTGCTGCATTGTATTCAAGCGTGAAAAGTGACCGAGCAGCCAGAGTAGTCATTCGCCCTCAATTATACGAGGACTCTGTATTCTTATCATCGCTGTTGAAGAACGAGTTCGTCTATGGACCTCAAGGATTTGAAAGCAACTTTGACGAGACTGTGCGAGAGCTCTCAGACGCAAACGTAACGTCTGTCGTGGAAGTACCGCCTGCTCATGGCTCTGAAACAATGGAGATGCAAAAGGCATTGATGTTGAGTGAAGAAGAACGAAGAATCGGAAGAGAGAACTTTGGTATGACTCGTTCCTTACACGACTACAAGCTCAGAGAGACGTCCATTCACACATTTTCTTCGTCGTTGTAGACTTCTACTGTTTCTTGATATGGCCATTCATCGGTATGTGTTGATGGCATTATGAAACAAAACAGATCTAACTCACAGTCTACCTACAACAGAAACGTATTGGCTTGCAGCTATATCCCTGTTCTCCCTAATGCCAGAGAGTCCAGTACAGCCTTCACCGTCTGGAAACGATCTAGCGCCGGACGCATGGGTGCCCGAAACAGTATTCATGAATAGAGTAATGTTCTTTGGAAGAACTATCTATTATGAAGGTACTTGGGATAACTTGTATATCCACATTTGTTTCTCTAGCCCCACTCATTTGTTTCTTACCCATGTTCTTTCTTTACCTTTTTAGGTGACATGTCATACTTTGAATCCGTAAACAAGGAAACACTGAAAAATGCCTTTACGCGTCTCACCCAAATGGGACTGATACTGACATATACTGGTATAAGCCCGCCAAATAGTGACAACGCAGCAAGCTTCAAACCCAATGCTAAAACAGTCTGGTGGGCACTAGCTCCAGAATGGTGCGCCACTGGACTACCTGCACCACCGCCTCTCCCAGTTCGTGTAGCTGGAAAAGCACAATCAAAAACAGATGATAATGGTATTAACAGTGATGAGGCCATCTCATTCAAGCAATGGAGGGCATTCAGGCCAGACGGTAAACTATGGGATATGTGTGAACGTATAGGGTCGTTTAGAAGGGAGGGGAAGAACCGGCGTGATACAGCAACTGTGTCAAACCGGGTTATACGGCTTGCTAGAATAACGCATATGTGGACAGAAGTGAAGGGTGATAGTGTTTCAATGAAGGCTAAACTGGAAGAGCTACAACCACACATGCTGCGCATCCCCTTGGGTGAAATCGAAGGAGTCAAAAGAAGCGCCCGACTGCGAGGTAAATTGTGAGATGGACTAGTAAAATGTAATAGATCGTGTAGCAACTCTCTGTCTTGTGTATCTTTATAAATCTCATCTATTTCATTTTTTTGATTTGTCTTGAGGTTGCTTGAATGCTTCTGCACCCAGCAACAATACACGCATCAACCTTATGGCTAGATCATAGAATCGAACGGTTCTGCTTCGGTAGTAGAATTCGGGGCTGATTCATACAGCTTCAATCCAGCCATTTTGTTTATCATGGCTCGAGGATTTGGGTATGGGGATTCGATGTGAGAGAATGGACGGTTCTGGTCATTGGCACTAGCTGAATGCAGTTTCTCTTTGAGCTCGTAGAGCGGGCAATATCACACTGTCTCAATAATGGTCAATCATGTCATCATTGTTGGTGCCTTGCAAAAACACCAGCAACGTAAGAATCCGTCAAGGCAGTGATTAGATCTTGTTCAGGGATTGGATGGACTGATGTCAATCGGGGTAGTAGTGATTCTTCGGTTCTGGTTTGGTGTCTTGTTGTTTGCAGGCGGATGCGTCAAGATGGATTTTGGCAGCAAGGACAACGACACCCTCTGGCAATATGGAAGCAGCAGACTCTCGTCTAAACTGCTTTCCAAATTCATTGATCTGCTTCTTCTCACAGTTGGATGTTCTGCAGTTCTTGAAATGTCGTCAACCGCAGAACTTCAAACAGGAGAGCCAGCAAGTAGTGTGTCACAAAGTAGTATACATAGTAGTAGTGTATTGCGTATGTTTATAGTTGTATAATGCAAACATTTATAAGAATTTCTCATACACGAAATACAAAACTATTGACTTGCAAAGGATTTTGAGGATATTAGAGCTTGAAGCTAGCTTGAAGTGCACTCCAGCCCGTCGAATGTGGTCCATCCATGTTGGGCACCTGGAGTCTCTAAATGGTGGTGAGCTTCACGATCTCCCTCCTCTCTCTTGTCGCTCGTCGATGTCCCAGTACGATGTGTGGGCGGCAAGGACAGTCATTGGGAAGGCTTGCGGAGAGACCTCCTGCTTGAAAGGGGGGTTGGATAGTTGGCTAAGTATTTTGTCTTTTCTTTTGTTGTTTTGCTGTGTGCTGAAGAGTTGAAGGAATGGAAGGCGCCAAGTCCACTCCCAAATCCAAGACAATCGAATATAAAACCAACATCACGATAGTACGGCTTTTCGTGTCTAGTTACTTGAAACTCATCAAGGCACCGGCAAAACGCGTATATCTGGTTGTGTAGTGTCGTAATTCTCGAAAAGCCTGGAGGACAGTTGATTTGGGTAATTCTGAGTGCATAACCCAGCATAGAACATAGTATGGCATGCAACTATGAAGGAGGGATGAGTGCAAAGAGCTGAATCCGCTGAGTTACGTGGAGTGGCTCTTCAATCCTGCTATGCTTTGTTGGCCATAAAACAGCCAGGCGAGGAGCCGTAGAGAGCGGCCTGATTATTCATGTGTATCCCAAGATCATCATGACCCTTTGGGCAATCACGCCAGCGTCCATACCGCGTCGACCGTTACCGTTTTACGAGTTGTAACTATATATTAACTACAATGCCCATTTTCACTTTTGCAGCCCAAACCCCCTCATATGCACAAACAAATTTATCTACATGGATATCGATTTTCTACATAACAACATTTCAGTTTTCCGCTCATCATTGATCGGTTGAAGGCCTCGACAATCCCATCGCCTGAGACAGTTTAGCCAATGACGCTTTACTAGTCAGTGATATACGATTCGTGCCACCAGATCCAGAACTACTGGTACTCAGTGCAGAGCTTGTACTAGCTCTCTTCATCTTAGTTGGATCATTTTCTCGTGAAGACGGTTGAGCATTACGTCGGAATATAGAGTATCCAGAGCTTGTTGGTGGCATATCTGGTTGCGATGTATTAGCACTAGCAGTATATGCAGACATGGATCTATTCGGCGTACTGTCAAGACCACCACTACCGCTGAGCTGAAGAGCCTGCCTTATAGAATCAATGGACGACTGGACTTTTCCTGGATTACCAATTGCGGTGCTGCTGATAGTTCCAGTCGCAGGTAGGGTTGTATGATCAGGCAAGCCTAATCGAGTTATCTCTTCTCCAAAGTTCTTTTGGAATACTATAGTTCGCAAGAAACAGGCGTAAGCGATTGACCATGAAAACACATGCTGTTGAAAAGACTTACAGACTACGAGATTGTCATGCAATGGTTTCATTTGAGCTGGCACTAGTATGCCATGCAAGAAGAGGCATCTGTGTGTGATCTCAACCTATATCGCGAAAAAATCAGTAACATGAACAACCAAAAAACAAAAAAAACGACCGAATCCACCTGATCATCAATAGCTTTAGCAAGCACCTCCACCAACCCAGAAAACTTGGGATGACTCTTTCTAAACTCAGGAGCCAAGAAAGCACGTCGATACATTGGAACTCCACCGTTGACAGGTGCATCAATAGCTCCATTGATGGCCATCGTGAATGGGTTAATATTAATATCCTTTTCACGTCCAGAGGTTCTATTCCCACCAACAAGTCTACTAGCAGCCTGTCCTCGTGCATTAACATTCGGAGCGACATTGGTAGGAGCTAGATATTTTCGTTCCAATTCTAAAAGTTGGCGATTCTTCCCACGGACAGCGATGATGGCGTTTTCGATCGGTGATATTTCGAATGTATGGGTGGCAATGACTTCCGACCGTTTTAATAGACACGGGAATCGATCGGCAGTCAAGATTACTGTTCGTTCAGTCCATAATTCTAAAAATTCACGAGCTGGATCATTTGATGGTGCGATCGATGTACGACGTACAGGTCTCGAAAAGCTAAAGCAGTCAATTTCGTTCGTTTCATAGTATGATCGAATGGATTCGGGTATGGTAGATGCAAAAGCTAGTGCACGAGTGCTCAATTCTTCTTCACCAACTCCTAAATCCGGCTCCAGTATTTGCAGTGGCACCATATCAGGGTTTCCATCAGGGTCTATGGATTGTGTTGCATCCAGAATCGTCAGACTCCATCGAATGCGTCCTGATGGTCCTTCATTCTTCAACCATCGTCGAACGTCAGGTTCTGGATTGACTCCAATAACCTAGTCGTAAGTTGAGGGATAAGCAATTTGATTGTAGGAGACAACGACGAAAGAAAAGAAACGATTCAGAGGACTTACTTGGATATACATTCCAACACCAGACGAGATATCTTCACCGACAAAACTTTTCGATCGAACGACCTGAGCATCTGGATACTGATTCAGCATAGCTTCACAAAAGCCACCGAGTCTCTCTCCCTAGACATAAAGTGTTAAGCACTCAAGCGACAAAAAAATACCCGAAGGGTGAACGGGTTACCTCTCCAGCACGGTACACGAATTGCTTTCCACGCAAAGCAGAAGGACACGACAATCCATAAAACGACACCCGATAATAGTTTGGAGGAACGCGATTACCAGACAGAATGGCTTCATAGAATTGAGCTTCTTTACGTAATATAGAAGCCAACTCTTTATACTCGAACGTGATGGACGAATAATGAACTTTCAATTCATTGGCAAGATCAATAGCACGTTCCCAAGCTCGACCTCGTTCCAGTAGCTGCAAGATGATGTGAAGAATTTCCATTTTGCGTTCTGATGCAGTTTGCCATCTTGGGAAACCAAGACTAGGTAAAGGTTCGACCTTGAGCTAAAAACCCCCCGAAGTTATGCGTAAGTTTGATGACTACTTTCAATTGAGTTCATGACTTCACGCATACCTGATTGTTCCAATCAAGCAAGTCCGAATGAAGTTTCAACGCCAATGCAGCTTCTACAATATTGTCGTGCTCCAAGTGTATGACACTCAACGAGTGTACATACTTGACATATATATGCTTCCGTTCCAAGCACCGTGCAAATCTAGATTTTGAAAGGTAAAAGTTTTGTAACAAGGCAAAAAAAGCCGTACCAATGTCTGCTAATTACTTGAGAACTTCCAGTATAGCCTCCATCCTCTCATGATCATGCTCATCTCCGAACGGCAGAGATCTTAATATCAAAGTTAGTTCCAGGAAATGATCCAACTGATCAATGAATCTAGCTCCAAGTTCATGTAATACAGGATCCGTCCATGGATGCTCGTTTTGTGAAAACTTTTGATTGAGCTCTCCGACCAAAAAGGCGCGATAGCTCTCGTCTCCACGTCCTTGAGCAACAATCAAGCGATCCAATACATCGGCCCATTCACCTTGTATCAAAACAAAGTCTCCTGTTCTTTGGAACTATCAAGAGAAAGAAAATTAATATTCTGGTATGAAATTGCTCATTCCCAAACTTCATACCTCAGCTGCAATCATACTAGCCAGCAAACCAGCAGATATACGTTTCAACTCTGCATTGGCACTGACTGTGAGTTGGAGGAAGGGACCAACCAAATCTCGAGTCAATCGTTCAAACTGTGCTACCTCAGCAGCATCCCATGTAGAAGCTACACGTCGTGCAGCAGATGATAATTCTTCCCACATGAGATGAAGGATTTTACCACCATCAGCACGAATATCTGCTCCAACTTTACTAGCCACCCATGCTTGGAGTGGACCGAATCTCTCAATTTGACAACGTGGAGAGTTCAATATCTTTTCCAAGAGACGGAAGAAATCATTCCATACGACGCTATAATGCTGATTGCTTTGGGCAGTCGACAGCGCACCACTTTGAGAGAAAAAAGTCAGCAAAAGCAAAACACCCAGTGGTCCGACTAGCAAATACCACCGACCTTGTGACAAGTCCGCTTCCAGGCAAAAACTCTTTACTCAATATCTCACTAACCGGCTGCAATACATGTATGGCAAGTCGTTGAGACAAATAATACATTCCGGCCCATTTAGACGGAAATGGTTGCTCATCAATCAGTGCCTGTAGAGTACCAAACAAGGATGACAGGACTTGGACAAAAGAGACTGGTCCCCGTTTCTCAAATAATCTCGTCATCAAACTACTTATATGTGGCTTGTCTAGCAGTTTGAAAACAGCCAAGATGACTGTTGCCAATTCACCCAATTCTGGTCGAAGTGCTGACGACAATAAAGTTATCTGTGAGGACTCTCGCATTACAGCACCGATACTGCTACTACCAGAGTTTTGGGTATGCGGAGATAAACTAACTGGGGCTAGCGGTGGTGATGTAGCAAGTGGTTCGACGTGGGCAAAGGCCCTCAGGTTAAATACAGATGAAGCAGTCCTGACTGATCGTGGTCGTTCAGTGCCTGATCGTTCCATGATATCAGAGTATTTATCAGAGCCACTACCTGATGACAGCGTTGACACAGTAGGTAAAGGCGGTGTTGCTTCTGGTTTGGCAGCGACACTCTCACGACCAGAATCATACTCTTCAATCGTTCCTAAAAGTCCAACACTGGCAGCACCTGCAGATTCTGTTGTTGGAGCAGTTGCATGGACTAGATCATTGAAGGCCTCCATCAGTTGAGGCAGTAAATCAGCTACAGCCAACACCATAGAATCAACTTCCTTTTCAGCAGCCTTCTGTGCCTTCTCAGTCTCGAGTATTTCAATCAATTCTGCAATGAGAGACCAAGATGTCGTAGCCGCTACAGTTCTATTTGCTTCCTTTTCTCTCATAGCTTTTGATGCTGTCACCTTATTGTTGACTTCACCTCCAGCACTATAAAAGTCTACCGAGACATAATCTCTCAACCATCGTACTATATGTGGCATCAAAATGACCCTTGTTGGCCTGTCTTGAAACATGGGACCTCGTATAATATTAGTTATAAACTGAAGACGAGCCATGGCAATAGTTGTACGTGATGTTGCTCGACTAGCATCAGCAAACGCCACAACACTCTTTACGAGCTGCTGATGCGTAAGTACCAGAGTCAGATCAGGTATGAGAGCAGCAAAGTGCTGTAGAGCAAATCCTTGGGCACCAATTACATGCTCGGGTGTCGTCAATCCCATCAAGAAGTTGACAGCATCCAAAAGACTCTTTACTGATTTAGCAAATTCTTCCGGAGTTGTTGTAGTAGGTTCCTTGCGCTCTATGGCATATGATTTGACACAAAATCGGATTATATACTGCCAGACCTTGATGGCGGATCTTAGATCTTTAGCTTTACTTATATCCGCGGGATTGCTCAACAATTGTTGAAACGAGTTTAGCAAATGATAATGTGCCGTTCGAAATACGAATCTCCTAATGAACATTGTCAATATTAGTAGAGAGCAGAAAACCCTGCACAAAACCTGTGACAATTTGACTCACTTTTCAATGTATGCATCCAACACCGACTTGTGATGAGTAAATCTCTTGTCCTGAACTATACCCAAGATAAATACTACAGCAGCAAAAGCCAAATCTTCGACCTCGGCTTCAACATTCCCATCCGAAACACCACGTTGTTCCAAGATTTCAAAAATCTTATCGAGAATGTCTGGTAGAAAAACAATGATTTCAGATTCTCCAACCATAATTAGCTCCTTTAGTATAGATTCTACTGCTGATCGATGATTGGATATAGATAATCTCCAATTCAAGAGATTCACCAATGCTTGATTTTGAGTGAATTTCGTAGAGCATAGACGTGATCGTACGCTAAATGTATCCTTGCTAGGTGGTATTTTAGACATGGCATCTGCTGCTGCCGAGAGTTCGTCTAGTGATGCCGTTGATAACTGTTTGGGTACAAATATAGTTGGACCCGCTGGAAAAGTTAGATATATGGCTGGATATGACATTTTACGATCCCAGCGGTATAGTGTAAGAGCATGTTGAGAATCAGCTAATACTGCTCTATTTCCCATAATCAATGGCAAGAATGCAAATGCAAACGTGCGATCGTCCTTTTTCTCCTGCTCACGACCACGATTACTACTAGAGCAGTGACGGAAGGCGAAAAAAATATGTAGCTTCTCGAATGTATCGACGGGCAGATCGAGTCGGATGGTTTCGTTCCACTTTGGAGCAGCGGTATGGTAGTATACAGTGGATTCATACGCAGATATGTTGGGTACTCCAGCACCACGAGATATACACCCATCTACGACTTCACCTGATGGCATTCTTACCTTTTAGAAGGGATTAATTAGTCTTTGTGGATCGTTTCGAGGTCTGGTTCAGCAGAGTTTAACAAATGGGGAAGACGGGTAATGGAAAGAGGGCACTCACTTGTACGGCCACTTCTACATTCTTGCCTTTACTCGAAGCAAAGTCTCCAGCCACCAACGTCAAGTACATTTCATTTCGTACATCACCAGGCGATATAACGTCTGTAAAGCCATTTCGAGGAGTAATGACTGCCTCACCCAGCTGATTGTTTTTGTACATCTTCATCCAATCTCCTTGTATCACCTTCAGCTGCATTACCAAGTGTTCAGCACGATTAGACGTATCATATCCTCCCAATCGATTCACCAAGTTTTCGTGTAGTGAGCCAAACATGGCTTCAGAGGTTGGTACATAGATACGCATGAGATATTCATTGGTGTGATTGAAATTATGAACCAAATCACCTAAATCTTGTATAGCCCAACCAACTGGTCGACGGACATGTGATGAGCTGGGACCTGTACTTGCCGATCCGTTATTGGTGTCTCGATCATTGACATTCATACGACCTACTCGCACAATTTTACATACTAGGAAGGTGTTCTCATTCAAATCACGATGTGATAAGTCGACAAATACATTTTGCATCTTTCCTATGCGATCACCGTCTGTTGGCATTCCTAGATGGTTTAGCACTACTACATAGTCTTCGGTGACGGTGCGACTCTCAGCCTTGTTGTATAGCGAGAAGTATAATTCAGCTGTCTCTCCCGGTGCACATATGGAAGCCACACAAGCTTTAAGTTCGATATGCAGATGCGTCAGTCGACTGACAAGTTCATCGAGAGTAGTGGGTTTATAATTTAGATTGGGTATTACGTCCTTTGACTTTGCTTTAGTTAGGGGTGCCGGTATCTTTACCGGCGGTAGTGGTGGACTCATCATGCTCGTAGCAGAAGTAGGACTTGGTGGATGAGCGACAGCCAAAGGTTCCATACTGATAGGTTGACTGGTGTTGATGGAGAGTGAAGTCGTACTATCTGCTTGGATATACATTTGATACATTTTAGATATAGACGTATTCATTTCTGATACTAGTGATCCTGTCTCGGCATTCCATACTACCAAGTCTAGACCTAGCATGCGGTTTCCAGCCACCATTTTGGAAATCAGCTCTCGTCTCAGTTTCGCCAATTCATCTTGAGACAGAGTATGAGCCAGTAATTGTCGACGTCCCTGTAATAGACTATAAAAGAGCTGTCGTACTGTTTTGAAGAGGGCATAGTTTTGTTGCAGCAGCAGCGTTTTGAAGCACGCACTCCATTCCCGAGCTACGGCAGCGACTTCATCTACTAGTGGTTCCTGATAGCCTGCCTGAGTAGCATGTACTGGTGGTTGAGGAACAGGTAGCATCCTACTATCGGTTGGTAACATGGAGCTAGCGAGTGAGAGGAACAGACTTTGGTTACGTGGCGGTAGCGGGGTGTCTGTTGTGACTGCTGAAGTTGGTACCGATGCAGACATTGGAGAAGTGACTGCAGATGGTATGGGAGTAGGTGGCATGTACTCTCTAGGTTGAATACTGATATGATTCGCTGGAAAGATTCCGAGTCGTGGAGCTGCATTTGTTTCAACACACGAGTAGACATAACCACGATACCACACTAGAATTTGCAAGTAAATAAAGAAAAGTTAGCAATCGAGATCGAACAGCGATACTCCTAAAAAAACTCCAACAAAAGGAGACAAGACAGGTAATTGATGCAAGTGTGAGATTTGATCTCATCCAGATCTGGACATACCACCACCACATTCGATGATATGAACCGAGTCGCCGACTTCTAGAGATATCTGAGCAGACGTTGCGGTCATGAAGGAGTCAGTCCCTGCATTCTTTTGTGGGTCCAGATTGATGGCCGATGGATATGAAGAAAGCGAGAGGGGCGTGAAGGGGAGGATGACCAGTCCATGCTGTGTGGCAGTCAGTGGGATCCAATTGTCCTCGCTTGTTCCTCCTACTGCCATCTTCCTAACAACGTCGTGATTTCTGTATGTTTGGAATTTGCGATCTACTGCACTGCTGCGAAGGGAGGGACTCAGCACCTAGTTGGAGAAGATGGACGCGTTAATATGATATGGCACTCATGGCCGACCATTTCCCTTACGTACTATAGGTGGAATGTCACGTCAAAGACCGAAGTGGCTGCCAGCAGCAAAAAAGAAGCCCAAGTTTATCATCGCAACGCGCCTAGCAATTATTCTCGCACTTTATCAGGTTAATCATTAATCAATTATAAATCGAGGTTTACTCTTACATCCGAGTAGATCTCTTTCACATTGTTGTCGTCGAACAATCAGCCAACATTTGACCGAGAATGGCAGAGGAAGATCTTCAAGAATGGTAAGTGAGACGTATCTATTCTTTCAGCATTGCATTGAACTATTCACTCGTGTCTATTAGGGAGAAAGAAGCTGAACACCTGCAATCAACAGCGGATGAGTTGACCACACGTAAAATCTCAATGTTTGGCCATAGGATCTTAACCATACTTATCTGACCTAGCCCTTGCTTTCATGCAGATATATTGGAGAGGAAGCGTCTAAAGAGTCGGGGCCTCGATATCTCGGGAATTGAACGCCAAATCGCTACATCGCAATCAACTCTCAAAGATGGAATTGCCTCGCTAGAACAACAATTATCTACTGCTGAATCGAGAGGCGGAATGTAAGAGATTCCTTGCGTCTCATATCTACATCTTTCCGGTCTGACCCAAACAATCAATTAGACCGAGTGCTGACCTGAAACGATGGGAGAATATGATATTGGCGTTGTCGAAACAGTATGATCGAGTCGAGTTTCTAGCTAAAGCAGATGATTCGAATCCTGATGCTAGGTAAGTTTGTGTTCACTATGTGCCTTGTGTCATCAGGTCTGACACATGCTTTCTAGAGCTCAACTGTTTGCCAAACAACCAGCACCCGCCCAACCCTCAGCAGCGAGCACCCATCTTTTAGAAGATGATGGAACACCGCTAGAATCGTTAAACAATCAAGAGTTTCTACAATTACAAGATCGAATCATGCAGGGTAAGCCATGACAAAACATCTGCTTTAGCACTGTGAAACGTGACATGTGCTCGGACAGAGCAACTGGATTAGCAGCATGAGAACTGACATGAACTCAATCACTAGAACAAGACAACCATCTGGACGAACTAGCAGTATCAATTGGTCGGCACAAACACATAGGTCTGATGATTAGTGAAGAATTGGACTTGCATGCTGATCTACTAGAAGAAACCGAGGTCGCTGTCGATACTACCCGTAGTCGTCTTGGTGCAGCCGGCAGGAGGTTGACTACTATTACCAAGAACACCAATTCTCGCGGCATCACGGCCATCTGTATACTTTTCGTGATTCTGATCATTATAATTGTAATTGCTCGACGATGAAACGTGCAACTTAAATATACTTCTGATTCTGACCCTGTAAAGACTTGCAATGCCACTGACATGAGGTTTCCTTTTATTGAACCCAGCACAACTACAGGCGACAAACCCCGTCGATCCGCCGACTATAGGTGAGATTTCGACTTCAGGGTAGCGTATCTAGATCATCAACAATTCGGAATGAGATTTCAATCCAACAAGAAAGAATCACTGAATCACATACACTGCACGTTCAAACTTTGTAAACTGTTCCACTGCCTTGGTATCAACAAATGGCAGCAATTGAGTAGCAAAAACAGCTGTGACATTGTTTTTGGGATCAATCCAAAAGTAGGTATTGAAGATTCCAGCCCAAGCTAGAGATCCAGCTGATCTCATATTGGGTATGTCTTCAGTGTTGATCAAGAATCCCAGACCCCAAGTCGTCTCATATCCAGACATCAAATCAATGTCCAGAGTGAGAGTTTTGTCGTCTAAAGTCATCAAGGTCAATAGTTTGTCAAGCAAAAAAACATTAGTGTTGCTTCACGTACAGGACTTTAGAGCCATAGGTCGGAGATCTCCCAAATGGTTTTGTGATGCAAGCGCAACCTTCGGTGAAGAATGCATCAGATTAATCCACTGTCGTAACAAAAACAAGCGACACGTACTGTTTCAGCCTTTAAGATCTGAACACCGTCCAAAGTTCCTTTATTCAAAATCATCGAAGCAAATCGAATATAGTCTCGAACGGTGGAGTATAATCCTCCTCCTCCGGCTTCAAAGTCAAAGTCTTGAGGCTATCGAATTGCTTGGTAAGGTCGAAACCCACAAAAAATGTGTACTGATACAAGTCACGTACGAATTCAAAGGGGATTACAGCAAGGCTACCATCTGGAAGTCTTGCATGTACCGGTACGAGATCGTCAGCATAGGTAGCAGCCTAAACAAACATTCAGATCTTGGGTTAGATAGAGCTAAAAATCCATAATACAGCATTGTCTTTTACCTTCCAGCCAGTAGAGTTCATCTTGAGAGGATTGAGGATATTTTCAAGCATGTACACAGCCAATGACTGCCCAGTTACTTTTTCAACAACGAGTCCCAATACGTCCGTGTTGATTCCATATTCCCATTGCGTGCCTGGGTCTCGAGCAAGGAATATGTTCGCGAAAGCGGCTCTCTTGCCGGCACCAATAGGTGCGTACCCTGTATTGGCATAGTATTCGCCATCCATTCCGTTCAAGAAGCCGTCTACGACAGAATAGGGTTTGTGTTGCTGTTTGTAAAGATGATTGCCATGGTAAGAATGGCACGAGAAGATGAAGGCCTTACATGTTAAACCAGCCGAGTGAGTCAATAATTGCCGAATGGTAACAGGTCCTTTCTAGCAGTTTTCGAATTCTTTGTCAGAACTCAACGAACCAGTCTGCGACACACCCAACTCATTACTTTAGGTCTCAAGATAGGCTTCTTGTCAGCATCAAATCCTTCAAGAACTGGAATGTCTTTCATAAACGACAAAATGGTTCCAGAGTCTTGGTCAAGGACCAGTTTCCCCTTTTCAATCAACTGCAATATGGCAACACTTGTAATAGCCTTTGTCATTGACGCAATACGAAAATGATCCGTGATCTTTAGCTTTTCGTCTCCTGCAGATGAGCGATTGCCAGCAACTCCTGTTGTTGCGTCAATTTCGTCAGTACATTTCCCACGAATTCCATATTCAAACCAGGCCGATGTAAATACGAGGTTTTATTACCTTCGAAAATGACTTTTCCATTGTAGTATACGATACCAGCTACTCCCACTCTATTGTGCGAACGTTGGTCAATTGCGTCGATGATAAAAACGAAACTTGACGAGGGAGCTTACAAGTCAGACACAACAGCATCATCCAGTACACGTTGAAGCGAAGATATAGTCATCTTTTACAGACCTTTTGTGCAGAACGACTATGTTGTGGTTGGTCAGCACGTTTCCACGTCGTACTCATCCAAAGGTACAACAAAAAGTCTGTCTTCTCGACGCGATTTACAAGAGTTGACGCAGACAAATGTACTATATTTTGTGGTGTTTATGATTTTTACATTGCAGTCAAACTACTATAAACGAAACGAGTGCAGTACATACTAAAAAAATCACCGTCACAGTTCACATTCTATATAAGACGGCCCTAGTAGACTCCTTTGTAGCCAAATCCCTAGCCGTTTTGTTTTTGTACTTCAATTCTGGATCTGCTCCAGAATTTGATAACAACTGCAGGATGGTATTAAATCCACGCATGCTAGCAATATGCAAAGGAGTAAGTCCAGTTATTGTCTGGCTATTGACCTCCGCACCCTTGGCGATCAAAGCATTAGCCCCTTCCACAGAAGTTGATTCTGCAACAAGGTGCAAAGGGGTCAGTAATCCCAAAGTGGGCTCAGATGGATCCATTCCCAAGTCCAGGAGCGTGTTTATAAGTTTCTTGTTTCGTGTTATACAGGCGAGATGAAGAGCGCTCCACCCTCCCTTCGTACGAGCAGCTTTCTCGGCACCTAGACGTAGTAGTTCGACGGCCACTTCGGTTTCACCCTCGCTACACGCCAGCTAAAAATGGAAGAACGTTTTGAATAGGTTCCTTTCAATAACATCTCCAAACGGTTTAACTTACCAGAAACGGCGTCCATCCCTGCTCTGTTGTAGCATTTATATCTATACCGTTGCTAGCCAAGCACTCTATAGCCTTAATATGTCCATTAAGAGCAGCGTAGTGGATAGGAGTCCATGAAGGCGCTGTCTTTGGCAACTCGTTCAAAGTAACATGACTTCCGTGCTTACGGGTCAATTCCTTCATAATCTCTCTCGTCAAAAGCGAAATGACTTCCATATTACCATTTTGACACGCAAAATGCAGAGCCGTCAGCCCATTTTCACCCTGAGCAAGCACATCTATACCAGGCTTCAATAATAAAGTCTTGACGGCTGAAGCTTTGCCGAGCTGTGATGCCATCATCAATGATGTCTTTTTCGAATTTGTCCAGGCATTTACTAGAGCACCTTCATCTGCTAATACATTTATAACCTTGGCATGTCCGTGCGATGCAGCAAGATGTAAGGGTGTAATGAGATCCCCAGCACGAGCCAAGACACTAGCTCCTTTATCTAGCAGCAGTTTCACGACTCTCTCGCTCCCGATTTTGGCTGCTAAATGCAATGGTGTCATTTGATCGTTGGCTCTTGCATCAATGTTGGCACCATATTGAAGCAAGACATCAATCAGTGCGAATCTATTATCTTGTCTATCATCACGGGGTTGTGCGGAAGCGTGGTGAAGAGCTGTGGGAGGAAAGAAAGTCAGTAAACTGAAACAAGAGATGGGCTAAAATATAGCATCTTTACCAGTCCATCCATTCTCATCTTTGGCATCCACGTCAGCCGCCTCGGCAAGCAGAGATTCGAGAATATTGGTATATCCAAACCGAGAGGCACAATGGAGAGGCGTTTGACGATGTCCGTCTTTCGCATTCACGTTTGCACCATATTGTAGTAGCAGTGTTACAATTTCCGTCCGTATGGCTTCAGAGTGCTCGCCGCTGGTAATGGCAAAATGAAGTGGTGTGTGCTGTCCACCACATCGTGCATTTACCAGAGCCTCACTAATGAATTCGATTTGGTTAGGATCTGGTTGGACTTGAACAATGGAAGGGACAAACCTTTCCAACAACTTTTTGACAATGTGAACATGTCCATACGAGACGGCCTCTAATCATTGACAAAAACAAAAAAAAAGTTAAAATCTTGCTTCGGGTGTCATTACCTCAGGATATACGAATGCTTACTGATCAATGGCGTTCGTTGTCCATCGTCCCGAGCATCAATGACAGTGAGTGAGCTCTCCAATAGCGATAATATTTTATTCAAATCGCCACGTTCAGCGGCCTCATGGAAGTCTTTGGCAACGTGTGGATGGAGAAGAGCAATGTTGGCAACGTTATTATTACGTTGTGCAGATATGTCCGAGTGTGTTATCTTCGATTCTAGACGGACTAGCAACGCGAGCGGCAGTACGCCCGAGAGGCCGGTAACCACACTATGACATCTACCCCACCCGTCATGAAATTCCTGAAGAGAGGGAATACGTTTTAGTATTCCTGGACTGTTGGAGACATTTTTGACAACGGTCGAGAAATGCAGTACCTGTTCGAGAATAACATGATCACCAGTGTGTACAGCCAGCTCATCTGGCCTCTGTGGTAAGTAGTTCGCGTTTACCACATATGTAATCCCATTCACGGAATGTGCACTAAACGATTCTTCGTAACTAGGCAGTGATAGATGTGTTTGTGCAGGAGTTGTTCCAGATCTGAGGGCTTCAACCCTTGGTGTGTACGCAGGAATTGGACTTATAGATTCAACTACAGACAATGGTGAGGCAATTGATGCAACTGGAGCTTCAGGGCTGAGTGTTGGTAGCGGTGGTGGTGCAGTCCTGGTGACCGACATCACAGGATGCTGTACTATAGGCTCGGATACAGCTTCAACGACTACATCGGCTGGTGTTTGGTGGGCAGTAAGAGGAATGACGTGCGGGTTGTCCCCAAATGTGATGATGTTTGAAATGAACTATAGAACATCGAATCAGCGTTCCGAACTCAAAGTAAAGGATCGAGCAGCAGAGAAAACATATTGATAGATACTTACAACAGTTTCCTCCTTCAGTGGCTCCTTGCGAGACCTCCTTTGAGAAAACTTAAACCTCTGCTTCAACGAGACCGAACTGAGCCTGCTCATCAATCCACGATGAGGGCTAATTGTAGCTGGCATGTCAGTAGTAGTAGCAGTCATGATCGATTTCCACGGCGCAGAACTTGTAAATTACTGATCTCTCTTGTCAGCTGCAACGTACAAAGGAACAATTGGGAAAGAGATTACAAAGCAACAAGCAACGCGCGGAAAATGAACATCTGACGTCCAGTTTTCCAGTTTGATTCTAAATAATGTGCAAGATCTATTTCAACTATTTAACTAGTAACCCATCTCTTATCTTTTGCGTGGCACTTTTACTTCGAATGCCTGTCCTGTTGCACGATGGCCATGATCAAAAGCGATTTGTTTGGCAGTTTTACCTTTGAATTTGATCTCAGCATCAGCTCCAAAGTGGAGGAGAACTTGAGCGATCTTGGTATAACCACGCATCGCTGATAGATGCAATGCGGTCGAACCGTTGACGTTCCTGGTATCCATATTTGCGCCCTTCTCTATCAGCAGTTGCACAACATCTTCACAACCTGGCTGAATTGACAATAATAAAGGTGTCCTATAGTGTGGATTTCGTAAGTCCAGAGCCTTGAATTAACTCCAACAGTGGTCGGGATATGGACATTTTACCGTACCAGTCGCCATTCGTTCGTTGATTTGGATCAAATCCACCAGATAAAAGCAATCGGATCAACATTCTATTCCTGGTGACGCATGCCAAATGTAAAGAACCCCAATTGGCTGCTGTTTTTGCATCCTTTCTTGCACTAAAGTTCAACAGCGCTATAGCTGCGTCGAATTCACCTTCAGAGCAGGCCAGCTAATCAGACAATTGTTCGTTAGACAGGCCGGTCCTTCACCGACACCGCCAAATTCTCACCAGATATGGAGTCCATCCAAGATGAGATGTAGCGTCGACGTTTGCACCATTATCGGTGAGGAACTTTATTACTTGAATATGGCCGTTGAGAGCTGCGTAATGGAGTGGAGTCCTGCATGGTTTCAATTTGTGCAAGTCAGTATGCAAAAAAAAACATGCTTTTTGGAAGGACATACCAGCCAGTACTCGTTGGTGGTAAATCTTTCAGATTGGATCCTGGTCCGAGTCGGTGACTCAGGGCAGCACAGACTTCCGGGATCAGCAGCTGTACAACTTCAGTGTCTCCTCTTCCAGCTGCGATATGCAAGACATTTAGACCCAGCTCTGTTGAGTCTAATACTGACACGTCTGTCTCGTGTAGCAGACGTTTGACACTTTCAAGCTGCCCAGCTTCAGCTGCCATGACGATAGGTGTCTTCTTTGAGTAGGTCCAAGCATTCACTAACGCGCCCTTGTCCATCAATACATTTATAACCTTTGCATGTCCGTTAGACGCTGCAAGGTGTAAGGGTGTGATAAGATCTCCAGCACGAGCCAGCACACTAGCTCCTTTATCTAGTAGCAGTTTCACGACTCGTTCACTACCGTTCTTGGCAGATAAGTGCAGTGGAGTCATTTGATCGTTGGCTCTTGCATCAACGTCGGCTCCGTATTGAAGCAAGACATCAATCAGGGCCAACCTACTGTCGTGGCGATCGTCACGGGCTTGTGCAGAAGCGTGATGAAGGGCTAAAGTGTAAGAGGAGGAACGATCAGCTAGGGACCGACATTTTACTATGACGCTGAAAACAGTATGTCGACAGATAGACGTCCGCAATTTACCAGACCATCCAATCTCATCTCTACAGTCCACATCAGCTCCTTCATTCAACAACTCTTCAACGATATTAGCATATCCATTCTGGGCTGCAAGATGAAGAGCTGTCTCCCTCTTTGAGTTTTTCGAGTTGACATTTGCTTGGTATTTGAGTAATTCAAGGACAATCTCCTTGCGAATGTGTTCAGGGTAGCTGCCTTGAGACATGACACTATAATGCAGACTACTATTTTGGCGAACGCATTTGGAATTCACTTCTGCCTTTTCATCCAATAATCGTTTGACAACTGCTAGTTGTCCTGTAATTACGGCCCTCATCAATGGAGTTTTGCGATTCTCATCCAGAGCATCAACAAGCACGACAGGTTCAGCAAAGACCTCTTCTATTCGATTCATGTTACCTAGCTCGGCAGCTTCATGTAAATTAAGGATTCGCGGTCGTGGATAAAAGTGCTGCACAGATGGGTCTGCCATGTTGACCAAGTCAAGTGAATCCAAGCTTGATCCTGTATACGGGTATGGGGTGGTTGATCCTGATCCAAGCATATGCGGATATGGGGAATTGGCGGTTGTTGGAGGTGAGGTGCCATCGTCGTCGTCTATAGATGCTTCTGCTTTACGTTTCTTAACTCGTGAGGTTCCACCAGGTCCATTACGAGGTGCCACGTCGGGTCTCTTGCGACAAGTTTCCAAATGCTTTTCGACATTCGAACTGTCATCTAATGTCCAAATAAAGAGGGGATTTTAGTCAAAAGAGAAAGTGAGTGATCTGTCTCAAGCCGCTTGATCCAATTCGACGTCACACTGCCAACCACTTCCATCCAGCGACAGTTTGAGGTACTTGATCGTTTGATAGATCCCAAACCGAATCCAAAGTAACTCATTCGTGTATAGATAAAACTCAGCAAGAAACGCTACCAACCCATTCTCACGAGCAAAGCTCAACCCAACTACTTACATCTCGCAATCTTTCCACTAAGCTGATAATGAGGCTTCTCATCTTGACTAATATTGAAATGAAACCATTCCTTGAGACACCATTTGCACCTGCCTTCAATTTTAAGATCTAAAATTTTGTAAAAAATGTGAAGCGTCAGATGATTGTATACCAAGAGCAATCAACGAAAAGAAGAGAACGGAAAAGCAAATACCTGGATGATATGGGTACAGTTCTAATCCCATTTGGAAGAGTTTGTCGGATCCAATTCTTCTTTCCGTCAATATAGGAAGCGGAGGAAGCGCTTGGATGCCTTCCATCTAAGGGAAGAGAAGGTAGTAAGTATACCGAACAGTACACACGGTCATGAGTCAAGTATATCTCGCCTTGAAAGTCTCTCTTCTTCCTGGAAAAGTAATAGTGAACAGTATAACGTATAACAACCGAAGGCTCAAGACCGAGATCCGCAGAAAACAGATTTTATATTCAGCAATTAACAAAAATATACAAAGATCTACAGCTATTTGATTGCTATGTGCTATCCAAAAAACGCAAAGACTACTGCCACCTTCAACCAAACAAGTCCTCCTAAACACAAAATTAGTCATTGTATGGGATGTGCATTTTTGAACACCACAAGGCATGAACTTACTGTAGGGCGAACGCGTATCCCACCATAAGGTTCTTCTTGCTCGACTTGGATCATATTCTTTGTCTTCAATACCAACAGCTCAAAGAAGAACTTGACTCCTTCCATCCTCTTTGCCTAACGCGAAAAGAGGTTAGATGATATCAAGACTAGTGAAAAGCTATTCATTTTCGCTCACATCTTTGGTCAAATCACTAAACATTACAGACTCTTCAGCCTCCCCATCGTCGTTGGGTACAAAATGTTCCTTCAATACTTTGATAACCTTTTGAGTATTTGTGGAGAAGCCATTGGTTTCAACTGCTACTTCTGGTCCTTCTTCTGCGAATTCATAATCGTCTACAGGTTGTTTATCTTTACGTTGTTGAGATGATTGCGAACCTCGAGGACCAAAATCGATTTGTTCTTCTTCTCCTTCTCCTATTGCAGGTGCTTCTTCTTCTTCTTGAACAGTTCTCTTAAGCTTCTTGAATGGAGATGGTTGGGTCTCCTGTGGGTCAATCTCGCCACCTTGTTGATGAAACAAGTCGACATCACCACCAGCCATACCACCAAATGTTTCATCCTGCCAATTTTCATCTCGGTGTGGTGGCATCATCATCATATCATCCAGGATGTCTTCTTCTGGTACATTTTGAGCCGATTTACGTTTACTGGCACGTGGAGAAGCAGCTCGTTGTTCTGGCTCTTCCTCTTCAAACATGTTTTCGTTTACAGGTGCTACTGGTACTATACGTGGGCGTATCCCAAGCGATTGTAGACGGTATCGTGATGCTCGGACAAGAGGCTCCGGCCAGCGATCGTTCGGGATCTTCATCCAACCTTGAATACCAAGTTGTCGATACTCTTGATAGTATGCTTCCAGGTCAGTACTTGGCAGGAAGTCAGGCTATAAGCGTGATCGAAGAATCAGTGAATTATTGTTTAGTTCATTTATGACTGATGAAATCCATTCAACTTACACCCGCAGTCATGATGTCGTCCTGATTTTCCAAACCCCGTCGTATATCTAAATTCGACAATTCGATCTGCTCATCAAAGAGACTCGAATTGGCATTCTTCCCACCAGCAGCAGACTTTTGTTGCGTAGCTCCTCTACCACCAGTTGGCGTATTAGGAGCTGATCGTTTGCCTTTGCCTTTAGTTTTCTTGGCTGATGCAGGTTTACTTGGTGTTTGAAACATTGTTCCAGCTGGTTCCGGCTCTTCTTCGTCACCCTCTTCTGGTACTCTTGATGCTCTGGCGGGTGTTCTTGTTGGTGTGTTCAAATCCATCCTAATATTTTTGAACAGTGTGGTGTTACACGACAAGAACGAATCAGACATTCGAATTCAAGACGCTCACCTGAGCTCTGAAGGCTCGTCCAAGTGCACAGATTCACGTCCAGGAATCTGCGGCAGATCTTCTTCCATTTGAAATCCATCTGGTTCAAATTGTTGTTGTTCCGCTTCTGGAATTCCCATTTGCTCCTTATCACCAAATCCACCAGCATTATCCATCATCATGGTATCATTTAATTTAAACATGGAATCACGCCTAACGTCGATCTCTGGTGCGTCACGACCGACTTCTATTTCAAGTGATGACTGTCGACGTGATGGTGTTGCTAGATGTGGATTCTTTTGGCCAAGCTGAGTACGGATTAGATCGTCACCACCAAAGCCCAAGTCTAGTTCTTCGTCACCAAGTCCTAATTCTGGTTCATGGTCTAGTAGAAAGCTCATTTGTGATGGTACATGTTTTAAGGTGATTTCATCTAGACGAGATGCGTTCTGGGTCAACGTGTGTTGAGAGAGAGATTCGGTTTGCGAGAGGCGAGTTGGCAGATCGGCGAAGAAAGACATATCGAATGGATCATCGAATGGATCATCGCGGAAAAGCATGTCGTCGTCAGTAATTACATCCGGCACAGTGATAGCATTCGGATTTGCCATGATTTGCTCTTCAGGCATATCGACTATACCAGGCTTGAATGCCTATAATACACAGAGTGAATGATATTGAGCTACCTCCTTAACTTGGAAAAAATTGCCTCGTTTCACCATTTTGATTTTGAGGAGAGCCTCATTGCAGTCTTCGAGTAGATATCGAGCCTTTCGTGAGTAGATCCTTACGACACCAAGTAATAATTGACCAGATAATCGTAATGCGAACGGGACGGCGGCTCCTTCTCCTAAAATATCACCTGCGAAGTAGCATAGTGTTGAGATGTGAACGTGAAGGACATCTGATGTGGGAAGGAAACATACCAACAGACGATACTATGTTCGTATTAAGCAATTGAGTTTTGGATAGCTTTCTCTCCATATGAGCAGCAAGCCATAGCTTAGACAGGCTGCCCTTCTTGGCAAGGATTGAATCCATTGCTGTGTTTGGAACTTCTGTTTGTCGAGTGGACAAGAGTTTGTTAGTAAAGCGAGGAGTTGCGACAGAGTCACAATTGATCTGATGCGAATGATCATAGATCTTCTAATTAGCTGACTCACTTCAATAGCCTGTAGGGCGACTTCCTGGTTAACAAGATGTGAAGAAGCAGGTGACTGAAGCAAACGAATCAGCAACAACGAGAGGCAACTTGACAATGGATCGCGTGCCGTTCCGCGATTTTTGTAAGAATCAATATATTTGAAAGAGCCTGACTCGTATCTTCAGATACATGTCTGCAGATCCCGTTGAACGCTCATTCCAACGAAACCCTTGACACTCGAGGCAAGGCTGAGAGCTATATATTTTGGATACATTGAGGTACAGTATGGGCAGGCTGATAACCCGCAATTCCAATATTCAAGTCGCCGTAATCGATCAAACGGTTCCTTGCTGAAATTTCGTAAAGATGCCATTTATCAAGCCAGTCGCTGTCACCGAACTATCTTCAGCGACGATATCATGGGACGACAAGGCTGGAAATCTGTTTTTCGTCTTGCAATCAAAGAGAACGAACATGGGAACAAAGTTCTTGTCAACATTCACAACTGGGTTTACTTTGATGACTGCTAGTGCTGAGACTGCAGAAAAGCAAAAGTGGGCCGACGCCGACTATAGAATTGTCATGAAGTGCAAAGGAAAGAAGTACGGTGAACAGGTGGTGGCTGTAGGTGATACGTTTGAGGCAATTCACGAACACTGGAATTGGATTGAGCAGAATTTGTATCTCAAGGTACATGGTGCTTTAAATTATCACTCCCCTGGTGCTCTCGCAGGTGATCTGACCTGATCTACGATATAGTTGGCCGAACTGGACACCACGATGAATAGTCAAGGCCAAAAATACACAAGTGATGACGTGGATTCCTTTCTTATCAAACAGTTCGAAGACCTCGCCGAACAATTGTCTACTAGTCTAGGTATGTGGGACTCTCGGGCGGTTCCTGTATGATCATTTGCACTACCCTTTAACAATTCGTAGAACCACGAATCACTGGAGCTGTCTCTCGGCTGACAGAGAAGCGAGCCCAGCTGATACATTTATTTCCTGGGCTGGAGGATGAAGTGCTCCTCAATTGTTAGTACCGTGTCCGTCGAAACGCACTTCAAAGATCTGACATAAAATCCTACTAGTCTACACGTGTAATTATATCGAAAACGAGTCAAATTCTGTGCGTGGCACATTGTATATATCACGAAACTATGTCTGCTTCCATGGAACACGTGGAGTGGAGACAGAATCATCCTCATCGCATGTCCGAATAAGAATACCCTATAAAGATGTTTTGGGACTAGAAATGGTCACTGCTAAACGAGTCTTGATGCCAGATTCCATACAGATATCATTAAAAGATTCAAATGTAGGTCGTCGAGTGCCATACCTGGGTTGCTTCTCACTTGTTTTCTCGCCACCCTAAAGTCTCACTTCTTTTTAGTACTCCTTTTCTCTCTACTTTTATCGAAAAGACTGTCTGCGGATACTGAATTGTCTCTGTGATGCTTCTATGAACTGCTTAATTAAAGGCGCCGAAGTGTCTTTATCAGCTACAGCAGACATGTTTGCCAAGGGCAACACATCTGGTGATTTAGCAAATAATATGTCAAGTCGTAAAGGTGGTGGGCTGCTGATGATGGGTCGGTCTCAAGATGAGTTTGGCTTGTCACGGAATCGGTTGGCTAGAACGATAAAAATGGATTTAGAAGAGGGAGATTTCACAGAACAATCATTACGTGGTACGCCCGTACGAGCATCACCCATGTCTGCAGCTCTCAATGGCTTAGACAAGGCCGCTTCATCGCCCACGACACAAGCTGGTCAAACAATAACGTCGACCTCTAATAGTACAGGAAAGAAGGATGTTCCGAAAGCCGCAGATACTTTGGCTTCGTCTCTCCTTTACTATGCCCATGTAAATCTCTCATCAATTCATAGTTTGGATGATTTAGACATCCAAAAGCGGAACATTGAATTCCGACGTGTATTTAGACTAGCATACACTGAAACCGTCTTGATCGAAGAAGCTCCTTGTGCGTTCTACCGCAAACAGACTAGCACGTCACATTCAGGTGTTATATTCGTATCTCCAAACTACTTTTGTTTCGGCTCGTTTGCACCATCTGTAGGAAGTGGAGGAGGTGGTGGTTCGGCTCCACTGTCAAATGTATTGACGGTGACAGCACCTGGAGGTGGTCCAGCATCGAATACTACCGTATCATCGGGCTTGACTTCGGTGTTATTTGATACCCAGGAACTGACGGTCGGGATAGTCATACCGTTACGAGAAATTACCAATGTCAAAAAGCAACCTGCTACCGCTTTACCTGCCGCTGGACGTATTACAGCATTCTCTCTAACAGGATATCTAGCAATCTCTACTCGAAATCGTGGAGAGTTTTGGTTTTCATTTGGTGGTGCAAAAGGTCGAGACCGCACCACTGAAATCTTGCTAGCACGCTTAAAAACGGTAGACTGGCACATAGATAATTCCACTGTCGGTAGTCGTAATGCTCAAGAAAATGCTGCGACACTAGCCACCCGAGTTGCTGATCGAGTAGATGGTGCACAATCACCCGTAAATCTAATTGGTGGTGAAGGAACTCCAGCAAGAAGAGTCTCCGAAGTGTCTACTGGATCACTAGACGAATACATGTATACTCTCTCGTCCATGCCAATATCCCACGAGCCGCCGAAATCATTGACGACCCCAACTGTGCAAGTTGGCTTGAAATATCTATTCGCAGAAGATCCTGATAATTTGCCTGTCGTCCGTAAAGGCCATCCACCCATGTATGAAGCCAAGGACATGACGGATCAAGAGTCGCGGCAGGGTACCGCTGAAGATAAGGAACGTAGAAAGAGAGACGTGACGGAACATATTAAACTTTGGACTGACTATTTGGACGTAAATGGACGTGATGTTTGTCTTGTCAAAGACGTGAAAGCTCTCAGAGAGTCAATTGTTAAGACTGATGGTATACCTGAAAAGTTTCGTGGTGACTTATGGTGGGTTGTGCTTCTCGGCGGGCTTCTCGTTTTTCTTTCTATAAAACTTGATGATAGTCCCAGTTTCCAACAACTAAACATCAATTTTGTTCGACAGGCTTGTGTTATCTGGTGCTTGGTATTCACGACACGAGACAACACCATATTTGAAAATTATATCAGATCATCAAGGCCAATCGTCTCCCTATACTGAGGAGATTGAAAAGGATGTGCGAAGGTACGAGTCAATGCTTGCAATGGTGGACATAAATACTTTCTTTCCCCACGCTTACCAATTATCAAACAGATCATTACCGGAACACCCCGCATACCAGTCCTCCGTTGGTATCGATGCACTCAGGAGGTTGCTGACTGCATACTCGTGGCGCAACCCTGCGATTGGATATGCACAAGCCTTAAATATAATATCCTCGGTTTTACTATTGCATTTAAAGGAAGAAGACGCTTTCAGAATTCTTTGTATGTAGTAGTGTCTCCCATATTCAGATATTTTTGTTTGCTCGACTGGCAAATCGTTGACATTTTTTGTTTTCTACAGGCATTGTCATTGAACGCATTCTTCCAGATCATTATACCCGAACTCTTGTAGGATCTGTAGTGGACCAGTCCGTCTTTGCTCATCTGGTGTCAATACATCTGCCGGTCCTCCAAGCCCATCTGAAAAAGTTGTACATGGACTTGTCAACTTTTTCAGTGCCATGGTTTATGTGTTTGTTTTTGAACACGGTGCCCTTAAAGACTGGCTTCTGTGTACTGGATGGATTCTTCTTGGATGGTCCATCGTTTATCTTTTGGGTAGCTTTAGCAATTCTCAAAATCAATGAAAAGAGATTGCTAGCTAAAGGACGAGACGACGACTTGTTTGTCGGTGTCCTAAAGGATTTCTTTGCAAGACTGGCTGTTGAAGCGCCAGCTGATACAGATTCAGACTCTGGATCGATAATGACACAATCATCTAATGACCGTAAAAGTCATGATACCGATAGTAGTAATTCAAATCAACCTCAGGATCCGGCCTTGCTATGGGGCAAAGCACTTTTTACCTCCACGTTAAATGTGGCATATACGACATTTGCTCCAGTTGTAACAACCGATGTCATTGACTCATTACGTATGAAGTATCGGCTCAGTGTTGTGCATCAAATGGAGGAATCATCACGTAAATCTCAGATACGGACATTATGTGAGCAAGTGGCTCTGTCCTTTGATGAAATCGCCATAGTATACGATGAAGTGCGAGGTCTTGAGTTTGATAGAGAGGAGGAAGGTAATGGAACTGTAATTGGAGCGGCTGGTACTGCTGCTGCATTAGGTCGCCTGGAAGAAGAGCAAATACGACTCACGCTCATAAGAGAAGGTGGTTGGGCTATGGTAAAGACGGTGCCAGACGCTACTCTCGCCGCTGGAACTAGTGCATCCGGACAATCCACATTAGAAAAGTCGATACCATTACGAGATTTCAGAAAAGTGTTTACCAAAGTCTCACCTTGGAAGTCTGCTACCCCTGTATCTATAACAAACAAGACAGTCAAAACCAGTGCCAGTTTTGATAGTGAGGGTGGACGACCGTCAGTTGCTTCGTCTCTATATAGTAGTAGTGGTAGTATCAAGACTGTGCCAGCTGTCACTCGACCGAATGATGATCCATTACAAATCCCATTAGTAGATCGTATATACTTTTACTGTTCCTTCCATTATCACTTCTTCCATCAAAACCAATCGCAACGTGCCAATGAAGGCAAAGATCAATCAGCAATAGGAACCTTGTCTCAGTCCAATGAAGAAGGAATGAGCCCGAATTCACCGGACGGCAATAAAACCGCTGTTGCATATATAGTAGATTTAGCTGCAATGATACATACTTTGGACTTGATGATGAGACAACCACTGTCCAATCGCCTCAGGTTCTTGTTTGACTTACATGATCTGGATGGTGACGGGTTTCTTTCAAAAAATGAATTGAAGGCCATTATGGATTCATTTTTGGAAATGTTTGAAAAGAATCGGTCGTCAGGACGTAGTACAGCTGGGCCTTCACCTGGAATGTGGGCGTCACCAGAGAATGAAGAAGAGTATCTACGAGCCGTCAGTGCATTCCTGAATACGGCACTAAAACTTGGGAATACTCGTGGTGCTGAAGGAGGTGCCGCAGGTAGTATGTCTATAACAGGTCTAGCTGCTGTAGCAAGCCCATCTAGTCCAAAGGATCTTAGTCCATCACGAACAGTACAGTTAGCATCGAAAGGATCCCGTACACATTCACGAACGAAATCGTCATCGATAGCCAAACCTATGGTTGCAGAACCGGAGGATGATGGTGATATGACGTCAATCGCAGCTGGTCCAGGTAGTAGTGGTAGTGGAATAGATGAGGCTCGAGACGAGTTTCCTGCACATCTAGCAGGACGTAGAAGATCAGGTAGTGCAGGATCTGCATCCACAACAACGAGTACTGCAGCATCGAGTATAGTAAATATTGCTGTCGTAAATACCCGAGAAAATTCTCGAAGTGTTAGACCAGGTCATTCTAGAACACAGTCTGCAGGAGGACCACACTCTCGGTCAATTTCTGAACGTGTAAAGAACGAAACACCCAGGATAGTCACTGCTCCGTCATCGCCTTCTAGAGAAACTGGGAATGCTGGTGGTAAAGAGCCGTTTAAACTATCTTTTAATGAGTTCTTGTTGGCGGTGCTTAGCCAAAGTATTTTTGTCCAGTTTTTTGAACAGTCTTGGACTCTAAAGAAGTTACCTAGTGAGAGTGGTATTGCTGGTAGTGATGTCGGGAAGATTGTGATTGATCTTTCATAAAAGGGACGCTCTTGTATAGTTCTTGCCAATATGTATTATTTTGTTTTACCATACACGCACTTATATCAACTATATAAACCAATATTCATTTACAGTCATTGTGGCGATGCTGGTGCTGAAGAGACTATTTCTGATGTTTCAGGGTGTTGTGATTTGAGTTTTTTCATGTCTTCTTCCATGTTCATCATCTTTGCCGTGAGTTCCTAGATGTAGTGTAGTGTGAGGGAAAAAAGGATGAAATTGCAACGATGGGATGCATCACATACCTCAAGCAGCTTCTGCATCTTGATATTGACTTGAGACAAGACAGCAGGATCTAGCTTTTGCATAGCAGCGGCAGATGAGAAGATGTTGAGGTTGAATGTCTAGTTTCAAGTTCATGATGTAAGCGTGATGCCTCTTGTTTATGCTTTTGTAACAATAATTGTTCTTACCCTTCCACTAGGTGGTCTCTCATCAGGTATCAATTTAGACGAATGATCACGAAGAATATACTGCTGAATCATTTTCGACTTTTGATCCAATTCAACTCCGAGTTTAGATACCAGCTGACGAGTGTTTTTCAACTCTTCTTCGGCATGAGCAGCTCGTTGTTGTAGGGATTCGTTGTCAGACATAGCATGTTGGATTTCTTGATCGGCTCGTATGGCGTCTGAGGTACGGGTTGGACTTGTCTTTGAGCGGTTTAGGTCGACGGATACGCTGCGTGCGTGTGAGTGGTGGAAGCCTCCGTCGGTGCCAGCTGCAAAAAAAAGAAAACGTGAGCTTGAGTTGATAGCACAGAGACGGGCACAACTTGTACTCACCAAGATTCTCTTGACTCTCTCCAGAGCCTTCCTTGTGGTGTGTCTGGCCTTTACGTTCTCTGTTCAACTGCTTTTGTAAATCCTTGACCTGATCAGAGTAAGAAACGAAGTTGCGCGTGAGCGCTTATACAAAAATCGCCTTTTTGAAACATAACTCGACTTACAACTTGAGCACTCTTTCGCTCCAAAATCTTCATTTCACCCTCCTTATCGCCCAACTTCTTTTCCAAAGCAGCCTTTTGTTCTTCCAACGACGCAATGCTGGTTTCCAATTCAGTGACTCGTTGATTTTGACTAACCGACCCATCATCAAGCTTCTTTTGCAACTCTTCAATATCCTTGTGCAGCGCCATACGTGCTTCAGCAGCTTTAGAAACTTCTTCTTTGGCCTCATCACGTTGTTTCTCGGCTTCCTTGATGGCCCTTTTGTTGAGGGTCTCTGTTTTAGCTAGTTCGTCGATACGATTACGAGCCTTCTTAACAATCTCTTCCTTTTCGAGGGCCGTTTTGGATGCTCGTTCACGAGCTGTTTCAGAGACTTCCAATTCTTGGGCAAGTACATCGTGTTTAGATTGAAGGGTGGTGATTTGCTCTTTTAGGTTGGCGATTTCTTGAGAGAGTTCAGTACGTCCTGCAGCATGAGATTCGGCTTCTTTTAGTTGATGACGGAGCTCTTCAGTGGTCTTGGCAGTTTCGGCTCGGAGAGTTGTGATTTCGAATTCCAAGGCTTTTAGCTTAGACATGGCGGTACTGGCTTCTTCAGTCTTGGTCGCAATATCTTTTTCCAACTTTCTCAGTCCTTCAGATTTGTTGGCCTGCTCAGCCTTGAGATCCTTCAATGCCTTTTCTAAGTCAGCTTGCATCTTGGTTTTTTCTTCAGTAGCTTTGGCAGCATTTTTCTTCGCAGTTTCATCCAGTGCCGCCTTCTCTTTTTCCCAAGCTTGCTTTGTGGTTTTCAGAGCATCTTCCCATCCTAGTTTCTCCTTCTTGTGATTTTCTTCTGAAGTGGCAATTGCCTTCTTGTGAGCTTCTTCAGAAGCAAGCAATGTCTTCTTTTGAGTTTCTTCAAGAACCAGCTTATCCTTCTTGATCTTTTCATCCAACTCGGCTCGTTCCTTTTTCAGTTTCGTGGATTCGGCCTGAGCTTGAGCAACAAGTCCGTTCAGAGTCTTCACTTGTAGTTCAGCGGCATCTTTAGCTTGTATGGCCTTTACTTTTGCCGCATCGAGTTCAACCAATTTTGTTTCGATTTCCTTCCTGTTGGTATCAGCGACACTCTTGGATGTTGATGCATCACTCTTGAATGTCTCTAGATGTTTCTTGGCTTCTGCTGCTTCAGACTTGGCAGTCTCGAGCTCCTTTTGTCGAGATTGAAGAGTTTGGTTTACTGTCTCGATAGACTTTTTCAGCGTCTCGACTTCTGTTTTGGCGGCCTTGAGAGCAGTTTCGTTGGAGGTTGCATTTTGTTGAGCAACTTGCAGGTCTTGTTGGGCGGATTTTATGGCTTGATCTTTGGATTCGAGATCGGTTTTGGCGGTTTGAAGCTGATGTTGAATGTCCTTTTGCAATGTTTGAGAAGAATCCCAATCCCTTTGACGAGACTCGAGAGTTTGCTGAAGAGATTCGAGCCGAGATTTGAATTCCGTGATTTCGGCAGCCGAGGCTAGGAGCTTTTGCTGTAAGGTTTCAGCTTCAGCTCTGAACGACTTGGATTGCTGTTCAGCTGCTTCTAGCTGTGCATGGCTGGCGTTACGACTCGACTCCAACTCTTTTTGGAGACTCTCTACTTGAAGTTTAGCAGATTCACAATCCTTGTTCGAGACTTCCACTTGACGCTTCGATACCACGATTTCAGATTGAAGTTGAGCTATCTGCGAATTCAAGCCTTCAACTTCAGCCCGAAGTGAAGCGATATGATGACGAGCAGCTTCAAGCTCAGGTTCAGCAGCGCCATGACTAGCCATCAAAGAATCCAGCTCCTTTTGTAGCGAGCTGACAGTGTTGGTCAATGAAGAGTTTTGGGTTCTAGCTGTTTCTAGCTCTACTTGTAGAGCGTCGATTTTGCCTGATGCTATCGATAATTGCTCTTGAGATGCCTCTTGAGACGATTCCATTTGGCTTCTAGTAGACTCTAACTCTGCCTGTAAAGCATCGATTTTGCCTGATGTTACTGATGCTTGATCTTGAGAAACATTTTGAGCCGATTCAATTTGGGCCCTCGCGACTTCCAGCTCGGATTGTAGACATTTGACGTTACTATTGCCCACTTCGACTTGTTGCTGAGACAATTCAATTTGGTGCTTGGCTGCTTCTAGCTCAGACTGTAGGCTACTGACTTTACTATTGCCAACTTCTATTTGTTGTTGAAGAGCAACAATCTGTTGCCGAGATGCGTCTAATGCTGGCTCGGTGGCCCCTTGACTGGATTGGAGTGTCTCGACCTCCGTTCTTAAGGTTGCGACGGTTTGGGCGAGCAGACTGGTTTCTGATTTAGCAGCCTCCAGTTCCAGTTGGAGGGCCTTTCCATGTTCTGAAGCCTTGATCAATTCTTGAGAAGCGCTTTCAGATTTCTTCTCCGCAGCTTCTGTTGTCTGACGAGAGGTGTTTCGTAAAGCTTCCAACTGAGAAGTTGAAGCTTGCAAGTCGACCTTGAGAGCTTCAATTTCACTCTTCAAAGTGCCGATTTCTGATTGTAAGGTAATAATTTGTTGTCTCGCTGCATCCAGTAAAGAGTCTTGGTCACCGTTTTTGCTGTACGAGGGGAGGTCTTGCTGAAGGGTTGTAATTTTGACTTCTAACAAAGTGTTTTGCTGTCTAGCTGATACCAGATCAGCCTGTGTGGTCGATACTTGACTTGCTGCTGCTGATAATTCTCGTTTTGTTGATTCCAACTCCATTTCGCGAGCCGATAGGGTCTTCGAGAGTGTTTCGATTTGTGCCAATCGACTGGCAGATTCCTCGGAAAGTGACGTCAATTGCTCGGTTTTTTTACCGAGTTCGGATTCGAGCTCTGCCAACTGTCGTGATTTATCGTGGAGCATGGTGATATGGCTGGTGAGTTTGGCGTTCGTTTCAGCTAGTTGACTTTGGAGAGCTTTTCTTTCTGATTCAGAGACCGACGATAGGTGTTGGTCGACGGCTGCTGATGTGGGCTGAGTGGAGGTCTTCGCAACAGACAGTTGGTGCTCAAGCTCCGTTATTCTGTGAGCCTGTTCTTCTAGCAACACGCTTTCTTTTTGCAAAGTGTCGACACGTTCTTGGAGCTCTTTAGATATCTTGCCAGATCTTTCAAGTTTCTCCTTCTCTACAACTATCAATGACTCTAGTTCTGCAATTCGCGTATTTGCTGTACTTAATCGAGCATCGATCTGTTCATTGGTAAGGCCTGCGACAGGTTTATCGGTGCCCTGACCATTTATAGACATGGTAGACTTGTTCTCAAGGGTGGAGGATTGGGCTAAACTGTCATTCGACTTTTGTGCCGAAGTAGTCGAAGCGGCGGGTGTGTTGGTGAACATTGCCTTCTTAAAGACAGACAAGTATCCATTGAGTTTTTGACTTGGATCATCGACAGGCTGTGATGTAGATGATGCAGCAGCAGCTGTTGGATTAAGTTTGGCTCTCAGTTCATCACGTTCCTCAGTCAATTTCTCAATTTCGGCATTGGCCTGTTTGATTAATTGGTCCTGTAAAGCTGAAGATTTGACATTTGCTGCCATTTCAGCTTGTCTGGTTTCGGCGCCTTGCTTTTCAGCTCTTGCTTGGGCCAAAGCTACTTCCAATTCTGCAACACGACTGGTCTCGTTGGTCAAGTTGAGCGTGGAGCCGTCATCCAATACAGAAGCAGACAGTTGACGCCCGTCCTTTAGGGCTTGTAATTGATTTAGAGCTAATGCGAGTTTTTCTTCAACCTTTCTACGTGAAGCATCTCCAGAAGCAGCAATCGAATGGAGCTGTTCTTTGAGCGCATCGTTCTTCAAAGAATCGGTCAGTTAAGGGAAAATGCGCTTAAAGAGCTCGAAGACAACATTCCATATACCTGGTGTTTCTGATCTGCCATCAGCTCCAATTCACCCTTCAATTTGTTCAACTCTGCCATACATTCTTGCAATGCTAGTTTGTTCTTGTCCTTGGCGATGACAGCTGAGAAGAGACAATATATCAGCGACAGATATAAATACGAATGCACAAATCACATGGCCTTCCACCACGAACCATTGACTTTTTTCAGCTCTTTATCTAAATTAGACTTGTCACGCTCCAAGTTGAGCTTTTCCTTCTTGTGAGATGTGTCTTCGGCGGCTTTCTCCTTAGCCAGTCTTGTACATTCCGCCTTCTCCTTGTCCAGGTTGCTCTTGAGTGCTGTAATATCAACCTTGTCCTTCTCTACTTGAGTCTTCAAGGCAGCAATTTCGTGACGATCCTTTTCAGCTTGGGAAGTCATTGTCAAAATTTGTGCTTTACATAGCTGTAACTCTACATATCAAACATTTGTCAAAAAAATGGCAATTGCCGCAAATTGCGTGGCGAATAAAAACCTTTCTGAATGGCATCCGATTTAGCTTTGGCATCGGTCTGCGCATGTTTCAACTGGTCGAGCTATCCAATAAATACACGTAAGCTCTATGACGCTAAGGTTGAATTGGTTGACTGCTATGATTTACCTCTTTTTGTAAAACAGCCAAGGGATCCTCAATTGGAGGGATAGTAGGAATAGCCTCTGCATCAACAGGAGGCTGCACGCTTTCTGTCACGTCTGCCATATTGGCTGCGAATTTTTGTAGCAGTCGATTTGACACGGTTTTCAAAATTCAGGGTCAATAGTGATTCGCCAAACCAGACCTTGGAATCTAAGTACATTGCAAGAAATCTTAAAAATCATTTATTTAGAATCGGGAATCACTTGTTGAATTGATTATAAATAATTTTAAAAATCCTCTCGTGAGGTTCCAAGACATTTTTAACAACCTAATTCAAATGGTCCCTTTTTTTTGGCTCATGCATTCTATTGGGATTATAGTCC